ACAGCCCATGATGAAGGAGGACCTGTGGAATGCTGGAGCATTCACAGCTCAGTACATCAATTGATTCAAATCCTGTTGATATGTTTTGCACTCGTTAGATCATCCGATGGGCCGAAAGTATGAGTACTTAGTGTCGAAGAATAGGCACAATAAATTGGTCTTTTTCCGTGTGCAAGAGAGAGTTGCGCACGCTGAGATCACTTGGTTAGTCTTCTCCAAGCCTTGGCCAATAGTTCGGGCGTAATACTTCAACTGCGGGTCCACAAGGGTGGGTATGAGCTTTTGCCAATTAGCGTATAATATATTGGTTGGGTTATCGGGGAGAACACGCCGATTGTGTAGATCGCCCCCCGAGTCTGCATGCCTAGTAGAAAATATTTCCTCTGGCATTTCAACATTGATGCCTGTGAAATCCGAGTCATCAAACATGTTTATGTCGGCGACTTCACCAGCGTGGCCACCCAACACGGTACGAGAAGGCGTCGTTTGGGAGGGTGCGTGATCCAAGATTTGTTGCATTTGAGCAAGCAGACGACGGCGCTTGAGTTCTGCGCCAGGCAACTCAACAAGTACTTGAGTTTTCCTCTTATCTCTGGCTTTCCTTGGGCTTACGAAGTGTTGCCCAAGGCCAAAGGAAACAAGCTGAGCGTTACGAGTGTTGAGGGATTTAGTTGGAGCCATGGCGAGAAGGACACGTCAACGTGCATGTGCACAAAGACTATGCAGACGCCAGACAATGCCAAGTACTTCGATTACTATCAGTTATGATACATAAATAGACTCAAACCTACCAACAGTACCTCCCGGGCCTACCAGGCGACCCTACAAGACTATCATGCACACCGCTGGAGCTACAAAATCAGGTACGGGAGGTCAGCGGGAGGTGCTGTAGGCCCGTGGGAGGGTCGCTGGAGGTGCAGGGGCTAAAAGTAAATGTAAGCTATTATTAGATGGGGGGAGGGTGGGTCTTGCAGATGGGTTTCCCATATCATAGAAACCGGGTCTCATAGACCCCTTATAGGCACCGAAAAGTCCTGCCTGAGGTGGGCCCGATGTCCAATTCCTACGTCCTCCTCGATGGGCTCAGCCCTCCACATGACGTCGATCAAAAGCAGCGTATCATTTGTGTTGCTCTTAAAATCGCTGATCAGGAGTTTAGAAAGACTGGATGGAATTGATATATTTTTATATATCGTCAGCATATGAAATGAGCGGCCTTGCCAAGTTCCAACACAAGCCTTTTGGTGTATTCTCAGGCTATACTGTCATAATGATGCATCAAAACAGGCTAACTAGCAGATTTTGATGATGCATCAACTATGATAACGAGCAGTGGTGGATGATCATGGTGGATCACAATGCAAGATCCTCCATTCGCATTTTTAGCCCACTACCGTGGGAACTCCTCCGCAACATCCAAAACATAGCCCATTTGGGGTATTCTCCACAATATCAACCTTTCCCACACCCTCCCCATCCATCCCTGGCTCACCACCACACCACAATTAGATACAGCTTGTAATTAAGTAGTATTATAGGTTATATACACATAGTAGAACATAATAGACCGCTTTTTCTCTGTATTTTTGTACCAATACCTGCTACAGAGCCCATGCAAGTGTGACATGATAGAACACATATCAAAAACTGTTTCGCATTTTTGCCCCTCTGGTACTGGGGTACTCTAGAGTGTTTATAATATGTTTATAAATATATATGTACCCATCCCAGCCCTCACCTTACCCCCTAGAGCGTCCTACATCATGTACTGTGCTGTACTAGCATAAAATAGAAAATAGCTACGGAAATTTTGAGCTTTGGGTATATAGACTTGGAAATATGATCCCCAACATCCCTTCAATAGTATACACAACATATCAGGAGCATAGGGCAACAGGATCAGTCCCTGTGGTGCTATGTGCTTACCCTCTCCTGGTGGTTCAACCCCTGGGAAAATTGTTCCTGCACCTCCAGCCCTCCAGGATGGTAGGGCACCTGTTCCTATTGATATATAGAGTATACAAATCACATAGATGCATGACAATAGCAACAGAAACCTTGTCTAGAATGAAATATCTCCTCCTGGCTATACTACTGCATATTTTCGCACTTTTGAGGTCTTACCATTGCACAAACCATCCAAACTGTTTATAATTACCTTCTGGTACATATATAAAGTCTTCTCTTGGCAAGGATCTCACAGTAATATGTCAGAGAATTGATATCAAGAATATATCTCCTATTTTCACTGATTAGGACTGTGCGACATATATAGGATGATATATTATCATCGGACTATCACAGTATACACTATACATACTGGGAAACACAGTCCTCGAGTATTGGAAGGATCCATCAAGACATAAGAGCAGAGGAGCCCAGTAGATATGAAAAAGACCGTGGGAAATTCAAAAGTCTAAACATCGAACATGTTGTTGTTGCAGTCTACACATCAAGTCAGTGGTAGGACTGTATTGCTGCAACAACACTTTGACATTACAACACTTCCACATTACTCTCACTCTTAGAATATCATGTAGTACAGGATATTTGGGTAGTCTACATTCTATTTAGCTCATTTTTGACAAAATCTTCGACCTAGATATTAGTGTATTCATGTATTTTTCCTATTACATATATGGTCAGACCACAATCATATATTTACTTTGCTTATCACTCACTCAGTTATGAATGGATCTTTCTACAAATTCAGAGGTGGTATCATGTATATAGGCTCATTATATAGCAAGTGGCTGATTACACAGGTGTATCCTCATGAGACCCTAGATCACTTATCAGTAAATCTCCCTGACATACCCCTGATATCAATACCCTGACATATTCCTGTCTGATCCTTGCCATAGAACGACTTAATATATGTACTAGAAGTTAAATATAAACAGTTTGGATAGTTTGTGCAATGATAATATGATGAAAAACCTCAAAAGTGCGAAATTATGCAGTAGTTTAGCCAGGAGGAGATGTTCCACTCTACAGAAGGTTTTTGTTGCTATTGTCATGTATCTATGTGATTTGTATACTCTATATATCAATAGGAACAGGTGCCCTACCATCCTGGAGGGCTGGAGGTGCAGGAACAATTCTCCCAGGGGTTGAACCACCAGGAGAGGGTAAGCACATAGCACCACAGGGACTGATCCTGTTGCCCTATGCTCCTGATATGTTGTGTATACTATTGAAGGGATGTTGGGGATCATATTTCCAAGTCTATATACCCAAAGCTCAAAATTTCCGTAGCTATTTTCTATTTTATGCTAGTACAGCACAGTACATGATGTAGGACGCTCTAGGGGGTAAGGTGAGGGCTAGGATAGGTACATATATATTTATAAACATATTATAAACACTCTATAGTACCCCAGTACCAGAGGGGCAAAAATGCGAAACAGTTTTTGATATGTTTTCTATTAGGTCACACTCACAGAGGCTCTGTAGCAGGTATTGGTACAAAAATAAAGAGAAAAAGCGGTTTATTATGTTCTATGGTATGTATATAACCTATACTACTACTTAACTAGAAGCTATATCTAATTGTGGTGTGGTGGGGAGCCAGGGATTGATGGGGAGGGTGTGGGAAAGGTTGATATTTGGGAGAATACCCCAAATGGGCTATGTTTTGGGTGTTGCGGAGGAGTTCCCACGGTAGTGGGCTAAAAATGCGAACATGTAGCTCTGTAGTGGCAGTGTGGCATAGTCTGCTACTTAGCATGTTCTAATGCATCAAAGAAGTTGGAAAAACAGGCTAATTAGCATACTTGATGCATCATAGCTACAGGGACTGGTGGTATTCTTCGAAGGTTGGATCGTCCAATCGAGAAAATAACCGATACATGATATAGAATCATTCAAAAAGTCTTGGTTATTATGAGTCAAAAGGTCTGTGAACACATTCTTTTGTGCTGACGTCGGTCGTGCTGACGACCTACCTACAATGTGTGTGCAGATATCCCACGCACAATCTATGCACGAGCTTTGCAACGGGCCTCGGCCGTCGTACGCGCAACTCGATGGGACAGAATTTGAGTTTGAGATACGGAGAGGGAAGAGGGCGGTGGTTCCGAGGGAGCAGGCACGGTTGATCGTGGTGAGAGCTAAGGATCTCATAGTATTGTGCTGTCGTGGTGCTTACTGTGATTGTGGTGTGGGTGCCACCTAGACATGCAGCAGGTGATTACAACCACGTACACATGTGTCATGATAATGGTAGCACGAGGAGATAACTTTCCTACCAGGAGCCCTAACATGGCTGCAGGGGTCGACATCCGAAGGATTCGCTCCAGACGATGCTGGTGCTGGTGCTGGCCCTGAATGAACTATTATGTATCTTTAACAATATGTATCCGATGGCATTCTTATCATGACTTACTGTTTCAATTTCAGCATGTATCAGTCAGTTTTTCCAGAAATCTTTAATTGTGGTTGGATATCATCTCCAGATTCAGATCGAGTTGGCGGGAGATCGTACTATAAAAAAACCCATTTTCCTCCCAACTGGTACACACAAATTTGTGTCGGATAGTCTGATGAATATGTCGTAAAGTTAATAACGAGGACTGCTCCGAGATCTCTAGTCTTGAAAAGAAAAACATACAGCTACAATATTTCTAGGGTCCTGATGTCCATCATGTTGTGAACAGAAGTCGTGTCTTTGACTTGTGCAATGATATCGTGATCCGACGCGATTCTCTTGTATTCTCCGCCGCGCTGCTGTGCGAGCAAAAATGCGCTGAACGGTTGTCCAAGGCGAACGATCAATCGCATTGCTCGCACGTTCGATTCCCAATCAATCCGCTTCTGTTTGGCAGAAGCTCCTCTGGGCGAGTGATCTGACGGAGGCTCGGGTTCGGCCCAGTCTACTGCATCGTCGTAGAAAGGCTGCTCTGCGAAATCAGGCAGCTCGAGGAGACGACGGTCCCAAAGACGGACAAGCAGGAATGTCTGTCGAGTGGGCCTCGCCCACGAAAATTGAACTAATGTCTCCTCGGTGGTGATCGACAGGTCATGAAGCCCATCTGCCTTGACTCCATACGTGAAATAAGCTTCCTGGGCTAGACCCTGCCTCCGCCTGACTTCTGTGACGGGAAATGTGATGCAAGGCAGACGAAGTCTGCAGTTCGCAAAGCGGGGAGCTCTCAGCTGCTCAAGCTGCTCATACAATTTCAAAGCCTGATCCACGGCTACAGTATGTCGCAGCGAAGAGACCGCTCTCTGAATCTGGCCTTCAGACAACGATGGGAGGGCGCATGGCGGAGCTGCGTAGGAAATGATATCAGACGGAAGACAACTGTTGAACGAGGATGGTTGTCCGACCCAGTCCAGAGCAGTGATGTCGCCCGACCGAGCGACGATCTCCTGCAGGAGCCGCCCGAGCGCGTTTTGCTTGTTCTCGCCATAAAGTATAGGTAGTTGGATGCCGAACATACCGAAAAGCGAGTACGCGATGTCTTCAGCCACAGTAGTGACACGCATAGACGCCCATCGGAGTTTATCTCGGGCGTCTCTCATCCCCGGTTGGAAGGCAACGAGGGCCCGTGCGTCTATGCCCGTCGCATCCTCCAACTCACGCATGATCTCGACAGACTCCTTGTGGTTATAGGAGCCGTCGTCGAGATAAAGAGTCCAATCCTGTTGGTAGAAGAGAATGACTTTAGGAGCGAGAAATTCTGGGACAGTCCATCCTCGGGTGTTCCAAGCGCTCTTCGCCAGTGCACCAGACTTAGACGAAGGCGGAACATCCGACAGGTAAACGATCGTGAGCGCTGCATGGTAGTACCAGGCAAACATGGAGTTGAGTGATTTTTGGAGCTCGACATTGTTGTTCTGGTCGATGCAACACGAATCGACCCACGCCCAGTGAAACCCAGCCTTCCGAACTTGTTTGCAGAATGACTGCAACTTCGTGAAACCGCCAGCTGCTTTCAACTCGTACACGGCCTCATCCTTGATGTCATGCAGCAGCGGCTCCTTTCCTTCCCATCGATGAGATAACATGACACAACCGAAGTATGTCGCTACCACGACTGTGATGCTCTCCATTGGGAGGTCTGCATGTTTCATAATCGATAACAGAAGTTCATTGTACGCTATGGTCGTTTTGAAGGCGCTAATCTGCGCTTCTCGATCACATAAACGCCCGGTGGTGGTGTCGAGCAGACGAAGTGGGGTGGTGTCAAGCTGAACGTTAATGACCTTTCGAATAACACCTTCTGCTTCGGAAGGACTGACATACTGCTCACGCAGCTCTGTGAAAAGAGTTGAGCATCTAGATAGCGCATCACTTAATGCTTACTTCGCATCTGCATATCGGGAGCGCTGTCTAATTTTTCGAGCATCATCCTGAAGGCCTCGATAGCATCATCGTAGCGTTGTGCGCCATGAAGCGCTGTATGCTTCAATCGGTATCCAACATGAGACAAAGGGTTGAGTTCGATGATCTATGTGTCACCAAAGTGAGCATTGGTGATGAAACTGCCTGAGTAGATGCCATCGTACCTCTTGCGCGTCGAGAAGCACATCCTCCCACAGCATTGTTTCCGACTTGGCCATACGGCGGTTTACGAAGACTCGAACCTTTTCATTCAAAAAGATGTGATATGAGATGGCGAAGGAGCAAGAAATTGACAAGACAATACATTTGATTCAAGTTTCTTGAGAGCTGTTTCCGGCCAAGCGTCCTCGGGTACTGCCCACCCTGAGATCATATGGTCGGAGCCTCCGCTGAGGATGCGCTTGCCGTCTATAGAGAAAGTGACACACCCCACCCAGCCCGAGTGCTGGAAGATGGCGATTGTTCGTCGATCTGAGAGCCGCCAGAGACGAACATGCTTGTCATAAGATGCGGAAGCGACGAGTGTGCCCGCGGGATGAATCGCAATGGAGGAAATATCGGCAGTGTGGCCTGTCCAGGGATCACCGATCTGCTTCCAGGTCAATGTATCCCATTCCCGTATGGTCGGATCCTGTTTATCTCCCGCTGTGAGAAGGCGCGTGCCATCAAGCGTCCATGCGAGTGAAAAATTGTCTGGAATCTGACCCTTGAAGGTTGCGACGCAATCCCTCGTGGATGAAGCAAAAATTTGGATATCGTCGTATGTTGCAATCGCAAGATACTCGCCAGAAGGCGAAAATTGAACACAGCGGACACAATCTCTATGCTCGATTGCTCTTCCTTGTAGCCGCCATGTCGTTGTGGACCACAACTTGGTTGTTTTGTCTTCTGAACCACTGGCCAGTATTGTTTCATCGTGGGAAAAGTCTAACGCGTAGATTCGACGAGAGTGGGCTTTGATGGGTTTGGTGAAAGGTTCGCCTGTTTCTCCATCCCAGATGATGATCTCTCCGATCTGATCACCGCTTGCTATCAATTGCTCTTCTCGTGAGACCGCCAATGCTGTCACCCTATCGCGATGCCCCTCCATCTTCTTCAACATGGCACCTGTCCTCAAATCCCACAGACAAAGTGTCTTGTCAAACGAGCCCGTCACCATACGTTGTCTATCAGAGAAAACTACTACAGCGCGTATAGCTTTTGTATGATCTTTGAAAGTTCGGAAGGGCGTGGTGCTTGGAATGAGCTGAGACATCTTCTGGAGGTTGATGGTGTTGAGTACGATCGAGGCAGTCTGGAAGCCTGAGGGATTGTGGCTTGCTGATGCATTGACCTACCTCGTGACTCTATAGACGCCCAGGATCATCATCGAGGCTGTTCGCTTCTGCACAACTTCTATCTCCGCGGCTTCCTAACCCCCTCTTATCAAATTATGATACGTGAGCACTTAATTTCGGTTTGCACAAGACCAGAAAAAAAGCAGAGAAGTTTGAGAGAATGTCTATCACTTTACAAATGACAACGAACTCTCAATGCATGCGTTGGCAATCTTTGCGCGTCTGCATTCCACACCCGTCTCATCGATGATTGAATACCATTCGCCAGAACGCAGCAGACACAGTGCATCGGATCTCGCAAACAGCGGCTTCATGACGAAAGAAGATCCTACAAGGTGAACCTGCATTTGCTGGATGGCTTTGAATGACGTCCATATTTAATCTCGCGCACTTGGGTAACCAGGTTGCTGCTGACGTGCAGTCCTGAAGAATGAGAATGGAAGTGCGACTCGTAGCAATGAAGAACGAGTGGTTTACCTCCCGATGATCGTAGAATGCGTGACTGGAAGAGCATGGACGCAGAGATCGTAAGTCCCAGTGGTGCAGACAGGCAACATCCGACAGAATTGGAAGAGGAGAACGAAGCGCATAGGGACGCTAGCACATAGGCAATGTAACTCACTGGAATGCTAACCCATCTTCCTAGTATGAAACAGCAGGAGATGTCGAGGATGCACGAGAACGCTTCACAGCGAACAGCCCGGGTCTGATCTAGTTGTCGAGAACTAGTTAATCATGGAACGAGGCTTCGTGGGATATAACCTGGTAGACACCGACAAATGAGGCTTGGGCGCTTCAGCTGCACAGCCGATGTTGTATATAAGCTGTGAACACGATGATAAGGCATGTTAAACGTACCAGGGAGCGGTGAACTCAATTCTTGACTTGACCGAAACGCCCATTATCCCCTACTATCCGCCCGTCGCTGTTGTCCTCGGTAAGTGATGAATGTTGAATTTGATGGGTGGAAGCTGAGACGGCGCTTCACTTGGTAGTTGAAATTCTAGAATATGTCTTCACTCACCACTGAAAAGAAAGAGATGTCAGCAATAACGCCTCGCCAGAAATTTGAAGGACACAAGCAATGGGTCTCGGGCGCCATACACCTACTTGGCGGACAGCGGGTCATTACTTCTTCAAATGACGGCTCGCTGCGGGTATGGAACTCGAAGAGCGGGAAACAGATAGGGAAAGACTGGCGGGACGGAAAGAGTGAAGTGAAGAGTATAGCGTTGTCTCCGGATGGGAAGAAAGTGGTTAGCGGGAGTGACAACGGTGGAGTGAGGTTGTGGAGCATCGAGACAGGCAAGGTGATCGCAAAATGGACGGGGCACACAGAGCTAGTGTGGTCTGTCTGTTGGAGTCGAAATGGTCAGCAGGTACTGAGTGGATCTTGGGATGGGACAGCGAGGCAGTGGGAGGTGGAGAGCGGAGAGACAATCCTGGAACCCGGGCCAATCAAGACAGGACATGCACGAGTGTACGCAGTCGTCTATTCGCCGGACACCACCATGATTGCAACTGGTGGGCGTGATACACCTACATGGCCCTGGAAGGAAGATGATCCCGAGTCCTCAATTAAAATCTGGAATGCGAAGACAGGCGAGCTTGTCGCAACTCTCAAAGGACACACAAATTCGGTGCGGTGCCTGGCTTGGACCGCGGATGGAAAAACGCTCATCTCCGGGTCAGCCGATTACACGATTCGAACATGGAATACAAAAACTTGGAAGAAGATCGCAGTTTTCGATGCGCACACCGGTTTTGTCTATGGCATTGCAATATCTCCAAATGGCCGCATTCTCGCAAGCGCATCATACGACTTCACAGCGCGATTGTGGGACCTCGACAACGGCCAGCCCATCGGTTCTCCACTCCAGCATGCATCTCATGTTTTCTGCGTCTCGTTTTCCATGCGTGGAAAACTACTAGCAACTGGCTCCATGGACAATAACGCATACACATGGGATGTTGCTGCCATTCTTAAAGAAGCTGGCCTCGACAAACTTCTATTGGACCCAAAGCTTGTGAGTCGACAGGCATTCATTACATTCTCACAACTGAACGCGCTCTGCCAGGCCAACAAGTCGGCACTCCGTGTACGTGACACCGTCTAAATAAACATATTTCATTGCGTTCAAATATATACACTCTAGGAAAATGCTTCACGACCTGCCCATCGGGTACCCCCGGGCTTTTTTGATGTCCCACCAGATCATTCTCATGTACGTTGTTAGTATCACTTCGAGTTTTATCCTGACTCTGTGGTCTCAGTTCTCTCCACGAAGCCGCCTCCACGCCTCAGCACCGCAAGGAAGCACACTTCTTAGCCGCTTATTCCACCGCAGCCCCTCCGATGAACATGATACCTCACCATTCTCTCCTCTCGACTGGGCTCAAAACCTTTTGAAGCGGCGCGGACGTGGTTGTGAAGGCATAGAGTTGCACGGGCGCAACCCAGCAGTTGTTGAGGTTCCGTATGCAAAAGGAAAACGTGTATGTTATTTTATCCTTCTCAGATGTCCGACTCTTCCTGACACTGTGCAGAGGAATGCTTCAGCAAGAGAGAAACGGAAAACGAGCTCACGGCCTCTTAAGTCCAATGCCACGCAGCAATCCAATGGTGCGACTCAGACACAGCCATCTTCGCAACCACAGGCACCTGTCTCCAATTCGTCTACCACACATGCTATTCATGCAACGATAAGACACGTTGGACTCTGGACTCGTTTCTGGCTCTTCATTGGTTGTCTGTCTCCTGAATACACAGATGGTCATCATTAGTCTGTCATTTTCTCGTCCTTTACGAGTCGCATCCCTTTACACCTCTCGTTGACTTGTTCTATTTATTCGAGCTACTCACTTTGCCATATTTCGAACCATCTTGTTTTGATACCGCATGTCTCATCATCCCTGTCTGCATCGACGCGCGTATATGTATACATGCAAGATTTGATCCAATGGCGCTTGTATTCTCCTAGTGGTCGAATACTCGACTTCTTGTAAGTTGTTGGCCCAGCAAAGTTCAAAACTAACCATCGCGGCTCGCACGTCTGGCTGTATTGCTTCCTCCACTCACCACAGGAATATTTTCGAATGCATTCGCTCCTCCACACGGCTGATGGGTTGTCAGTAAGTAGGAACATTAATTCTTGCATATTCTGACAGCTTCTCCCTCCCTTGTGACGGACAGGTCAGGACAGGTCCTGCAGAATATTGCAATCACAATGATTTCACTTGCACTCCTGCCTGCGGCGCACTAGTACAGTCAGTCTTTTTATTTATCTCATTTCCATACGTCTTCTGATTATCACTCACCTCTGTTCCATTTTTTCAGAGACTCAACTCGCTTTTCAAAAACGGTGCTTCAAAACTGACAATGGGGCAGGACCTTTACGTCAAGACTCACCCGTGTGTGCGTTTACTCGTCCGAGCGGGTGCATGGTTGGACCATGAAGTTGCAGCTGCTCCTGTTGAGGAGGGAGGTTACGACCCGGAGGCGTCATGCTCATCCGTACCCAGTTCCACTTCTACTTTTACTACGGATACGCTCACGTCTTCTCCTACACCTGTCGACGTCCTTCCATCGCCCACTCAACAAATTGATATATACGACTGTGCGATGACATCAATGTCACACGCACAACCATCGGCCCTCATTTCAGTCACAATTTCCATCGTGATCCTACTTGTACGCCATCTCGCGTGCAGATGGTGCTTGTATGAATGTTCTCGTGCTTGCCGTCTCCCACCACCACCCACTCTCCATCTTACTTTCCATATTCCTTGTCTTTTGCTTTATTAACCCCTTCGAGACCCATGAGCCTGATGCTCCAAGCTCTCAGTTGTTTCCGCACATCTTCGGCTTTTGTTAGCGATGTAGACGGTATGTATATGAACAGAAGGGAGAGACCTGTCTTGCAGGTGATTGTTACGCAGACAAGGGAGAGGTATGAGGATGACATGGCGTTTGAGGAGATTGAGGAGCAGCGGGGCTTGAGAGAAATGCTTGGTCGCCGTCCGTCAGGGATGATACATAACGGATACGTATATTCCAAGTACAATCACAGGCAACAGGATCTGCGTATGCATACATATCGTTGAGGCATGAATGAAAACCGCTCAGAAATCATTGATATTCAAAATTAATTACCACAGTTCCAGGGTCCCGATGTGCATCACGCTGCGAACAGATGCAACGTCTTTTTCGCGTGCAATGATATCGTGATCTGACGCGACCCTCTGGTATTCACCATCACGCCGCTGCGCTAGCAAACATGCAGGTGAAAGGCTATCCAAGGCAAACAAGCAATTGTAACGCTCGTGAGTGAGAGCCTCGTCTAACGGAGACCCGGACACTTACCAATAATCATCCTCGCTCTCCGTATCGTCTCCAATGTCGGGAAGTTCTGCAGGATCAGGCAGCCGAGAAGATACCGATTCCAATGACGGACAAGCCAGAATATCTGCAGGGTGGGTGTTGAGGCCGTGAACTGAATCAGCGAATCTTCGGTAGTGATCAGCAGGTCGCGAAGCCTGTTTGCCTCGACTTCATACGGGAGATGAGTCTCTCGAGCTAGACTGCACCCCCGTTTGAGTTCTATGACACGGAACGCGATGCAAAGATGTGACTCACAGTAAATCTGTGAAATGTGATGTTTGAGGGCAACACAAGGACACCACGCAAGTAGCGGGGGTGATACGTCTAAGTGGATGGTTGGGGATGGAGTGGTGGGCGACGAATGGGTCATTCCGAATGCCAGTCTTCAGGTCGTTGTGGGACCATCTACTAGTACAAATGAAAATGAGAGTGAGCCGCAATACAGGAAACTATGACGGACCGTGGCGGACAAAAACGTAACTCGAAATTCCCAACTCAACTTAAACTCGACAACTCAGTGAGTCAACTCATCCACGTGTCAACTCAACTTGTTCGTATATCAGTTTGCACGTTACTCAACGAGTCAACTTGCCAATGCCAAACTCTCTTTGCATGCAATCCACATTCGCACAGCGCGCGCTAGTCGGCCGATTCGGCCCGGGAGTGGCACTATCTACCCTCGACACAGGTTCCATATAATAGATCTCCTCATGCGGAAATGTACACTTGAACACTGCAAAAGATGAAAGAACATATTTTTAAGAACTGTTCGTGATTCCTCATCACAAAGCAATCAAGTACTTCCCACCTTCAGTTGATCACCAAGGTAATGACCGAGACCTCCAGCGCTGGTTTTGTGTCCAGTCAGAAAAGAATTACATGCTCGTACCTCACGTCGACTGTATATCTCGACTTCCAATTTCTAATTGTATATCCCTCCTGAGAACCCAAGGAACTAGTGATCGCGCCTAACGAGTGCAGTGATTCTTTGTACGTTGCTATACAGTTGGTGATTGAAGCGATGTCCGAGTGAAACAGCCAATTCCACATGCTCCCAATGACTTCCCCGTTGCGGATGAACGAACATCGTTCCGATGAAATCGACTGTGCGAAAAGATATATGATCCAAGTCAGTGCAATCAAGGGTCTATCAGACGGGGCACAAGGTATCATGCAGCGCTATAATACAATACAATGATATAGCATAACCTAAGCTAATGAAGAATGATCATCAGTCCTAGTGCTTTTGAAAATCCGTGATGGTACCCATACCAGCATGATTAATCTCGCTTGTCCCTTCCTCCCCGTCTGCTCTCCCCAACTCTATCCCTGTCTCTACGTCGATCGCGGTCGTCGTGGTCCCGGACCCTGTCACGATGTTTATTGGCATCGCAATCTCGGTCCCGTCTGTCCACATCCCTGTCCCTGTCGCTGTCCCTTCTACTATCGTCTCTTTTTCTTCTGTCATCCCTGTCTCTTGCTCCCCGATCGTCACGGTCATCGTCTCGTCGCCTATCGCGATCATTTGCTCTCCTAGACCCGTCATAATCATTAACCCTCCTTCTATCACGGTCGTCATCCTTTCTTCTCTCACGATCATCCCTCCTACTGCTCTCCCCTCTGCTCCTTCTCTCAGGTGACTGCAAAGCCCTCCGCGAAACAGTCGCACTCCCATTCCTGCTTTCTTCCCTACTACTCTCCTGCCTCACGAGCGGGATATACCGCTTCTCATCCCCTCTCCGTTTCTTCTTCTTACTACCGTCATCCAACACCCTCTGTTCCTTTGCTCCAATTCCCAAGAGTGCAGGCCGTGATTTCGGCAGGTAAGGCTCCACCAGTGCATTATCTTTGGCTCGTTCTGAGCTTGTGACAGCCCCACCGTCCACCCAGTCCATGCCACCATACAGCACCTGCGGCGTCGCATGCATCGGTGAGAACAGAATGCACAATCTGACTAGTGTCAAATCCGAGTAGACTGAGGCTATTGAGAAGGTCGCGTTCCACGGGCGTGGAGAAAATGATGGGAGCTGGAGTGCTGAGCAGTGATGCAAAATCTTGGGGCGGGAGAGGGGCCAGTGGCTTGTCCAGCGTTGGTGAGCCAGAATCAGAAAGGGTAGAAGACACAGAGCGACGTTTTGTACGTGCAGGTGTGCGTGTTGGATATGGGGGGGCCTTAGGGGTCTGATCGAGGTTTGTAGTCGACCCTGCAGAGAATGGTACAACGTTCTCTGATTCAGGCTCCTCTTCGATGACGGTGTCAGGCTGCCGAGTCATACTATCTTTGCTGAGATGCTGAGAACGCCGAGCAGCGGCCGTATCGTGGTTTGGTTACCGTTTCCCTGAGTATCGAAAGGGCCCTTAGGAGTGTCATCAGGAGTTGTAGGGACCGGTGGAGATAAATGAGATGATGCAGAAACAAAGGATTCAGATGTAGTCGATGTCGCCGGAGAAATAGAAAGGTCGTTCACCTGTGTTTGGGTGCTCACGACAGATTTCACAGGGAGAATAAAGGTATCACGGGCATGTGATGGGGATGCAGGAACATTATTGACACCAAGGAGGACTTGGTCAGAGGCGGGGGCGGGAGGGGCGGATGTAAACCATGGAAGAGGCCAGAATTTGTGGGATCGTCAGACGCTGGCAGGGTCAACCTCGAGAATGCTGCGGATCAGATCACGGGCGTCTATGTCCACTGTTGGTAAATCACGTCCGAAGAGCGCAAAATTAATATATACCTGTAGACAGCCATTCAGGGTCTTCAGATTTGCCTTGAATGACCTTGTCTTTCATGACCGCTTCGTCATCATCATCAAACGGAAGTGTGCCAGTTAGAAGACAGTAGAGAATCACACCCATGGACCAAACGTCAACCTCTAAGATGGCATTGAAATTTAACAATTGCAATAAAAGAAAGCAAGGTAAGCGAGCTCACCTGGGCCGAGGTAACGCTTGCCTTGAAGCATCTCAGGGGCCGCATATCCGGTACTACCGCAAAAAGTCTCCATATAGACGCCACGATCATACTCGCGAGTAAAGCCAAAGTCGCCAAGTTTGACGCGACAGCGCTCATCAAGTAAGACATTTTCAAGCTTCAGATCTCGGTGGACGATGCCCTTCTCGTGGAGATATGCAACTGCAAGCGCGAGCTGACCAAAAATGATACTGGATTCGTGTTCGGACGAGCGACCTTTCACAGCAAGATGATCACAACAGCTCGCCACCACAACAGAGTTCTGTGACGATCCAGATGGAGATTCGGTGGCAATGACTTCATACATCTGAGTGACATGAGGGTGGTGAAGTTGGCTGTGGTGGTGTATTTCGCGGGTGAGGGAGAGAAGACATTGCCTTTGGTATTTGCTTTATGGCGACTCTGGTAGAGGTGAGACGGTGAGTGCCCAAGCGAACCTTGCCGTACGCCAGTGTGTCAGGGAGAGAAAAACAGGAGTGAGAGCCAGAAGACATACCCTCACCGATGATCTTTCCAAGGGTGTAGTTTCCTACAGCCCTGATCTTGCTCGAGGAGAGCTCCTTCCCAAGTTCGTTATAGGCATTAGCAAGTTGTGCTTTGTGATTCTGGTTCACGGAACCCGTATGTTTGTGGCCCGTGTGCAGACATGTACAAGTTGAGATTCAACGTAAAGCGGAAATGAGAGGCGCGGGCACAAAGGCCACAGATCTAGTAGTTCACAGATTGGCAAGAAATTCAGTTAAAGGAGAAGCTTGGCAGAAGCCAGCTGTTTGGTAGGACAAGTTGTTCAATGTTACTACCAAGTGAGTGGAGCCACGGGTATACGTAACTGCTAGTTTATGAAAATTTGTGACCCGATGTGCTTCCGCGCTCCAGTGTGAACACAACTACTATACCACGCGCACCCTGCTGTAGCACGGACGACCATGGCACCCGCTAAGCCCTCAAAGACCGTTGCAGCAACAGGAAGAGACCTTCCCTCTTTCTTCGGTGGTACAGTAGTACTGGAGGAGGTAATACCGTGAGTGCCCTTCCTTAATCCATTCATGACTTCTGCGAACTCCTAGCACAAGGTAAGGACAAAATCCGACCATACGATGATGATCGACAGTGACGATATCCCACAGAAAAAAAGTCTCAAGCGAAAAAATATCGTTGTCATTTCGACTGATGAGGAGGGCGAATCGGTCGCGTCGCCGCCGCCAAAGAAGAAAGCAGCCGTCGCTGCGAAATCTGCACCGAAAGTAGTTGCCTCGGCTCCAACCTCAAAAGTGGCTACACCGAAGTATCGGCTTCAAGAACGACTGCACCGAAGGTGGTTGCGTCAGTATCAACGTCGAAAGCAACTACATCGACAAGCAAGGCCAAGACGAACGGAAAGGCGCCTATCAAATCGAGGAAATCAAAGGGAGATGAGTTCGTGGTGAACTCCTCCGAGGAAGAAGCAGAGGAGAGTGAGGACGACTATGAGGACGAGGAAGACGTCAAGCCTGAGAAGAAGGGCAAGACTAAGCCTCCCCCAAAGGCAAAACCGCCCCCCAAGAAACGTTCCCCACAGAAAGCGAAAGCAACAGGCACAGGCACAGGCAAGGCTAAAGAAGAGGACGCGGAGCCGCCCTCCAAACCTTTCAAGTATGCAAATTCTCAGTGTTCCGTTTCTGTTTTTCAACTTCATTACTTAGTTGGGCTGCTGCAAAAGCCGCGATATTGGCTGGTCCGTCTGCTCCAGGTTTGAAACAGGTCCCTCAGCTCAAGTCACCCAATTGTCTCGAGGTGCTGGCCTTTGTTTTCAATGGTCGTTGTCGTTCTCACTTGACGCCTTTCGACGTGACATACAAAATCCTTGGTCCGTACGTGTTTGGCCCGAACGATCGAGAGACACTAGGCGACAAGATGGAATTGTACTTCCACGACCATTCCTTTGTCCCGCTCTTCATTCAAGTGAAACACACTGTTTCTGAGCGCTACGAAAATACTTAACCTCTTGACAGGAAAATTATTTGAAGACTCAACCTGTCAAGGCACGGAACCTCGAAGGACCACCGAAGATGTTGAAGCAGCTCGAGCTGATGAGTATCAAGCCGCGTCTTCTATATCTGACGCTGATCTTGTCGATGCTCTGATTCACGGGTGAGTGGAAATTCAGCATCTCTCTTTTCATTGGATGTCATGACGATGTCTGCTCGTAGCTGACAGTGCGCCCAGGTATAACAGCACGGATCATCCCATACCATTCCATAAAACAACGGACCTCGGGAAAGTCCCCAAGAAACTCGCAGGAGGTCCAGCGCCTGATCTAGAAGACACCTTTGATGTGAGCATCTTGAGCATGATCGTCACCGTGCGTTGATGTCTCTATCAGTCGGACGATGAAGTCGTCGATGCTTCTGATGACGAGAAGAAGAAGAAGAAGATAAAGGGTGAGGACGAGGTCGCTGCTGACAAGCTGTTTTAGGCTAGTAAGCCCAAGACTCAGAGTCAGAAGGGTAAGACGACTACGGTCACAGGGAATGTCAAAGGAAAGAAGGCCCAGAATTTTATGTGATCTATCTAATTTTTACCGTGAATATTATTCCACTGGTCTGTTGAAGGTAGAAATCACGCCTACTCGTTCGTACGGAAGTGTGACTTGTCTTGATTTTATAAGTTGAAGGTGCATGTTTCCAGTCCCGAGTGACCTGGAACGACGAAAACAGAGAAAATATGACTGCTGTGTATGAATGATACATAGAGACCATAACATTTGTGCCACCAAAGCGTTCGATGATGCCGAACCTCGTCTACGAAGCATTGACAATGATCAAGTGAACATGAAAGCAAGAGATCTGTGCGATAACAAGACAGCGCAGCAGATTTTGTTTAATTATGTTTCAAATCCCCACATCTGCAGCCAGGCCTCCCCCGCTTCGGTTTTCAAGAAGTCTTTTGTTCCATGAGCTTGCAGCCAAGCTTCTCCAGCACGGGTCTGCAGCCAGACATGCCCATCTAGTCTCCAGTCAAGATCGTAGATTAATATTTACGCCACGCTGATCTCTTGAACTACATAATGATTATCCCGGCCTGACTCGACACCCCGTCATGTCTCTTTCAGCCTGAGCGTTCTTCAGACCAAATAACTTGAATGCATATTATAAATATTTGCAAAGACTATGTCTAGATCTCCTTGAAATCCGCTCTGCAACACCAAATAAATAAGTACAACGATGAAACTTGTAAATCAAGAAAAAAAGCTAATTCTCCTGCTCCCTGCAGAGCACCAGATTACCGTTAACTCCATTGGGCATCTCCCGTGCTACACGCCACTGCCTGTCGATATTTGCACGCGCTCCTGGAAAGCGATTGAGGTCATGCTGGTTGCTGCATCAGAGTCAGCCACGAGCCGAGCGTGATATTCTCGAACGCCAAGGATAAGGCGTGGTCCTAGCACAAAGGACTGTATGACTTGCAAAACCTCAAAAACCCCAATAAAAATCTCAAAACTGAGGGAAGGTGAGTGCTATAGAAATGATGAACTGCGGTCGCATGCAGAGGTCAGTGAAACATTGACATACCGTTAAGATCTTTGGAGAAAAATCAAGAATGAGGCTGACGCAAGACACGGCAACAAAACTAGCGCGTTCAATCATTCAGCGGAAAAGGGAACCATATTCACAATATGAGCTCACCTCGCAAAGTAAAGCACGTGGGATTTGATCAACACCGTGAAACAGTCCCCGATAATCCCTCCTGCCGAATGTTGTCGCAGTTCACGGAAGTGTTTTACAGCAATCCAGATTGCGAGACACAGTGCGAGGACCTCCCAGACAGTGCTGAGTATCCAAGTAATGGAAACCAGAAGTCGGGAATTGCCCGCAAGGCTAATAAAGCACAAATAGGTGCCAGAGAGAATGACTTCCTCTTGTATTCATCAATGAGCGCCATGCACGGGTTTCATTCACAATTAAGTGTACCTCCTGAAGCATGCCTTGTTACTATTGCATTGGCCACTACGTCGAAAATGTTGACAGCAAAGAACACGACAACGAGAAATATCAGGATCCTTCTGGATCGTTGATACATGGCATGTAACCGAGTGATCATGATGACTGCAACATGTTTCGGTCAAGTCAATATCATAGGTCTCGTAACTGTACAACTCACTACACAGCATTGAATTTGTCACAACAAACGTCAAATCCCACACGATGTACACAATCCGGCCTGAGAAATACGGTTAGTGATGGGCTGTCGGTGGATCACACACCACAAACAGACTCACATCTGTAGCAGTCATGATAGTAAACGAAGAAGCTGGTCAAGAATGACACTCACCCCTAGTACAGGGTGTCGCGGTTAATTGAATGGGAATAGCAGGCATCTGTGCAGAAGACTCACTGCATCTGTCAACAAAATAGTCGGAACACTGTCTGTATGCCACTGGTCAGAAGAAACAAACACTGTGAATGCGAGAAGACATACCCAGTATGCGCAGGCTGAGTGTGAGAGATAGCAGATTAGCACGACACCAATTGTCAAGCCTTATGAACATACATGACAAAGAATAATCCAAGATAGTGCACCTAGGATATTGTCAAGTCAGCAGAAATTCACAACAGGCACACTACGTACACTCAGATAGAGGACGGTCATCAGGGACCAGCGTTGTCTCTGTCGCAAATCAATATTGTTCTTCTGACGTGGAACCGTGCTCACCCAGACCAGTTCGACCTACAAACAAAACTTAGCGAGATGGCTGCCCCGGTCATAGGATCAACATACCTCTTGTCCGAACGTAAGGACTGGAAATACTTGTAGGAAATCAGCAATTCTCTAATGTTATGATGCTCACCCCAATCATACGCTACTACAACAGCAGCAGCAACTGGAAAACCACAATCAAGGTCAGATCGAGACATCAGCGCCTAAATCTGACTGCTCTTCACGAACCTATGAAATAGCTGGTAATACGCAAATCGTTGATGAGTGGCCAATTATGAGGGTCGTCTGAGACTAGTGTCATACTGTTAGAGGATGGATGTGAGGGAGCGGGAAACTTGGTGGACATACGACGATGATATTTGTGCTAGATATACCACCACCATCCAGTGCTTAGATGACCGAAATGAGATGGAGGGATGATATTCGTTGCTGTCGATGGATATGATGTCATGTTCGAAGTGATGAGCGGGACTTGAATAAAATACCAGTGATACGGTAGTACAGGTTATACTAATAGATCTCCTCATATGCGTCGACATGATGCCAGATAACACACTTACCATACAGCTGCCAACGGACACCCTCAATTCTAATGAAAACCGATGCAAAACGTGCCACCATGAATGTATCATGCAGTTGATGTGAATGGGAGTCGAGCTCTGCTCGCATTGTTCGTAGGGTAGGGACGTGGGATTGGAACACGCCTGTGATTTATCAGGCAATAAAATACTGATTTGAAGATGTGGGGCTCAGCAAGAGGTACCCGCTCGGGAAAAAAAGTACATGAGGCCACCTTACGTCGTTAAGGCCCTCACAGACCCTCCCCCCCTCCCGTGGGAACTTCCCACGCTCTAGGGGTGAGCCAAATATAGTAATTTCTGCGGTACTGACAATGGATGTTGAAGCCCAGGGAAAACTGGACATGGCCAAAACGGCTAGGATAGTGCAAAATATTGTTTAGACATATTATTTATGCCACAATATTGTGTAATCTTCAGTGCCACTGTATCGTCTCCGATCACATCGTAAAATCATTACATCATCGTCGATTTGCATCGCGTTACTCGTGTCGTCGATCGCGTTTTTTGTCGACGCACAGTGTCGATGTTTTCACGCGTCGTTCGTCGTCACACAGCTTACTAATTTGTAGCACCCCAGAAGTTGAAATGTTTGGGTAATCTCATTGAAGTCCCCCCAAGTACTGTTCTTCTTCCCCACCATCATCTTTCCCGCAGCTTGTCCCGCCCCCGCCACCTTCCTCTATTGACAGTGAGCCCGTGGATTCAGGTATGTTGTCGCTGCTTTTCGGAAATGGTATTGCCTCACTTTTTTCTCTACAGGCTTACTACAATGATCCTGAGATTGTGCTAGGCTCTAGCCACCGGTGGTAAGTTTGATTTCACTCTCATTTTTAATAACTTATGTTCACTTGTAGCAGGATTCTTATTGCTTTCCTCATTTCGCCTGCCTCATTGCCCCACAGTCATCTGCTCTCGCTCGCCTCATTGCCTCACAGTCGTCTGCTCTCGCTCGCCTGCTTTTGCCTGCCTCATTGCCCCGTGTTTGTTCGCTCTCGCTTGCCAGCCTTGTTACTGTGCTGTATTTGCTGCTGTCGTGTTGATCTGTCGTGTTTCGCATCATTATCGTGCTTTCTGGTCGCATATTGAAGCAATTGTATCAGTAGATTATAGTACAATTCACGTGAATACAACCAATTTTATTTCACACACGCAACTGAAAGAAATGTGGTGAAATATGATATGAATATTTTCAATATACCCTACAATACTTGAGAAGATCACAACGGATGCAAAATATTCTATTCGTCTCCACAGCGAGTCTCCTATAGCGAAATATATTGCTCCCAAATTCGTCATATTTCACGCGATTCCAACGGTTTAGGATATGTCCAGTTTTCCCTGGGGTTGAAGGGCGTGTCACTTGCAGAACATCCTAGGCATTGTACAGACGAACAGATGCGACATTTCGTTATTAAAAAACAATCATTTTCTTTTCTTGTGAGAGCTGGTACCACTGCTGCATATATCACTGCAGAACCAATCTGCCTCGGGTGCATCAAGCAAACCAACACATTCAAAATGAAACTATTGCAAATGGAATCAGCCGCGGTAATAGAGGAACACCAAAACCAGATGAGTACCCATTGATTGCATCTATCAAAGCTGCATTGCACCATTTCTCCAGATTCTGGCCCTCGATGTTGGATTTATTTGTTTCATAGTCATTTCGAGCGCAGTCAGGTACCATATGTCGCGATGTCGCGCACTTACATATGATCGTTTTCGTACCTATTCGTACCTTATGTTAGTTTACAATAAATACAGGTAGTCTATCAAATGAATCTCATTGGGACAGCCCTTTCTACAGGCGCGACAGTTGGTGAGACCCTCTTCTTGGATGCTCGAGAGGGGCCTTCTGATTTCACCTTCTGTTTCTTGGAGGAATCATTGTCTTCGTAATCCGAGTCGTCATTGGGTGCGTCATCCAGGCCTTTGTCCATGTCTTCGTCCGGGTCCTCTGAGCCAGACCGAGCATCACTAGACATCAAGGAAATGACCTCCTTGCCGACCTTCTTCTCCACCTTCTTCTCGGCCTTTTTCTCCACCTTCTTCTCGACCTTCTTGTCAGCCTTCTTCTCCACCTTCGTCTGGCCCGTTGGGCGCTGGACTACTATGAACTCGCGGGAGGGGGGAGGTTTGACAGTAGGGCGGACGGGAGAGGTGTCCACGTCTGAATCATCAGCTGCCTGAGGCTCGTCCTCCGAAAGAGATATTGTGGAAGCAGGAAGCGTTGATGCCTTCTTCGAAGATTTACCTTTGATCCTTGTAGTAGCCATGCTCGGTTTCTGGTGGGGAAGCCCCCGGCGATCTGATTGGCCGTTCGCAAAAAGGTGACGTCCTGCAGCGTTGTACCAAACATTCCGGCGCTAGCCTCACAATCACCTCTTATGTTCAATCCGGAGCCCACCTGGTCAGGTATTAGCATCCCCACCCATCCAGCCTCTTCCGTTGGCATCCGTCCGTCCGGACACCTATCGGATACGATACCGACAACGGACTCCCTTGGTTCCTGCCTATCCATGTCCATCCATCCCCATTGGTGCGTCATTTGTCTTCTTTTTATCACCCTAATCAACCAGCAGTCCGTATTACCTGTACTTCCCATACATGAGGCCGCTTACCGTCCTTTACATATTACCGCGCTACGGACTCGCCGATGCTACCGCCGCTTAGCGGATTCCGAGTTCTTACGGATTCTGATAAATAGTTGCGTCGTATTCTACCAATATCACTTCCCTTTTGCTCCCTTGGATTTGTATCTAAGTCTAAGTAATCAAGAAAGTCCCCTTAGTCTTCCGCGTCGCAACGGACATCTTCCCGCACCTCGGACCACTTCCGGTAGCTCGTTACCTCGAGACCTTGAAACCTTGACACCTCGAGACCTTGACACCTTGACACCTTGATCATCGTACCGCTAGATATCCGTCCTACACGAACCATCCTCCGTCCGGACACTCCCTTCCTTAGACCGGACTTCACCCGTGTGTCCGCCGCACAGATCTTAAGCCTGTCGGATTGATTCCTTCGCATTTATTGCGAAGACTTCCTTCAGTAGCAATCCCCTTGGGACGAGCTATTATACTCGCACTCATACGGATCGGTAGTCTACTCTAACAGGCTACACGGAATCACTTTCGCTCAGCGTGCTCAGAATCTCCTGCAGGGGGTGCACCCACCAGTATTGGGACTTCAGAAGTCACAAGTTTAGCTGTGCGAAATGATCAGTGGTGAGACTGGAGGCTAGGATGATCATAATAAACATACCTTGCTTGGCTCCTGAAACCTTTGTGACGTGCATAGTGCCAGCCTGCAATGCCACGACGATGGTGCTGATCTCCTTGAGAGTCAAGTTCGCAATTCCTTTATTGGCATTGGAATGAACCCCGCCGGGGAGGAGCACATCGTCCGGATAGCCATGGCAGCGTCTTCCATGGAAAAATCTTGAGGGATGATAGTTTGCCACCGTGGATGTCTGTTCCTCGCCGTCAGCATACCGATAAACCCAATACATTAAACATACCGATTTGACGAGATATCTCGTCCTTAATCCACTTGAGTCCATTCTTTGCGATGTCGATACATTCTGCAGGGGGTTTTGAAGCCACGCGGGCGTTGCCCTGGACCTCCACAACCTTGTCCTCAAAGGCCTCTTCGACCACAGCCAGAGATGCAAGGTTACTGGGGTTTGAATGAGAACTCAATCCGCAAAAGATCCACAAGAGCACTCACTATACTTGCGCTTTCAAATGGCCGATGATGGTATCTTCGTCAGCCTTGCACTGTGACAACCAAAACTGAAAGAGATATCAGATAATGTGCAAGTGACTTTAAAAAACACTTACGTCGCCAGCTCCAGATGTTGTATGGGCCATGCCCAAAGAACCGTCTTGATTGACGACTTTGCCGCAGGCTACAAGTGCAGCCTCGAAGCCGAAACGGGCCGCTCCGGTGTCCATCTATATGCCTTCAGAGACATGGCAGTAAGAGAACATCATTGTACGTACTAATCCAGAGAGCTTCTTCGTAAATTTTTGGAACTCCTGTCCCCGTGTGGAAACTGTCTGAGGTCCACCGAGGAATAACGCAGTCTCACCATAAATCTCGAGAATATCCTGCCAGTCGTTTGGGAATGATTTTTTGAAAGCATCGTAGCACTTGCGGCGCACGCTGGCACCTTTATGTCACGATGTTAGCATAACAACATCTGTGGAAGAGATAGATACTCACTTGGTGTGCTGGGAGCCTCTGGGGCCTTGTCTCCGAGCCTGCTAAGCTCCTGCTTGAGGTTATTTTTGAAGTAATTGGTGTATGCGTTCCAGTGGTTCACGTTGTTGACAGTGCGTGCGTGACTCTTGTTCCACAATGAAATAATTTGGGGGGAGGGGATTGACGTGTTGCGGGCGAGGTCATTGATGACACGTTCCAGTTCTACGAAGCCCTCTTGCAGGGCGGCATTCGACATCATTTTTCCACGGCCGTCGTTCAGCCAGGCTGTCAAAGAGGTGGAGCTCTTTAGTTGGGATATATATTGCGCAGAGTACCCAGTGTCCGACTGGTGAGGGACGGTGAATAGGTAAGATCCAAACATCTTTTTCCCAAAAGGACGTCCACGCAGTATTCCGCCATAGTATCTCATCCGACGCGTTGTATTGGATACGCGGGAGGTTGTGTGTGGAAAAAATGGCACAAGGCCACATGCGTGAACTTGTCAGTATCTCAGAGTATAACAGTGCCGCGCAACCATTGATACACATGTCGTTGAGGCGGGCAGTGGGATGTGCCAGGAAGGACTGATCCCTTGTGTCGAACACTTGACAGGGAAAACCATCCTGCGCTGGTTGCACCCGAGTCGGGGGGGCGCCTGAGGATGGTACTATGACGTGATCCTCTTCGCGAGGAACTTTGAAAGTATCTGTACGAAGATTCTATGATATTTGATGAGTCCAAGTACATATTTACAGACGAAGACATACCTCTGGCAGTTCCCAGCTTATCATGAATTCGGGTTCTGGTATGACTTCATCATCCTCGTCATCACTAATGGTACCTTGGGGTAAAACATCCATGAGCACCGCTTCTTCAACAGCTTCTTCGAATGCAGGCACAATAAATTCGTCTGCGTCATCCTCGGGGGAGGGTTCATCGAGCGCCAACAAGGTTGGTATGAGCCTGTAGATACTACCTTCTGATAGTCCCTCACAAAGAGTGATCGCGAGATTGGTTGCCACTGTGATATTGCTGATGAAGCGGAAAGAAGACGCTAGCGGGGTGACCCATTTAGTTTGAAGTGGGAGTACATGATCCCGCCATTGCTGCAGCGGAAATAAAAAGGTGCGATCTGGTAAAATCAGTACCAATCATTAAAACACTAAAATGACTTACTTGCAGGAGAACGTAGGGCAACCTCTAGTGCAGCCAACTCGTCTCTAAACCATCGACAGAGATTGTCGGCTTCGAACCCAAGACGGCGCTGTTCCTCTTGACATCGCTGTCGTTTCAGCAAAGCTCGTATCCCATCTCGTACGTCGGCGTCTTCCATCCAACGGGGGACATCTCCTACGGATGGGGTGATCCAAACATCCTCCATCAACGTCGGATCATTTCGAAGGTCAGCGAGTTTGGTAGGAAGAGGAGCGGGGAGCGGGACACCCCAAGATGGGTCATAGAGGCTCTCGAGACGCTCACAGTAGCCATTATACTTGCAGATTGCAGTCATCAAAGCTGGTTGGCACTTTGCAATGGCTTTGCGAGTCTGCTGATGGAGCTTCGTGCCTGTTAGAATGAGTCAAAATTCAGATATAGCAAGACAGAAGCATGGAATATTACCAAGGGCCTGATTTGCACCGCCAACTGCGCGGTCGAGTTTATCCCACTCAAAAAAGCTGCCTATAGCTCGCTTGCGGATGTTTATTTTGAGGTCACGAGCCATGAGAAGAGTTCGAACGAAGTCTAAGTCGACACCTTGGAGTTCAGGAAATCTGTTGTGGACGTTAAGTGTTAGTCACGTGACTATCGGAACCAAATTTTCGAACTTGTTGTTACCGTTTGTTAGTTAGTACCACTGGGTGTCTGCCTATTCCAGAGGCCAATACGCGCACCATGCACGGCTCCCCCTAGTGGGACACATTCAACTGCTCAGGCGTTGATCCGTGACCATCCGCCATTAACTTGAGCCACTTAGGTCCCTGGGCACCAAGGCACCCTGGGAACACTCTTTGTTTTATTTTCATTTTTAGATGTTTGGGTGAGGTGTTAGACGCGGCAGGAGGTCTCTGCACTAGCACTGATGAACCCTTCATCTATTTACTAGTAAGTCATTTTTCTCTTTCTGGTTTTCATTATTCCGCCTGTCTTTTTTTTTCTTTCTCTCGCTATTCCGGTATGTCCTTTTTACATTCATCTTCGGAGACTCTCAACCTGATTGTATACACAGATTATCTAATTCGTTCGAGATTACAATGTATCGCTATGCGATCAGTGCTTTCTTTGCTATATGTACGTTGCTTCCAGAGTCCCTCGTTATTTTTTCTGACATGTGAGATGATTAGGTTGTCACCATTGAGCAGGAGCAGGAGCGCCAATGAAAATGTGCGGAGAAGCAACGGGAACGTGAAAATCTTGAGCTGCACAAACACATTCAAACGCTCGAGATGTTGCGGACATTGGCAATTCAAGGCCCAAACCCGCCTGCTCTCCATGACACTTCCAGCTCGACCCCAATCCTCTCATCCATTTGCGCACCATCACCTGCGTCAGCAACATCTCCTTCAACAACAGACTCCGCATCTCCCACCCCCCGCTACGATCGAGGTTAGCCACCTCCCACTCTTGAGCATACAAACCAAACTCACGTTATGTTGTTTTAGCTTGAAGACGAGGCAGCCACAGACACAGCCCTTATGCGCTTGTGGGCAGAGATTCTTATGTCACCGCCGACAGGCACTGGCGCTCTTCCAGGCACTTGCCCATTGTCAGAAAACGCGCACATCACGCAGGTGCTGAGTGAGACTACTCCCATAGAGGTGTTTGGCCTAGGGCTGGTTACGAGTGGAATAGACACAGTTGACTGGGCGGAACAAGTCTGTGTAGAGATGGGGATAGAAAAGCTGCTAGAGATGCTGCCGAGTACGCAGGACGTTGTTATCGACTCGAGCACCACGTTGGATGTCGACATGGACTTCTCGGATGCACTGGTGTGGGACGAGGTTAGCGTGTACTAAAATGGTGGACCTCTCTAGATCACAGTTCATCAAACGCTTGACCAACATCGTCAGTCTCCGCGACTCCGTGTCATATGTATCATTGTTCTCGCCTTTCACATTTATCTCATCACTCATCGGACTCGTCATCATCATTTTCGTTCACATAAAGCTGTCTATGTTCTATCTATCTCCTACTCTATCTTGCTTGATTTCGACTTGTCTTGGTCTTCTCTGGTCCTCCTTTTTTTGCATCACTCGCTTTTGTTACCATCCACACTCACCTACGGCTACACACCTGCACCCGACCCCCTTGTTCATTCCGCCCCCCTCTCCCGTGCAGCCGAACTCGGGTGCGGCAGGTGAATATTCTGGTTTGACTGTCATCCGTGCATACCAGGACTCTCTTGGGGAGAGGTACCGTGACGTGTGCTTGATACCCATTAGCGCGTATGGCACGAATCCTGCGGTGTGTCTCGTATTGTCTTCTGTCGAGTGATAAAACTGATGGAGGTGATAGTCGGCTGTCATGGCGGGCTTGAAAGTTGTGGCGAGCGAGGAACCAAGCCATTCGGGACATTCTTTCTGATTTTCGCCGTGTTCTATCTCAGGCGAATTATATCTTTTGTCTTCGAGGTCATGTGCTTGGTGAACATGTATAAATTCTACACCTACCCTTCTATGTGTCCCAGGTGTATGTACACTCCAGCCTTACCCTCGCCCTCGTGCTCACGTTATACTAGACCAATTTCAGCATTTGATTAACCATTTCTGGTCTGATGAGCTTTCAGTTGGCTGGTACATGGGCGGAGGAAAGAATTCTCCGATGCTAAAGAAGCAATATCATACAGAAGATGCAATGTGAAAGAAGCAGCCGGTTAACTAATGCCTTGGGGACACATTGCTCATTCGCGCCTTGTCTCTTTTCCCCATCCCTCATGTCCACTAATCCTGGCATTCCTGGTAGATGTCGCTTGTGCGGTGATGATTGTGCTGCATACACTCCAAGTACACCATTGAACTCAGAGGTACGCCTTGCTTTTGATATTGATTCTTACTCACTAGTTTTATAGTCAGACTGCTACTGCAATCACGGATGTAGCCAACATATGCATCCTGCTGCAAATTTCCCTCCCCAAGGAGGTTTACAAATGAATGGTATATCGTGTTTAGGTTACCGGACAATGCAAAATTCACCTGTAAGTCTATACCTTGAATTGATCTTTGGCAATGTTTTGATTTCAGACGGTAGATAACAAATTTTCGTCAGCCCTGTGGAGGATGCTCGCTTGGCTATAATGCTCATAGCCCGCTCATTTCGGCATCACCCTCTATAGCATCGAGTACTTCATTCAGGCCACCACCTCATACCACTCCTTCTCTTCTACCTGTTGCCGAGTCGCAGGTATCACTACGGGAGCCCCAAGGCAATCAGACCTATGAAAACTTCTTTGTGAACCTACCACGTCATTCCATTCCCTCGTATACCAACACATCCTCAGCAACCACAACATCTTTGGTGACTGGTTACACTCCAGCACGTGTCGCTCAAACAGCCTTTGGGGTGCCAATGTCTGGGGTTTCAATGCCCACATATAATGCTCATGGTCGAACCAGGGGCACTGCTATTGTGCGCTCTGCACGCCCAAGGGTCCCAGGGAGTGGTGTGACTTTGAAAATTCTGATAGTTCTTTTACCCAAGGATGTAGGTTTATGAGGAGTTTTTTCGCACTGAGTGTACGCTAACTGAGTGTACAGCTCTCCAATGTCTGTAATGAAGATGCTCCAGATTTTATGGACGAAGATTTCCTCTCAGTTACACGGATGCGTACGGGCGAAGAGCTTGCTTCGGATCTTCGGTTTCTCTCGAGATATGGCCTCACGAAGAAGCTTACCCTTCAGCGCCGAAATGCTGATGACTATGTCCTGGCCGACTTAATCAAAGCAGTCACAGATGTCACCATCAATGCCAATATTTGTTTCCCATCATATACCCCCGATCCACTGGATCTTGCTCCAGACAAGCTGAATCAAGATGTCCGCACAGATTTCCACAATCTTCCCTTCCGATTTATTGTCCCTGGGTATTCCAATGCCCATCAGGGTCAGCGGTACCTGCGCGTTGATTACTCATTTTCATTCCAGCAGCTCCGATTCTCTAGCTTCCAGAAGAAATGTGAGAGAGTCCGAGCACCAGACGACCACTCCACTGGACTATTATTTCTTTGTACGTTCTGGATGTTTGCTGACTTAGTTGAAAGAACTAAATATGTTCAACAGGTCCAAAAGGCGGACCTCTCATCGGACCAGTGGAGCCAAGGTCCTCCCACCAACATTTCTGTTTTGCCAACCGTATCATGGGCCATCTAGTGCAGGGCTTTGATGACACTCCATCTGTACCTGGACGTTTCTTCACCGTCCCATGCAAGATGAGATGCCCAGATGATGCACCCACCCCTCCTACGTCTTTAATACCAGCAACCCCATTCTCATCATCTTCGTTGATGATGGGGTCCTCTGGTTCCGGTGCTAGTCTGTCCTCTAGTTTTAGCAGTGCTGTTCCTCGCTATCGGAATAGTGAACACTCTACATCACCCTCAACTGCAATCACTACATTGTCAGGCAATGCGCTGGCTGGTCGAGTTCCTCGGTATCTAAATAGAGACCGTTCTGCATCACCTCGTCCATTACACCATGGACGACACCAAAGGACCTTGTCACCTGAAAGGCTGATTCTGCAGCGGCCTCCTGTATCTCCCTCAAATATCCATTCCCAGCCGGCATTGTCACCCATCTCACCCAATCTCCACCCCCTGCCTGACACCGTGGCTGACATTCCATCACGATCAGCTAGAACTCTCCAGCCATTTCCATTGAGACAATCTTACGACGAGTTGATCGCCCCCCTGATCCCCTTCCGTGCAGGGAATATTTGTGATCTTTTTGATCTATCACAGGCTATTCACTCCTCTGCCGACCAGGCCTACTCTGATTCTACTCTGTGCATAGAGGCCAGTACCGTAACAGACGCAGCTAACGGCATCATCAATGTTTTCAGACGCTACTATATGCAGCTCAGTGAAGGCAATGCTCTGGACTCGGATACATTGAACTTTACCAACCCCAACCTGCATGGCGCTTTTGCTATCTACCGACGGGAGAACCTAGTGAGACATGATCTTACTGTTGGGGACATGAAGTCCATAGTCTCAATACCTGTGTGGCACTTCCAAGCGTAAATAATATTTTTCCTTCATAAGACACATTGCATGTACTGACTCGTCACATTAGTGGTCATCGTAATGCGACTGACAGCTTTGGTAATGGTGTCATGCGACAAGTGATTCATACTGCCCTTCGGAAAAGTGTTTCCTGGACGTCCAATGGTAGTAACGAAGATAATTTGGCACTGGTGGAGGGCGATGTCTGCATTGAACTTGATGATGACTTTTGGGCTCTCAAGCTATTGCGGTTCCCTTCTTCCACAAAACTCGCCACCATTTTTGCCATCGGTCGTCTCTGCGCCTTGCACCTCCTTCAGGTGAAAAACGGGCCTCATCCAATCTCGCCAGCTCTGCTGAGTTTTATCGTAAGCAGTGTCTCATCTCTGACAACTTCAGAATCCAACCATTTGTGGCTTGGCGACAATCTATTCCCTACCTTAGCCAACATTATCAAGTCTCTGCCCACCGAGGATGATAATGTGTCCAACCTTGTCATGGATGGAGCGAACCGAGATCATATCACGAGAATTTGCCAATCTCGTCTGATGACCGATGTAAGTGCTACTGCTCTTAGATTGACAATGTTCCACGGCTTACTTCAATACATAGTTTGGTGAGATTCAAGGCACTCCCTCAGAACGCTGGCCGATGGTATGGCAAGACTTGATCTGCGCTGCCCTGCTCGGTTACTCCCACGATGAGTTTGTCAACTCCAGAGAGTACCTGGCTTTTAAAGATGGATTCGACCTCCATGTAATGACGTCTATTCCTTCGCTCTCTGAGGTATGTCGACCACTAATTCCTGTCCATTCACAAACTCAAAAACCTTCATCAGATTTTACGACCAAGTTTTGGTAGCATTCTTCGATCAATTTATGATTGCCGTCCAACCGCCGATATCTTGGAAAACATTCTATGCTTTGAGGTTGATGGTGATGACAACTTTCGTGCTCAATTGTCTCCCTATCTCCGTGCATTCAAATCTGCTGTCTTGAAGTATTTGAATGGCAGAGGCCACCCCCGTCACTCCGTCTTTGAAAGTCTACGTGATGATGAAGCAATGCGCCCGCACTATTGTGCACTCCGTTTTGTTCAGGTGTTGAGTGGAATTCCTTTGGTGCCAGCAGACCCTCTAGCACGATTTATGGTCTGTGACTTCTTCTCTGTTTTTGACCGTGTCTCATCATATTTTAACATCTAGGTCAATGTTACACAGCACGTCCCTGTTGACGCCACATTCAATGGTCATCTAAACGTAAGCTATAACATACCAATGATGTTTGTAAGGCTAACGGCTTCTATTTTAGCCAGAAACTGATCTGATTCCACCCATCACACATGCCTGTATGCTCAGGCTTGACGTATTCATGAACCCACCACTCATGAACTGGTTGTGTGCGCCGTTGCGTGCTGATGAAGATGCATCCCCTCTTGATGTATGCCTTCACATGGCATTAGTTGAAGTTGGTGAGGACTCCTTCTCGGCACGTTTCCCTTTATCATCATAATTTTTCATATCCTCTGTTCCCTTGCTGCACTTTTCATTATCTGCGTGATTTTTCATGTCTCCCTCTGTATTTCCTTGCTGCACTATTGACCGCCATCATACTCATTATCATTGCACGTACTTGTCTCCTGCCACATATCCAAGATCTGTATTTCCTTGCTGCACGATTCACTGTTATCATACTCATTATCATTACATGCACTAGTAATGCCTTCCGTTAACATTTGCACGTCCATTCCCTCCAAGTCTATATCAGTTCATACGTCCTTGTTAAAATAACCCGTCTGCTTTCTAACGTAGCTAACATCCAAACACATAATAATGCGCATACCACTTTTGCCATAAATTCTGCATCCCACAAGCGGCACCAGGCCCATCACTAGCGGGATTAATCCTATAGCTATAGATGAGTAAGTAGTTTCAAATTCAAGTTGATTTGGTTCCTCGGAGAGTTGAGTTGACAACTTCTGACCCTCAACCGAGTTGCAATGTGATCAAAGTTGAGTTACCATGTGACTGAGTTGAGTTGCCAATCGTCAAGTTGAATTGCCACGTGACTGAGTTGAGTTGCAAACTGTCAAGTTGAGTTGCTAATTCTGAGTCAACATTTTAGTCCAATACGGTCCCTCATAGGAAACGGGAGCTCGACACGCTTCTGACATTCAAGAATCAAGACGCTCGACCGTGTTATTGATGTTTGTTTATGCGTTTTTGTCGATTACATAACTTGAACTTCACCATTCGTGCACCGTGCTCTGGCACTTAACTAACTTTCCATAATACAAACAAAGAATATGATTCATTCTGGTTGTGGTGGTGGTCATTTCGATATTCTTTTTGGGTTGGGAATCGAGCGTTAACTTTCTATAAGTTGGCAGGTGTTCAAGGACCAGGTCACGGTCACCCAGAGTAGTACTGCTCTAAGGCCTAAGGGCCTAACCGACGACAAGTCTCAAAATCACTCAAACCATGGCTTTAGGTGTTTGTTGTGCCCTTGTTTCAATAGACTTGCGACTTACCGTGTATCCCAGGTTGAAGGCTTGGAGTCGTTGAGTGCCCGCTGCCTCTACTCAAATTCCACGAGTCTTCTGGCAACATGCGCGACTGTCTTCCTTCGTCGACTCTCGTGGATGATAGCATGGTTAACGCCCGTATCAGTTTGTCACGTGCGTACCAAAGCGAGTCTAAGGTGGCACAGATTAATGACCCAGGCTCCATATGATACTGACCTTTACCATCAGTATCACGGAACAGTTATTCACACACCTGGAGTCTAGGAGGACCGTGTTGGACCCAATCTTCGTGTCTTTTTGTCGCTAGCGCTGGAATCAGAGCGCCAAGGCTGTGATAATCGTTAACCATTCCTGTGGAGCTCCACGGTCGGATCCGAAAATCCAGGGACCGGGCTCTAAGTGTTTTATATTGCAGCATTTTGTATCTCTGAGCTACATATGCAGTCATGCCGCGAGTTCACCCTTCTTGCACAAATCGGACACGGGCTCAAGAACTCGCGTGGGTTAACGTGTCGTTCACGTGTGCGCGGTTAATCACCATTGGCTCATGAAAGACCTCGGGTTCGACTCTTGGCGCACAAGCGGTTCTGGACGTTAGGACGTGATAAAGGCTGTATCATCCGATAGTTGAGTAAGGACTACGCATGTTGCAGTTACTTATATTGTTGTGTCGCGAGCTCACCACCCCTCTCACCGTTTTCAAACAGGTTTTAAAGGCTCTCACAGTGTCGAGACATACGCTTCTCCAAGTCAGTTTATTGACAATGGTGAATCGAGGCTGCTGGTGAAGCTTTCAGACGGATGTGCAATGGATTGCCAGAGGACTCGGGGTTAGATGACTCGCTCAATATCTTGCAAGTTGGTGTCCCGAAATCGTGGAATCATACTCATTACTTGATTTTCGGCTCATGGACGTGGCTACCGGCACTTTTGCCGTGATAGGTGAATGCGGTATTGGTTCGTATGCTGCTGCTGCTCGATCCCAGCAGGGCGTCACGAAGAGGTGTGGAGTGAATTGAAGATGGCAAGGGTGTCGAGCACGAGTGCGGGGTCGTGTGGAAGGACAGTGGTAATTAATACGTGGTTTCCGATATCTGATACGAATCAAATTACAGAGTATCTGTGTGTTTGTATAAAATCATTGTGTACCGTCAACACTGCTCAAAGATATCATCCGAGTCTTCCAAAAAAAATTAGACACAGCTACAATACTTCTTGTGTTCTGATATTCATCATGCTGTGAACAGATACTACCTGTACAATGATATCGTGATCTGATGCAATCCTCTTGTATTCTCTGCCATGCTGTTGCGCTACCAAAAATGCGCCAAAAGGCTGTCCGAGGCCAGCGATCAATCTCAATGCTTGTGAGTGATATTCCGAATCAATCGGCTCCTCTTCTTCATGTGAATCACCGGCAGACTCGTCAATCACCCAGCGGAGACTCGGGCGAGGCAAATCTCCTAAGCTGTCCATATCGTCTGCGAAGTCAGGCAACTCGAGAAGATAACGGTCCCACGGATGGACAAGTAAGAAAGCCCGTCGGGTGGGCCTTTCCCGCCATAATTTGATCAGCTTCTCTTCGGTGGTGATCAGCAGGTCATCAAGGCCCGTCCGCCTTCACTGCATACGTGAAGAATGTCTCTTAAAGTGGACCTGACCTCTGCCTGACTTCTGTGACTCGGAAGGTCATGCAAGGCAGATGCAGTCTACAGTGAGGGAAATGAGGAGCACTCATGTTATGAAGCTCCATTGCCCAAGCTCCACTGCTATCCAGGGCGCATGGACGTCTGATACGATGAAATGGAAGACCTCAAACGACGAACTCGAACTCGAGGATGCAGTACGTGTGTATCTCATCTCATCTGAGGTACTATGTTTATTAATACCCACTCGATGACGGGACGGAACTTACCAATTCAGAATCGTAAGTTCCAGTGGCTCATCCTGATCGCCAGGCAGCATCTGACAGAAGTGGAAGAGAAGAACGAAGCGTGTAGCAGGGAATGTTCCTTTGCCTTTTGCGTAAATGTTGCTGTTAGAAGAAGACGACTCAAAGGGGTACGAATGCTATTAGTTCCAACTAAATGTCTGGTCAGGAAGCAAAAAAAATGCACTGAGCTATGAGTGAATGTTCCGGAGCCAACTAGATAACGGGCGCTGGCACATTGCCAACACAGCTTACTGAAATACTAGCCCATCTTCGCATGGAACAGCAGCAGACATCAAAGACGCACAAGAATGCTTTGCAGCGAACAGCCCGGATCTTATCTGGCTGTCGAGAGCGATGATAACCCAGTGGACACTGACAAATGAGGTTGGGGCGCTTCAGCTACACAGCCTATGCTGCATATAAGACGTGAACACCAGAATAAAATACCATGAAGCAGTGAACTCAACTCTGACTTGACCGGAACACCCAGTGTTCCCTACCATCCGCCCATCGCTGTTGTCCTCGGTAAGTGATGGATTTTGAATTTGATGAGTGAAAGCTGAGACGGCGCTTTACTCAGTAGTTGAAATTCTGGAATGTCTTCGCCCACCACTCATAAGAAAGGGATATCGGCAATTACGCCTTGCCAGAAATTTGAAGGACACACCAATTGGGTCCGCAGAGCAATACACCTACCTGACGGACAGTGGATCATTACTTGTTCAGATCGGATCGCTTCTTGGACCCGAACCAGGTGGCACCCCCAAACAGGACCCCGAAAAAACAACCCTCAACGCAGCGCTCAACAGCGCAAAAGACGCCCAACGGCGTCTTTGCGCATCAAGACTTCTCAAGTAAAGAAGCCAAGACCGCGCAACTTTAACACCACCCCCGGTCCATCAAGAAGCCAACATCAACCCGATCAAACCCCCCATCAAAGAACCAAGACCCCGAAACCCCCAACAATGCCGACCAACGATCCCTCAAGCCAGTCGACAATGACCCAAACTGGAAGAATCAACAGAAAAACCACTGCAAACAAACCTCTCCTCTCAGCCAGTAAATCGATAGAAGAACACGTCACAGGTCAGGGAACAAAGACCGACATCACCAACCTGAACGCAGCAAAGAAGATACTCTCCACACATGGCCTAAGCATCCCATCAGCAGGAAACACACTACTAATCATCTCAGCTGCTCTCTTCGAATTCAGCGTAATGGCCAACCTTGGAGCAACGCACACAGAGATCATCCGAGCCTTCGCCTTCACCATCTTCGAAGCACAAAAGGACATAGACACGGAGAACATAATAGCGAAGGTCAAAGCACTACTGGGCGGTCCGGTAGCGACATTGGACATGAAAGTAGAGGCACTGGAGGAGATGCTAGAGAAACAGAAGAAAGAAATGGAGAACACGGTCAAAGAGGTGCGCAGTAACATCCAAGAATCGGTAGAAGAACTAGTAAGGGCAGCCAAAGGCGCAAGTCAAGTCACCTCCAACCAACCACACGTGTGTATAGACAACACAGGGTCTAACGGACCTCAGACATACGCAGCAGCAGTGAAAACTAACCCTCCTATGATACTAACGAAGGCATTGGCAAAAAGCGAGGCACATGCTCGACAGATTCTAATAGACAGGAGATCCCCGTTCTACTCCAACACGCTCAAAGATCTCACGGAGGCACAATTGGTAGCAAAGGCCACACTAGCAATTGAACTCATATCCAAAGACGACAACAACATCCCTAAGGATTTAGTTTTCCTATCAGCAAGAAGATTACCTCACGGTGGAGTACTCTACGAACTCAACTCAGCAGTATCGGCAAAGTGGTTCGATGATCCGGCACATAGAAGCAAGTTTCTGGAACATTTCGGAATAGAAGTCGTCATCAAGGACCGATCATTCCACGTAATAGTTGAAAACGCTCCGATATCCTTCATTCCCGACAATCACGCCGCAATAGCTGACGTAGAAAGGAAAGCCGGCCTCAAACCCAAGTCAATCCTCAAGGCAAGATACATTAAACCGATTGCTAGGCGAAACCCGGGACAACGCACAGCCCATGTTATCTTTACGTTCAGTACAAAAGAAGGAGCGAACCAGGCGATCAGATTCGGCTTATCAGTAGAAGGTAAGAAGGTTTACGGAAGGAAGCTGATCCAAGAACCCACCAGATGCCTCAAATGCCACTCGTTCGACGGTGGACATGTAGCCGCTAACTGCCCACAAGAACAAGACAGCTGCGGGACATGCAACGAGCAACATAGAACCGCAGAATGCGCGACAACAGACCAAGAACACTTCAAGTGCAGAAACTGCAACGAGGCTGGACACGCTGCATGGAGCCGAGATTGCCCGACATTCATCAAGAGGCTAGAGCACCACATGAACCGCAACAACGACGCTAAGTATCGCTTCTATCTGACCGAAGACCCACTTACGTGGGAAACGCTGAACAACCCAACAGAAAGTGAAGACCCAGCTTTTAGGCCGCATCAACAGCAAACGAACCAGGAAGAACAACACCCCCAAGTAGCACCACACCCCCAAACAGCCCCAGGAGAAAGAGAGAACAACCGGAGAACAACAAACCCAAGCAGAACCATCCCCCGCAACGCCAACAGAATCCCGTTAGGAAACCAAGGACGCATACCGGAGTCATGGATCCAACGCCCACGCCCAATCAACCAGCCAACCCCCACCCCCACCCAACCCCAGGAAGAAGACCGCCAGAGCAACTGCGACAGAGAATGGACATCAAGCGACCTCGGATCACCGTATGGCAAATACAACGCGGAAGGCGGTTGGGATCAAGACCACGTTGGAAATCAATGAACGACAACACCCAACCCGATACACCCGCCAACATCAGTCTGAAAATTTGGCAACAAAACCTACGCAAATCGTCCAACGCATGGGAACACATGTTAAGAAGCCTCGACCCGAACATATATGACATAGCATGTATACAAGAACCCTTTCTCAACACTGTAAATTTGGCTAACGCTTCTAACTTAAAACAATTCTGGGATGTCATCTACCCGACCGACCATCACACCGGCGCAGGAAGATCACAAACGATCATGCTAGTCAACAAAAAACTATCAAAAAACAATTGGCATATTATACCAGTGAAATCACCCAACATCATGGCCATCGAACTAACGGGCCAATTTGGCAAGGTACGTCTGTACAACATATATAATCCCTGTGATAGCGACACAACGCTCCACTTCCTCGAGAGGCACATGGCCTCCGAGGACAATGCCAGGCGCAACCGCGCACATAGAATCGCTCAAGGCGACAACGACGAAAGTCAAGAGTATATAATTTGGCTCGGTGACTTCAACCGCCATCACCCCATGTGGGAATTGTCACATAATACGCATCTCTTCACCGCGGCGAACTTAGACGCCGCGGGTACACTAATCAACTTACTATCCTTGTATAACCTTGTGCAGGTACTCCCGCCGGCCATAGCCACACTCGAAGCCTCCAACACCAAGAACCTCACACGCCCAGACAATGTCTTCTGCTCCGCTCAACTCGAACACTCATTCATCCAATGCAACGTAGAGCAACATCTACGCCCGGTAATCACTGATCACTTCCCGATAATAAGCTCAATAGACCTCCAACCGGAAAGAGTCCAAACCACGCCTAGAATGAACTATCGCGAGGTCGAATGGGACACGTTCCGCACTGCCCTAGCATCCAAACTCGACTCAATCCCCCAACCAGTCGAGCTAACCACGATAGAACAGTTTGACGCAGCATATACTAACCTAACGAAGAGTATTGCCGACACAGTCGCAGAGCAAGTCCCCAAAACAAAGCCATCACCATACTCGAAGAGATGGTGGTCGAAGGACCTAGACACTCAACGCAAGGAAGTACAGAAACTCGGACGCAAATCAAAGCATCTAACGGCACGAAGACACAACCCGATACACGAAGAATATAGAACCGCACGTAATCAGTTCTCGGAGAGTATCAAGAGGGCGAAAGCGGATCATTGGAAAGACTGGCTGAACGATCTCACGTCAACTGACATCTGGACACTTCACAGGTACACCGCAAGCTCACCAAGCGATCAAATACACACAAGGATCAAAACGCTCAATGATCCAAGGGAGAACGAGCGGAACGGCGCAACACAGGACAACACGAGGAAAAGCGAGCTACTGTACGACGTATTCTTCCGCCCGCCTCCGATCAACGCCCATGAAGAAGAAAACCCCGAGTATCCCAACCCCGTTTGTGAATTTGAACTCATCACAGACATGCAGATCCATCGCGCCATCAAGAAACTCTCCCCGCTCAAAGCCCCCGGTCTAAACGGCATCAGCAATATCGTATTCATGCGCAATGCAGACCTACTCGTCCCATTTATGGGCCCGATATTCAGGGCCACGTTCACGCTCGAAGTATACCCAGACGACTGGAAACGCTCATCAACCATAGTATTAAGGAAACCAGGAAGACCGGACTACAGTGTACCGAAGGCCTATCGACCGATCACGCTTTTAGACACTATGGCCAAGATCCTCTCCTCTTGCATCGCAGACGATCTAACGTACATCTCAGAACAGCACAACCTCCTCCCGTCAACTCACTTCGGAGGACGCCCAGGACGCTCGACTACGGATTCACTCCAGCTGCTAACCAAGTTCATTACCGACTCCTGGTCCTCGCAGAACAATCATGTATCAGTCCTATTCCTCGACGTCAAGGCGGCATTCCCAAGCGTGGTGGTAAGTAAATTGATGCATAACCTCAGAATGGCCGGAATCCCGCAAGAATACATCAGCTGGTACAGAAGACGCCTCGACAATCGGACGACATACCTATTCTTTGACGATTATCAATCCAACCTATTCAACGTGGTAGACGGTATCGACCAGGGGTGCCCGCTGTCACCCCTGGGTTTCATATTCTACAACTCGGGTGTACTGAGAGTCGCTGACAACAGAATCAAACAGGGAGAACTCAGCCTCGGCTTTCTGGACGACGTCGCGCTAGCAGCCAGAGGCAGAACATATGAGGAGGCCAATGGAAAGTTAAAGCATATGATGGAGAAAAGGGGCGGCGCGTTAGAGTGGAGCGAAAGCCATAACGCAGAGTTCGAACTCGAGAAAACCGCACTAATCTGCTTATCCAGCAAGCGAATCCCCGACCCAGAAAACCCCAGGAAGACCATCCCCTCCCCTCGAATACCAATCGTCTTATGCAATCACACGATACAGCCATCAAGCTCACACAAGTTTTTAGGAGTCATTATCGATCAAAACCTCAATTTCAAGGAACACGCCGCTCACGCCATGGCGAAAGGAACAAAATACACGATGGCATGCAAAAGAATCCTACGCCCAACAAGCGGCGTCCATGGAAAGTTGGTCAAGAAATTATTCGAAAGTGTCGTCCTCCCGAAAATGCTGTATGCGGCGGATGTGTGGTGCGCAAGTCTGGTAGGGAAGGGAAAGGGTGCAAGAGCAGGGGGAAGAGGCGCAAGGGGGTTCGCGTCTCAAATGTCAAGAGTCCAACGCATGGCTACAATAATGATAACAGGGGGCTTAAGATCAACCGCTACAGATATAATGGATGCTCACGCGAACGTTCTCCCGTTTCAACAGGCTTTAAGGAAATTGTGCTATCGAGCAACCCTAAGGATGGCAACGCTACCCTCACCGCACCCAATAGTCAAAGAATTCAAGAGGGCGTACGAGTACAGCGAGCGGAGACAATTCAAGGGGAGAAAGCGGCATCCCTCACCCCTACACAGACTGACCAATGAGTTCCAGATAGACCCATCCAAGATAGAGAAGATCGCACCTGTGAGACACTACCCCAAATGGATGCCGGACATCGCAACGAGCATCGCAGAAACGAAGATGAGGGCAGCGACGGAAGACGAAGAAGCCACAGAGGACCTACGCGTTTATTCAGACGGTTCGGCGGAAGAAGGGAAAGTCGGAGGAGCGGCGATCGTGATGAGAGGAGAAGAGGTGATACGAAGTAAACGCCTACATTTAGGGAGCACGGAACACCACACCGTGTTCGAGGCGGAGCTAGTAGGAATGATCCTGGCAGTGGAATTGCTGAGAGAAGAAGGGGGCAACGAGGGGGGGACAATGTCCTTGGGGGTGGACAACCAAGCGGCGATACGCACCATGACAGCGTTCCAGTCAAGACCGGGACATTACCTTGCTGACATCTTCCACGATGACCTCCGCCAGCTCCTCCCTCACGACGACGGCAGAAAGTTAACAATCAGGTGGACACCAGGTCACATAGGAATTCTGGGCAACGAGGCCGCAGACGAGGAGGCGAAGAAAGCAGCCGCAGGGGACACATCAGACGTACCATCACTCCCAAGATCATTCAGAACGAAGCACGGCACCATCGCGACCCTTCCGATGAGCAAATCCGCCCTCAAGCAGGGGTTCTACAGCAGGATCAAAGACGAAGCCACCATGATCATGAAAGCATCCCCCCGATATGCTCGACTCCTAACCATCGATCACACTGCCCCGTCGAAAAAGTTCGCAAAAAAGATAGAACACTTACCGCGAAAACACGGATCACTACTGTTCCAGCTGCGCACCGGCCACATCGCTCTGAACAAATACCTACATCGAATCGCAAACGCACCATCCGCTACGTGCCAGCAGTGCCGAGCACATGAAGAGACCGTACATCATTTCCTCTTAGTATGCCCAAAATTCGCACGACAACGCACCGCACTCAGACTAGAAGTCGGCCCGAGGCAACTCAACATCAAATACCTCCTCAGCGAAGACAAGGGCATGAAGGCGACGCTCAAATACGTCGCACGCACGAAACGGATGGAAAAGATCTTTGGCGATGTCACGCCCCCAAAGGAAAGAGAATGAGAACGAATGAGGAAGCGACCAGGACAGAGAGGTTGAGGAAGAACGCAAGATCGAGAAATGCACCACACACACCCAGACGCCTTAAGACGGCTCTACCGTCCTCGCCAATCGGCCCGGACCATTGCAGAGATATGATTTCATAGGACACGATACACCAACATAGAAGTAACATACAGTATGTAATGTCCACCATAGGGCTCCGCCCCACAGGACAATAAACAAGGATTAAAAAAAAAAAAAAAAAAAAAAAAAAAAAACTTGTTCAGATGATGGCTCGCTGCGGGTTTGGAACTTGGAGAGCGGGAAAAATATAGGAGAAGACTGGCGGGATGGGGACAGTGGAGTTATCAGTATAGCTTTGTCTCCGGATGGGAAGAATGTGGTTAGTGGGAGCATGGACGGTGGAGTGAGGTTGTGGGACATTGAGACAGGCAAGGTGATCACGAAATGGACGGGGCACACACAGGTAGTGTATTCCATCTGTTGGAGTCGAGATGGTCAGCGAGTAGTGAGCGGGTCTGATGATGGGACAGCGAGGCAGTGGGATGTGAAGAGCGGAGGGACAATCCTGGCACCGGGGCCAATCAAGACAGGACATGCACGAGTGTACGCAGCCATCTATTCGCCAGACATGACCATGATTGCAACTGGTGGACGTGATAAGCCCTGGAATGAAGATGATAATGAGTGCTCAATTCAAATCTGGGACGCGAAAACAGGCGAGCTTGTCGCAACTCTCAAAGGACACACACATTCGGTGTCGTGCCTGGCATGGACGGTGAATGGAAAAACGCTCATCTCCGGGTCACTCGATAACTCGATTCGGACATGGAATACAAAAACTTGGAAGAAGATCACAGTTCTCGATGCGCACACAGCTGATGTCTGGGGAATTGCAATATCTCCGAATAGCCGCATCCTCGCAAGCGCATCGTGGGACTCGACAGCGCGATTGTGGGACCTCGACAACGGCCAGCCCATGGGTCCTCCACTCCAGCATGCAAATGTGGTTTTCTGTGTCTCGTTTTCCGCGGATGGAAAAATACTAACAACTGGCTCCTGGGACAACAACGCGTACTCATGGGATATTATTACCATTCTTAGAGAAGCTGGCCTCGACGAACTTCTGTTGGATCCAAAGGTGAGTTGACAGACATTCCTTGTATTCTCACAATTGAACGCACTCTTCCAGGCCAACAAGTCGGCACTCCGTGTACGTGACACCGTCTTCATAAAACAAATTCATTGCGCTCAAACATATGCACTCTAGGAAAATGCTACCCGACATTCTGCCCAACGATGTCAACCTGCCCATCGGTTACCCCCGGGCTTTTTTGATGTCCCACCAGATCATTCTCGTGTACGTTGTTAGTATCACTTCGAGTTTTATCCTGACTCCGTGTTCTCAGTTCTCTCCACAAAGCCGTTTCCACTCCTCCTCCTCATCACCGCAAGGAAGCACATTTCTTGGCCACTTATTCAACCGCAGCCTCTCTGATGCACATGATACCTCACCGTCCTCTCCTCTCGATTGGGCTCAAAACCTTTTGAAACGGCGCGGACAGAGTGGCGAAGGCATAGAGTTGCACGGACGCAGCCCAGCAGTTCTTGAGGTTCCGTGTGCACAGGGACAACGTGTAAGTTTCTCTCCTTCCCAGATGTTCCACTCGACCTGACACTGTGCAGAGGAATGCTTCAGCGAGAGAGAAACGGAAAATGGGTTCACGGCCTCTCAAGCCCAATGCCACGCAGCAATCCAGTGGTGCGACTCAGACCCAGCCATCTTCGCAACCACAGCCAGCTGTCTCCAATTCGTCTACAGCACCTGGTGTTGGTGATACAACCGCAGCTTCATCATCAACAATCTCATGCCCTCATGCAACGATAAGGCACGCTGGACTCTGGACTCGTTTCTGGCTCTTCATTGGCTGTTTGTCTCCTGAATACACAAATGGTCGTCATTAATGTATGATTTCCTCGTCCCGTATGATAATTTCTCGCATGCTTCTACCAGATTTCACGCATTTCTGCTATATCTAGAACTGGCCTTTTTCATTCCACGCGTCTCCTCATCTCCGTCTGCGATATACGAGGCACAGAAGCTATGTGTTTCGTCTTTCTGTGCTCGTCGATCCGATTTACCTTGTACTACCTATACACGTATCAGCTGCATCACTACAACCGCTCTGATGAAGACTCCTTAACGTATCTGCCATGTTGAATGAGGGGGTTGCAGTGGCATGGGCTCGAGTAATTACTACGTGCTTCCTTCGTGCGCCAAGTCTTTATCTGCGCTACAATGGTAACCTCCCGCCTTTCATTCTCCTTCCTGTAGTTCACCCGAGGAGGACTCATCTACGGAACACTCCACAACACACCTCACTTCAACCTTCCACCAAACTTGAGCTCCGCTACGTATCCATCCTGAACTGTCGTCACCCCAACAATCTGCGTCCTAGCCTGATTCCCCATCTCCCGATATCTCTGCCTGCTTCAACTGCAATCACAGCCACTACATATATGGTTTCGCCTCTCACGGACTCGACACATCCCTCATGCAACCAGCCGCAAACCGTCTTGTCGACGAACATGACTCCCGAAATTTGTGCAAGTTAGACCCAGGAAAAACAAATCACCAACTTCCACCGCTACATCATGCGCGCACAGACCAGTCCCGTCTCTCCAGATTCCGATGGCGATAACTGAACATACATCTTCGATCTCGTAGGATCAGCTTTCCTATACCATCAAGTCCAACATATCACGGCCGTCCTTTTACCAGTTGGAACAGGACTAGAACGTCCATCCACAATCTCAGCTCTCATGAACTTTTCTACCAAAGAACCAGAATCAGATACATTCCCCGAAGTTAAATTGCCACTGGTGGATCGCAAGCCCGATATATCAGATGGCAGATGCCCTCCCTCCCATGCTCTGGGATTGTGAAGAATTCGCAGATTGCTCAAAAGTACGCTCACATTTCTCGTAGAGTATCACTCAGGCTCATTTTATATCAGTGTCGTGGATAAGGTTCGGCTCAGTTCATACATGCGCTGAGTGAATCTCATGGATGAAAATCGTGACATTAGACAAATCTCCTCCCCACAGATAAAGTCCTCGAAGTTGTTCCTGGTACGGAACCTTACTGTGACGATCCTTGCAAAGCCAAAAATGACACCGCTGGTGAGGCGGACCCACGGATGGCGATTGAGTTTACAAAGCAAGTTCGGGGAAAGTGTGTGCACCTTCTCTCTGTCTTAATTTCGTCAACTGACAGCTATGTACTCATCGGAGGACCAGAATAACGAAACCTCGGCATAATCATTCGAGACTTTGTACTTTGTAAAAGCCGATCTCCCGTATTTTTGATGTATGCATATCCAACACACCCTATCAAATATCACCCCTTGTCTTCCGCCTTCTCTATCACCGACTCATCTTTCGCGTGGCAGTCATCGTGTTTCAGAGAGAATTTGCCATGGGGCTTGTCGCTTGGCCTGGGACTGAGCTTTGGTCGTGGCTATCCGCGAACATATAGCTTTATTCGAAGGTGAACCTGGTATTGCACGCTGGGAAAAATAACATCTTACCAGCACCGCAAGTTGAATCGTCAGTGATCTGACTGGTACCTCTCGATCCCCCCAGTCCCCCTATCAAGTTCGAGGAATTTGATGGGCTGGGTAGAATCATCTTTCGAGGCGAAACAAAAGGGTACATGCCTCGTTCATGGCAAAAGGCATAGTCGAGATGCTGGAGAACGTGGGTTCAACGCAAAATAAGGTGATTTTATGCGTTGAAAATGGGGACCCGAAATGCCACAAATCAGATGATCAATGATGACACGAACATGAAAGCTAAAGTAGAAGTCCTCCAACAGACTACTATTCACATTTCATGACGAGATCCACATTACATTTCATTGGAAGCAACATGTTGTAAGTCTAGGTTTTCTGACGTGATTGCAACAGAGTCAGAGGCGAAACCAGAAGGGATCAGTATAGATTCGAACACCTACCGAGATAGGATAACTGCCGTGCCGCAGACTTGCAGGGGTGCTGCTGCTGCAGCATGTTTTTTGTCCGTGCTGAGAATCAAGGATAACAACCAGCACAACCACTTTGTTGACTACTAACAGACCATTCATGTCTCCATCGTCCAGAGCGCTTGTCTGTACTTTCAGTTTCGTGTCACGAAGTACCCTACCGCAGCGATGCTGAGCTCTCTTTTGGCGAATGTTTCTGGTACTTGGCTGAATGACCAGGGAGGGAGGCGTCTGCTTCAGAAATTTCAGGATTCTGTGATGCAGGCAGGTGACGCGGAAGCAAAGCGGCTGAAGAGGAACGAGCCAGGAAGGCAGCTGACTTATTGTCGGAGGCAGATGCAATGAGACGAGAATGGATGAAGCCGAAAAAGGGTGCTCAGACAGACAAGCACCTGACGCAAAGTGCAGACGAATGAACCTGCTGAAGAGAATGTCAAAACCTGAATAGGAAATGGATGATGCATAGCGCAGTTATGAGACAAGGCGTCAGGCCGAGGCCGAGAAGCAAGCCCGAGAAGAAGCCAAATACAGAATTTGAGCATGAAAGGAGGGGTAGCGTCACAGGTGAGAAGATGGAGGTGAAGCCCAAAGAAGGATTCAGCCGTCTTCCAACGGATTGACGATGTGTGGGGAATACAATAAGGTCCAAGAAGCGGATGTTTGACGATGCCTAGGTAGGAGTTTGTGAGATTTCTTGGGAGGAATTGGACACAGCTTGAAACCAAGCCATGCACCTTGCATCTCTAGACACTCTGCATGAACACGCACAGGCACGACTGCAATGCTAACTTGTCCTCCATCCTACAGCAATAGGGATTACGGAGTGGCAGATGATTCTTGGGCGCTTCAACTGCACAGCCCATGCTATATATAAGCTGTGAAGCGAACAACAAGATACAGCATGACAAACGTACCAGGAAGTAGTGAACTCGACTCTGACTTGACCGAAACACCCATTATCCCCTACTATCCGCCCGTCGCTGTTGTCCTCGGTAAGTGATGAATTTTGAATTCGATGGGTGAAAGCTGAGACGGCGCTGCACTGGGTAGTTGAAATTCTGGAATGTCTTCACCCACCACTAAAAAGAAAGAGATATCAGCAATAACACCTTGCCAGAAATTTGAAGGACACACCTATGTGGTCTCCGGAGCCGTACACCTGCTTGATGGACAGCGGATGATTACTTGTTCAGATGATGGCTCGCTGCGGGTATGGAACTTAGAGAGCGGGAAACAGATAGGGGAAGACTGGCGGGACGGAGACAGTGCAGTGATGAGTATAGCGTTGTCTTCGGATGGGAAGAAAGTGGTTAGCCGGTGTATTGACGGTAGAGTGAAGTTGTGGAGCATCGAGACAGGCAAGGTCATCGCAAAATGGACGGGGCACACACGGCCAGTGTTTTCTGCCTGTTGGAGTCGAGATGGTCAGCGAGTAGTGAGCGGGTCTGATGATGGGACAGCGAGGCAGTGGGATGTGGAGAGCGGAGAGACAATCCTTGAACCCGGCCCAATCAAGACAGGGCATCGAGCGGTGTACGCAGCCATCTATTCGCCAGACATGACCATGATTGCGACTGGTGGACGTGATACGCCAGATGATCACGAGTGCTCAATTAGAATATGGGATGTGAAGACAGGCGAGCTTGTCGCAACTCTCAAAGGACACACAAATTCGGTGTTGTGTCTGGCTTGGACTGTGAATGGAAAAACGCTCATCTCTGGGTCACACGATGACTCGATTCGGACATGGAATACAAAAACTTGGAAGCAGATCGCATTTCTCAATGGGCACACTTCCTTTGTCTATGGCGTTGTAATATCTCCAAATGGCCGCATCCTCGCAAGCGCATCGGGCGACAAGACAGCGCGATTGTGGGACCTCGACAACGGCCAGCCCATCAGTTCTCCACTTCAGCATATGGCAAATGCGGTTGTCTGTGTCTCGTTTTCCACGGATGGAAAACTACTAGTAACTGGCTGCGATGACAAGAACGCGTACTCATGGGATGTTGCTACCATTCTTAGAGAAGTTGGCCTCGACGAACTTCTATTAGATCCAAAGGTGAGTCGACAGGCATTCATTACATTCTCATCACTGAACACGCTCTGCCAGGCCAACAAGTCGGCACTCCCTGTACGTAACACCTTCATAAAAGATCTCATTGTGTTCAAACCTATAAACTCTAGGAAAATGCTGCACAACATCCGACCCAACGACGTCAACCTGCCCATCGGGTACCCCCAGGCTTTTTTGATGTCCCACAAGATCATTCTCGTGTACGTTCTTACTATCACTTCGAGTTTTATCCTGACTTCCCGGCTCTCAGTTCTCTTCACGAAGCCCCCTCCACTCTTCCTCTGCACCGCAAGGAAGCACACTTCTTGGACGCTTATTCCACCGCAGCCCCTCCGATCCACATGAAACATCACCGTCCTCTCCTCTCGACTGGGCTCAAAACCTTTTGAAACGGCGCGGACAGAGTGGTCAAGGCATAGAGTTGCATGGGCGCAGCCCAGCAGTTGTTGAGGTCCCATATGCAAAGGGAAAACGTGTACGTTTTTTATCTTTCCAGATGTTCCACTCGACCTGACATTGTGCAGAGGAATGCTTCAGCGAGAGAGAAACGGAAAACGAGCTCACGGCCTCTCAAGCCCATTACCACACAGCAATCCAATGGTACGACTCAGACCCAGCCATCTTCGCAACTACAGGCACCTGTCTCCAATTCGTCCACCACAAACGCTGTCGGTGATGCCGCCGCAGCTTCAACGTCAACAAACTTGCGCCCTCATGCAACGATAAGACACGCTGGACGTTGGACTCGCTTCTGGCTCTTCATTGGTTGTATGTCTCCTGAATACACGGATAGTCGTCATTGATCTACGATTTCCTCGTCCCCTATGATGATTTCTTGAGAGCTTCTACCAGATCATACGCTTTTCTGCTACATTTAGAACTGTCCTTTTTCATACCACACGCCTCCTCATCTCCATCTGCGATGTATACCACACCGAAGCTATGGGGTCTAACTTATATTTCCATAAAATGTATCGCAGTCAGTACGTCTCGGCTCTTGAATCGAATCTGACTGATAGTACTTTTATGAAGAATTGTTTCTTTTGTTTGTATTATATTTCAACATCGCTGCCTTTTCTCAAGGAAGTGTGGGTGCTATCATTCTCCCTTGACTCATGCGCGGACCTCTGCTTCGTGTTGCCAAGCACCAGAGAAGAAAACCAGAGAACAACGTCTAACGTTTACCAACGAGCTCTCGATGCATGCGTTGACCATCATCACCCGAGATCTGTCTCACGGATCATTGAATGTCATTCACTAGACACTGCGAGCTGGGGAAGAACTCCATGTCTCGGGGACATCCTGCTACCAATGGACATTCACCTTGCCACAGACAGTTTAGTCCGGCTAGAATAATTACTTAGAGTTTTGGCATATCATGTAGCAATATAAGTTGTTGTTGCTGTTGATGGAGAAGCGTGTTGGTTTTGCTACCATCGGCCTCCATGACGTTGACTCAGTGCCGGAGTATTGATTTGCAGTCTGCTGTCGTTCAACGTTCACCCGCGTGCCAGTGCATCTCGTATCTCCCTCTATTTGGTCTGTCTAGGGCTTTGAGTAATTCGAACAGGACTCCAGCAAATGGTCAAGCCTGAGTCACAGACTACTCATGCTCGCAGTTTCTACCAAAGAGGTCATGATAAATGTGTACTTTTGCTCGTAGGACATCGCGAAGAGGAAACAATTTTGTAGGGCGATGATGTTAAACAATCGTCGAGTTACGAGGGAAGACGGAAGACGGAAGGCTAAAGGGCGTTGATGACGTAGGACTGGGTGGTGAACAATTGGACGAAGGCAATTATAGGGTAACTGAGTACATAGCATCTAATCAAGGAACAAACAACAACCACTGAGAAATCTCCAGATTTCAAAAAGAAAAGAAAAACATACAGCTACAACATTTCTAGGGTCCTGATGTCCATCATGCTGTGAACAGATGCTACGTCATTGACTAGTGCAATGATATCGTGGTCTGAGGCGATCCTCTTGACTCGTATTCTCCGCCGCGCTGCTGCACAAGCAAAAACGCACTGAACGGCTGTCCAAGGCGAACGATCAATCGCAACGCTCGCAAGTGAGATTCCGACTTGGCCTGTTCCTCTTCAACAGGAGAACTGCCGGGTGAGTGGTCTAACGGAGACTCAAGCTCAGACCAATCTCCCAAGCTTTCCCCGTCGTCTGTGAAGTCAGGCAACTGGAGGAGATGACCATGTATCCGTGCCACGAGGTCATGAAAATTCTGCCTATATGGTTGGTGCTGAACGTTAACTCTTAAAAGGATAATCGCATCATATGGACGCACCTTTGATGAATTGCTACTCTGATTCGGTAGAGCGAGAACAGCCTGAGTGATAGCAGTCTCTTTCTTACGCCCCAAATAATGATCTAAACACATGTCTGTCCTTTCAAAAGTCTATCCACCGGATCAACGATCAGAGATTTGAAACGATCCAAGACGTGCTCCTCGTCATCCAGTGTGCCATGCCCCGTAGTACCGATATCCACAGAGCCTGCAAGTCACACAAGCCTGTTGGTAAGCCGGGAGACTCGTGTGGAAAGCGAGTCAAGCTCTGCAGCAAATGACACACGAATAGAACAGTGGAATTCCATGTCTTGTGGTAGTGTAGCAGCAGCAAGACCAGTTATAGCCAGTGTAGCCGATTGTAAGGAGGTCGCGTAATCAGATAATATACTAGGCAAGATCATAGAGGTAGATGTCCCAGACACGGTATTCACGCTCGCGATGTGTTACAGAACCGAAATATGTATCAGTGTCGTGTACCTGCTGCGCGTCGGAGAAAGATTTATCAAGATTCGAGAGCACGACTGGCAGAAAAATACAGCGTGCAGTTGAATTGATGTCTGCGGCACATGCAATGAGACGAGAAAGAATGAAGCCAAAAAGGGAGCTCAGACAGAGACAAGCCCCTGACGCAAAGTGCAGATGAACGAATTTGCTGAAGAGAATGCCAAACCATGAGTAGGAAATCGATGATGCATAACGCAGTTATGAGACAAAATGTCAAGCCGCAGTAGAAGCAAAGGCCGAGGTCGAGAAGCAAGCCTGAGAAGAAGCCGAGTACAGAAAACGAGCATCAAAGGAGGGGGTAACGTCACAGGTGAGAAGATGGAGGTGAAGCACATAGAAGAATTCAGCCGTCTTCCAACGGATTGACGATGTGTGGGGAATACGATTAGGCCGAAGTAGCGGATGGTTTACGATGCCTATGTAGGAGTTTGTGAGATTTCTTGGGAGGAATTGGACACAGCTTGAAACCAAGCCATTCACCTTGTATCTTTGGACACTCTGCATGAACACGCACAGGCACAACTGCAATGCTAACTTGACTTCCATCCCACAGCAATAGGGATTACGGAGTAGCAGATGGTTCTTGGGCGCTTCAACTGCACAGCCTATGCTGTACATAAGCTGTGAAGCGAACACGAGGATACAGCATGACAAACGTGCCAATACGCGATGAACTCAACTCTGATTTGACCGAGACGCTCATTATCCCCTACTATCCGCCCGTTGCTGTTGTCCTCGGTAAGTGATGAATTTGGAATTTTGTAGGTGAATGCTGAGACGACGCTGCACTCGGTAGTTGAAATTCTGGAATGTCTTCACCAACCACTAAAAAGAAAGAGATATCAGAAATAACGCCTCGTCAGAAATTTGAAGGACACGCCGATTGGGTCCGCGGAGCCACACACCTACTTGACGGACAGCGGATTATCACTTGTTCAGACGATGGCTCGCTGCGGGTATGGAACTTGGAGAGCGGGAAACAGATAGGGGAAGATTGGCGGGACGGTGACAGTGGAGTGATCTCTATAGCGTTGTCTCCGGATGGGAAGACAGTGGTTAGCGGGAGTAGTGACAGTGGAGTGAGGTTGTGGAGCATCGAGACAGGCAAGGTCATCGCAAAATGGACGGGACACACAAAGACAGTGTGGTCTGTCTGTTGGAGTCGAGATGGTCAGCAAGTACTGAGCGGATGTGGTGATGGGACAGCGAGGCAGTGGGATGTGGAGAGCGGAGAGACAATCCTTGAACCCGGGCCAATCAACACAGGGCATCTACGAGTGGACGCAGTCGTCTATTCGCCAGGCACCACCATGACTGCAACTGGTGGACGTGATGATCCCTGGGATGGAGATAACGGCGAGTGCTGGATTAAAATCTGGGATGCCAAGACAGGCGAGCTTGTCGCAACTCTCAAAGGCCACACGCATCTGGTGTCGTGCCTGGCTTGGACTGTGAATGGAAAAACGCTCATCTCTGGGTCACACGATCACTCAATTCGGACATGGAATACAAAAACATGGACACAGATCGCAGTTCTCGATGCGCACACCCCTGTTTATGGCATTGCAACATCTCCAAATGGCCGCATCCTCGCAAGCGCATCGGGCGACTGGACAGCACGATTGTGGAACCTCGACAACGGCGAGCCTATCAGTTCTCCACTCCAGCATCCAGATGATGTTAACTGCGTATCGTTTTCCGCGGATGGAAAAATAATAACAACTGGCTGCGATGACAACAACGCGTACACATGGGATGTTGCTACCATTTTGAAAGAAGCTGGCCTCGACGAACTTCTGTTGGATCCAAAGGTGAGTCAACGGGCATTCATTACATTCTCACAACTGAACACGCTCTGCCAGGCCAACAAGTCGGCACTCCCTGTACGTGACACCGTCTTCATAAACAGATTTCATTGCGTTCAAATAAATGCACTCTAGGAAAATGCTACACGACATTCTGCCCAACGGCGTCAACCTGCCCATCGGGTACCCCCGGGCTTTTTTGATGTCCCACCAGATCATTCTCGTGTACGTTGTTAGTATCACTTCGAGTTTTATCCTGACCTTCGTAATCTCAGTTCTCTCCACGAAGCCGCCTCCACTCCTCAGCACCGCAAGGAAGCACGCTTCTTGGCCGCTTATTCCACCGCAGCACCTCCGATGCACATGATACCTCACCGTCCTCTCCTCTCGATTGGGCTCAAAACCTTTTGAAACGGCGCGGACAGAGTGTTGAAGGCATAGAGTTGCACGGGCGCAACCCAGCAGTTGTTGAGGTTCCGTATGCAAAGGGAAAACGTGTACGTTTTTTTTATCCTTCTCAGACGTTCGACTCGATCTGACATTGTGCAGAGGAACGCTTCAGCGAGGGAGAAGCAGAAACCGAACTCACGGCCTCCCAAGCCCAATGCCACGCAGCAATCCAATGGTGCGACTCAGACCCAGCCATCTTCGCAACCACAGGCACCTGTCTCCAATTCGTCCACCACACATGCTGTCGGAGATGCCGCCGCGGTTTCAACGTCAACAACCTTGCAGCCTCATGCGACGATAAGACACGCTGGACGTTGGACTCGCTTCCGGCTCTTCATTTGTTGTCTTTCGCCTGAATACACGGATGGTCGTCATTAATCTACTATTTCCTCGTCCCCTATGATGATTTCTTGAGTGCTTCTTCCAGATCATACGCCTTTCTGCTACGTTCAGCCTTTCAAACCACACACCTCCTCATCTCCGCCTGCGATGTATACCACACTGAAGCTATTGGGGCCCAACTTATATCAAAATGTATCGCAGTCAGGTCGTCTCGGCTCTCGAATAGAATCTGACTGATAGTACTTATATGAAGCTGGTTTTGCTACCATCCTCCACAACGATGACTCAGTGCCAGAGTATTGCAGTAGCAATGCCATCCTTTGCTTCACTACACCGTTATCGGTAGCGTTGCTTCTAAATGTTTCAACAGCAGCGTCGCACTACCACAGAATGTATAGGTAGTCTGCGCGCATGGAGGCTGAGCCCGGAGCTATCGTTCACCTGCGTGCCAGTGCATCTCATATGTTGTTTTATGATTACTATGACTTGGGTTCTGAGGGAAGATGTAAGGCTAAAGGGCATTGATGATGTAGAGCATACACTGTGGATAGTGAATAGTTGGACGAAGGCGATTGTAGGGGGTATCTGAGTATATAGCATCCGATCAAGGTGCAAACGACAACCGCTCAAAGATCTCCAGTACTTCTTCAAAAACAAAACAGTTACGATATTTCTAGGGTCCTGACGTCCATCATGCTGTGAACAGATGCCATGTCTTTGACTTGCGCGATGATATTGTGATCCGAGGCGATCCTCTTGTATTCTCCGCCACGCTGCTGCGCTAGCAAAAATGCGCTGAACGGCTGTCCAAGGCAAACGATCAATCCCAACGCTCGCTCGCTCGATTCTGAGTCAACCAGCTCCATTTCTTCAAGCGAACCGGGGGGAGACTCGTCAGAATCGTGTAACGGAGACCTGGGCTCGGACCAATCTCCCAAGCTCTTCACCTCGTCTGCAAAGTCAGGAGGCTCGAGGAGGCGATGATCCCATGGACGGACAAGTAAGAATGTTTGCCGAGTGGGCTTTGTCCGCGAGAATTGGGGCAGCGTCGCTTCGGTGGTGATCAGCAGGTCGTGTAGTCCATCTGCCTTGACTCCGTATGTGAAAGGTTGGGTTGGACTACGCCTCCATCTGACTTCTGTGACAGGAAATGTGATGCAAGGCAGGCAGAGCCTGCAGTTTGCGAAGCGAGGAGTGCTTATGTTGTCAAGCAGGGTATGAAGTCTCGAAGCCAACTCCACAGCCACAGTATTATTTTGAAGCGAAGAGATGGCCGCCTGAATTTGATCTTCAGACAACGATGGTACGGTGCATGATGGAGCTGAGTATGAGGAAATGTCAGCCGGAAGACAACTATTGAACTCGGATGATTGGCCGACCCAGTCGAGGGCACTAATGTCGCCCGACCGAGCCACGATCTCCTGCAAAAGCCGCCCGAGAGCGTTTTGCTTCTTCTCGCCGTAAATTACAGGTAGGTGAACATTGAAGATGCCAAACAATGAGTATGCGACATCTTCCTGCAATGTAGTGGTGCGTGACGACGCCCTTTGAAGTCTCTCTCGGACGCCACTCATCCCAGGACTGAAGGAAACGAGAGCCTGTCGATCTATGCTCATCACATCCTCCAACTCCTCCATGATCGCAGCGGACTCTTTGTGGTTGGGAGAGTGGTCGTCACGATATAAGGTCCAGTCCTTTCGATAAAAAAGCACGACTTTCGAAGCCACGAGTTCTTGAAAAGTCCATCCTCGTTCGTTCCACTCACTCCTCGCTAGTGCGCCAGGCGCAGATGAAGACAAAACGTCCGAAAGATAGACGATAGTGAGCGCTGAATGATGATACCATACGAACATGGAGTTGACCGATTCTTGCAGCTCGACATTGTTAGTCCTGTCGATGCAGCATGTATCGCTCCACGCCCAGCGATACCCCGCATCGCGAACAATTTCGCAGAATGTCCGCAGCTTGACGACGCCGCCAAGCGAATTCATCTTGTACACGATCTTATCCTCTATGTCCTGCAGAAGCGGCTCCTTCCCTTCCCATCTGTGTGATAACATGACACGGCGGAAGTACGCCAGCACTGCATCTGCGATGAGCTCCATTGGGAGATCTGGATCTGTCATAGTCGATAACAGAAGCTCCTTGTACTGCGTGCTTGTTTTGAAATCGCTTATTTGTGCGTCTCGATCACATAAGAGGCCGGTAGCAGTGTTGAGCAGACGAATCGGGGCGGTGTTGAGTTGCGCGTCGATGACCCTTCGGATAGCACGTCCCGCATCGGTTGGACTGAGGTACTGTTCGCGTATCTCTGAATAAAGAGTTGAGTATCTCGACCCTTGTGTTACTCGAGGCTTACTTCGGATTTCTGTGTTAGGAGCAATGTCCAATTTGGTGAGCATCATGTCAAAGGCCTCGATAGCTTCGTCGTAGCGTTTTAAACCATGAAATGCCGTATGCTTCAACTGGTACCCAACGTAAGATGAAGGGTTAAGTTCAATGACCTATGTGTCGCCGAAGTGAGCATTGACGACGAAACAGCTTCAGTAGATGCTGTTGTACCTTGTGCGCATCTAGAAGCGCATCCTCCCATAACATTTTTTTCAACCTGGCCTTGCTGCGATTTGCAAAGATGGTATGGCTTGCAGAGCTGAGCTCGGTCGCCACAGAGTATGAATCAATAGCCCCGTCGTAATCGCTTCCAGCTAGGGCAGCGTTCCCGTTTGCAACACAGAGCGCACTGCATTCTTCCGTAAATGCTGAATGAAATCCGGATGAGGATTCTAGCAATCCAGCATTAATGAAAACTTGCCATCGGACCAATCAAGGTAGCTGGTTTTCGTATGTTCGTCAATGGTATCCATCATGTACCGGTATGATATGATCGCCTCTCCAAGTCTCCCTGCCCGAAGGAAGGCATGACATCGTTTCTGGTTTGCAATCGGCCACAGCGACTTGAGGTCCCACCCGAACAGCTACAAGATGCACGAGGTTGGGCATTAAAAGCAAGTTTAGTTAAATCATATTGACGTACCACCACGAAGTCCTCGCATATTGTATGAATGTCCGATGTCGACGAGAAAGCACTAGAGTTCACAGCGGCAGTCAAGTGGCCAGCAGCTTCGTCGTAACACGCGTCATGCAAGGCACTTATTCCGAGCTGAACACATAGATATGCCTGGTTACAAAGTGAAGAGAGGTTGTGTCAACGCTAGAACACTGGGCTTGATTGAGGTGCTCACCTCCACCACACAACACACACGAGTATCGTTATTCGGACAAACAACAGCTAGATGGCGGACAAGCAGCATGGCCTCCTCGTATTGACCTCCATTGAACAGTGCAATGGCCTGAAATTATAGTGAAGTAGGGAGTATAAGAGAAAGAAATTGACGTGCCTTAACCAAGAGAAGGAAATGAATTGTTTTTGAGTCTTCGTTCGCGAATATGAACATGATGTCAAATGCTATCCTCGCATCGCGGACCTGCCCTTTACCACACAGGGCGATGCCCTTGGACATGTAACCTGTCAAGGAAGCCCGAATGGCTATGGACTATGCCACAATGTAAGTTAGCCATTCGTACGGAAGCGATGATGTCAGTCTATCTCACCTTGAGCGCGTCATCAAGGGCGCGGTCCCAGTCGTGTTGTTGCGCCATAATGAGTGAGCGCTTGGCATATGATATGTAGTTGTCGAGATCTGCGTTAATATCTCGCGTGAATAGCCGTTCAGCGGCAGATAAGTCCCCCGCGATGCATGCATTGCGGGCGGTTTCATTAATGGTGAAGATCTGCATTGCGAAGCATGCTCAAATTGGATTATCAGAGTCAAGGACGGAAATATACCTTTGATGGCAATTTATTCGGAGCTTCCACTGGCCACATGTCCTTGGGTACTTCCCACTCTGAAATCATGGTGTCATCACCTCCACTAAGGATGTGCTTGCCGTCCATGGAGAAAGCGACACACCTCAGCTGAGCTGAGTGCCGGAAAACGGCGACGATTTGTCGATCCGAGAGCCGCCAGAGACAAACATGTTTGTCCTGAGATGTGGAAGCGACAAGTGTACCAGCAGGATTAATCGCAATGACAGTGATAGGATGATTGTGGCCCATCCAGGGATCACCGACCTGCTCCCAGGTGGTTGTATTCCACTCCCGAATGGTGGGATCGCTTGCATCGCCCACTGTGAGAAGGTGTGTGCCATCGGGCGTCCACACGAGCGAGGAGTTCCATCCTGTGTGACCTTTGAATGATTTGACAAGTTTCATCCTGTCTGGATTATAAATTTCGAGGTTCTCCTCTGTCGCGATCGCGAAAAAATCGCCAGATGGCGAGTACCGAACGCAGCGGACCCCACCACTGCACTTGAGTGGATTTCCTGCCGGTTGCCATGTTATAGTGCTCCAAAGTGTCGTTGCGGCCATTTTTTCTGGTGAACCAACGGCCAGCACTGTACCATCGGGAGAAAAGTCCAGCGCGGTGATCCACAAATGATCGGTTTGAATGGCTTGGGTGACGGATTCCCCAGTCTTTCCGTGCCATGCGATAACATCTCCGACACCATCACCGCTTGCTATCAATTGCCCATCCCGCGATACCGCCAATTTCGACACCTCACTGCCATGTCCCTCCATCTTCTTCAACATAGCGCCTGTCTTCAAGTTCCACAGACGAAGCATCTTGTCAGATGAGCCCGTAACCATACGTTGCCCATCGGGAAACACTGCTACAGCTCCGATTCGTATAATGTCTGTGTGATCTTTAAACTCTCGGTCAGGTGTGGTGCTTGGAAAGAACTGCGACATTTTACTGGAGGACGACGCAAGCTTGTGCTGGTTGAACTTTGCAGCTGCATTAGCCAGCCCCGTAGACGCCCAGGACAGATGAGGCTGTTAGCACTCACGCCTCCATGAAGGCTGCAGACCTTGCCAGCAAGAATCTATTCAACCAATATTCAATATTAGGGGCGTTCAAAGTTAAAACCAACACCCAACCTCGTGACCCTACGCGATGAGATAAGTACTTACATAAACCTTGTTGCCGAAAACCGTCGGATCAGCATTTCTAAACCATTTCATCCCCAAGCCTTTTCACCTGCGCAGCACGCACGCCTCTGCAAAAGTACCGTGATGTCAAGAATAAAAATTATAGTTTTAAAATTACACGTAGTATGCGCATTAAGTATGAGATGATAGAAACACAATATTTACAAATCACAGAAAGCATAAAAGCATACGCATATAAAATCGGCGGGAAATGCATAGTATCATAAAGGCATAAACGCATAGATCAGCACCAAAAAATCCACAAACGCTCACCACCCAAACGCAAGCTCCCTCCCAATCTGAGGATATCGACCCAGCGCACCAGAAAAAAATAAGAACAAAAGCGCCGCAAGGAACACAAGTTGTCGTTGCTGTTGATATAGGGTTGCGCTGGTTTTGGTTTTGGTACCGTCGGCCTCCTTCACGTTCTCCTTCTCCGAGTCCTCCTGCGGGGGCAACTCGGGAGTGCCTGGGTCAGCACCGGAGTATTGGGGGTAATGATGCGACACGCTTTCCCCCACTACTCCGTTATCGAGTAGTTTAGATATGCGACCTAGCGTCGCATCCAAGACACGCTCAACAGCAGCATCGTACTGTCGCACAATACGTAGGCGGTCTGCACGTGTCGATATGGTGTCTTCAGATGGCGTCGGTTCTGCATTGGAAGAGAACAAATGAGTAATGCGCATGAAGTATGAAACTCCGTCCAAGACACGTCCCGGGAGGACAAATAAAACCAAAAGTCTCCTCACGAAACAAACACACGAAACACGTAAACTCACCATACATCCAAACAACCCCCTCCGAATCACCCAACACACTCAAAGCAAGCCTCGATAACCTCCCCTTACACCTCTCCTCAAACGGCTGCATCCTCTCCAAATCAATTGCCTATCAAGTCAACATCACGCCAATCAGATCATGACATCCAACGTCCGAGAAAATAGAACGTTGTATAGGAAATACGCACCAAACACCGCTCCAACCCCCACTTCCCCCTCACCTCCCTAAAATCCAGCTCCCCCGTACCCGTAAGAACAAAATCATGCTTAAGCGCAGCCCATGGATCGTTCATCGGGGATTTTCCACGCGTCCATTCTGGTAGGAGATAAACGCGGACGTGTCTGTTGGCCCCATCAATATCTCATGGTCACGAATCAAGCGAGGATAGATATAGATATAGACAGAGGCTCGAGCTCACATACCCAGGTGGACAAGCATGCGGGAGCCGACTCCCGTGTTTCCACATGTGCACTAGGTGCTCTTGCGGTGTGCGCACAAATACTGAAGGGCGGTTACCCATCGTTGTGTGGTGTATGACGCTGGGAATGGTTCAGAAACCGGCTGCCAGACTCCTGTGGGTGGGCTATACTTGAAATACCATCAAATTAGAGGTATTTGTTCCGCGTTGCGATTTTCAGGCATCTTCTTGACGGGGGTATGATGAGATGCGTGAACAAGGCCATGCTGAGACGGCGTGAACAAAGCCATGACGAGATGCATGAAAACAACAGAGCCAAGGAAACCGGATGTAAAGTTTACAAGGTCTAGACGCCGCGAACATGCAAATTGCAATTTCGTAATACGATACAATTACGTCACACATACACAGAGGCGCTCATTAAACAAATCAAAACGTGATTCTGCAAGGACGTAGGTATGAACATCAATCAGGTGGTGCTGGTGTTGGTGTTAGGTTGGGGTTGCTGCGGCTGTGCCCTTCATTGGGATTGAGACTGCGGCTGGGGCTTCTGCTGGTGTTGGGACCTCCACTGGGCCTGCGGCTGAGGCTGAGGCTTCCACTGCAACTGCGGCCTCTGCTGAACCTTAGGTTTAGCTTCCAAGGATCAAAGCTAGCCTCAGATTTCCCCCAGCCATCATCATCGTCCGCAGGCTGCGCCTCCACCCTCCTCAGGTTCCTCTCCACCAGCACCCCACCCAAAATTCGACGTATTCCGAGTCCCCCACGCATTCGGAGTCTCAACAGCAACAGATTCCGCGTCGTTGATGCTCTCCTGGCGCTCGATAGCAGCAGCAGACACGATCGCCCGCCAGTTCGACTTCACAGCCGCACCGCGACCTCGGAAAGCACTATCAGGAGCGCCACCGCCACCGCGCTCAGAACCTCCTCCACGTTCCCCACCGCCTCTTCCAAATTCCCTCCCCTTCCCCCTGCCTTTCCCCTTCTTAGTATCCCCACCCACATGATTCTGTGCCCTATCCGCATCCCTCACCTGCTTAGCATACTCCCTGCAAATCCCCTTCTTGCAAATAATCCCATGCGCATTGCATATAATCGGCTGCTCCTGCTCCTTATCTTCACCCAGCTCCCTCCGCTGCGTCTCAGCATCCGCAGGCGCGTCGTCCCACGTAACCCCCTCCGCACTTAGATAATCAGACCACACCTGCGTGCTCATCGGCTCGTCCCACTTCCCAGGCACACAGTTCTCGCAAACAGCTCCATGACAAAAGACGATCCTGCAGGGTGAACCCTCATTTGCTGGACGTCTAATGACGTCCATGTTCAATCTCGCGCACTTGGGTAATCAGGTTGCTGCTGAAGTGCAGTCGTGAAGAATGAGAATGGAAGTGCGACTCGTAGCAATGAAGACCGAGTGGTTCACCTCCCGATGACCGTGAAATGCAGGACTAGAAGATCATGCACGCAGAGAGGCCAATATACATACATATGTGAGTGAGCGCACAGTGTGATCTCCGTATTACCATCCTGAATATTAATCAGTTGCACGGTGATTACTCTGCAAGTCACCAGCGAGGAGAGATGAGGTTCGAGTGGAATATTGAGAGACAGGTTGGAGATATCGGCACACGTCGAGATATTATGCGTTGGATGCAGGGAAGGCATAGAGAGAAGATAATAGCAGACATGATCGTGACCGCCAGTGTTGAAGCTGGTGACCTTGAACAAGCGAGCCGAGTTAGAAAGACTGAAGTTGATATATATCGATTCCATCGACTTACGTCCGATACTTTAGCTAAATCACCCCTCGCTGATGGACGTGCCGAACGATTTAGGACGGTGATCAGTGCCAACCGAACGATGCCGGAGATTCAAGTTTGAGGGCAGCGAGAGAACCCGACATGAAATGACCGCACATCATGATACCTCACTGCACTCAAAGGACTTGTCCTTTCTGTTAACCGTAGGTCGGACAGTCGACTCTGTTGTGTGAGCGGTGATTAGCTAACTGAACGATGTCGAACCTGTTAGCTTCAAGTTTGAGGGCAGCGAGAGAACCCAGCGCGTGACATCAATCACACTATGAGATCACTCTCTGCACCCAAATGACTGGCTGGTCCTTCCTGTTCACTGCAAATCGGAAATTTGCTCTCCTGTGTAGTCGCATATTGGGCCTCTTTATGTTGCTAAGTGATCATCCTGTGGGGCCGCATATATGGATCGATATCGAGATAGCTGAGGATAAGGTCCATAGGGCACGAGCAAATCAATCAAGTCGAGGTGTCAAAATCATATTAAGATTGGTAAGCGACGTCTACTCACTGCGCCTCAAGTCCCACTCCTACCCGGTGGGGACTTCCTCAGATAAGGAGTCGGTGGTTGAATTGATCAAGCCTGAAGTCGAGTCAGGAACCCTAACGTCAGCATTCCATGTCAACTCATCCAACAAGATACGTACTAGAACCAGAGCTGCGTAGACGCGAAACCCGTGGAGCTGAAGATGCGAGATAAATGGAAAAGACTGATGCGTCTGTGGGGTTGTAAGGTACCATCAATATTCGTACCCACTCCTCGACGCCCGAAACAGAACCGATCAATTCAGAATCGTAAATTCCAGTGGTGCATACAGGCAGCATCCGACAGAATTGGAAGAGAAGAACGAAGCGCATAGCAGGGAATGTTCCTTCGCCTTTTTCGTAAAATGGTTCTGTAAGCAGAAGGCGACTCAGAGGGGTCCAATTGTGAATAGTCACAACATAAATGTCTGACCAGGAAGCAAAAGAACAGTGAACTATGAGGGAATGTCCCAGAGCCAATTAGATAACGGGCGCTAGCACATGGGCAATATAACTCACTGGAATGCTAACCCATCTTCCCATGGAACAGCAGCAGATATCGAGGATGCACGAGAACGCTTCACAGCGAGCAGGCCGGGTCTTATCTACTTGTCGAGAACTAGTTAATCATGGAACGAGACTTTGTGGGATATAACCTAGTGGACGCTGACAAATGAGGTTTGGGCGCTTCAACTGCACAGCCTATGGTGTATATAAGCTGTGAACACGAGGATACAGCATGACAAACGGACCAAGAAGAGGTGAACTCAACGTGACTCTGACTTGACCAAAACGCCCATTGTCCCCTACTATCCGCTCGTTGCTGTTGTACTCGGTAAGTGATGAGTCTTGAATTTGATGGGTGAAAGCTGAGACGGCGCTGCACTCGGTAGTATTCATTCTGGAATGTCTTCACCAACCACTAAAAAGAAAGAGACATCAGCAATAACACCTCGCCAGAAATTCGAAGGACACACCAATTGGGTCCGCGGAGCCACACACCTACTTGAAGGACAGCGGATTATCACTTGTTCAAATGACGGCTCATTGCGGGTATGGAACTTGGAGAGCGGCAAACAGATAGGGGAAGACTGGCGGGACGGAGGCAGTGCAGTGTATAGTATAGCGTTGTCTCCGGATGGGAAGAAAGTGGTTAGCGGGAGTAACGACGGTGGAGTGAGGTTGTGGGGCATCGAGACAGGCAAGGTCATCGCGAAATGGACGGGGCACACACAGGCAGTGCAGTCTGTCTGTTGGAGTCGAGATGGTCAGCGAGTAGTGAGCGGATGTAATGATGGGACAGTAAGGCAGTGGGATGTGGAGAGCGGAGGGACAATCCTGGCACCCGGACCAATCAACACAGGGCATCGGCAAGTGTTCGCAGCCATCTATTCGCCAGACACCACCAGGATTGCAACTGGTGGACATGATAAGCCCTGGACTGAAGATGATAATGAGTGCTCAATTCAAATTTGGGACGCGAAAACAGGCGAGCTTGTCGCAACTCTCAAAGGACACACACATTCGGTGTCGTGCCTGGCTTGGACCGCGAATGGAAAAACGCTCATCTCCGGGTCATCCGATTGCTCGATTCGGACATGGAATACAAAAACTTGGAAGCAGATCGCACTTCTCGATGCGCACACTGCCGATGTCTGGGACATTACAATATCTCCGAATAGCCGCATCCTCGCAAGCGCATCATGGGACAAGACAGCGCGATTGTGGGACCTCGACAACGGCCAGCCCATGGGTCCTCCACTCCAGCATGCAAATGTGGTTTTCTGTGTCTCGTTTTCCGCGGATGGAAAAATACTAACAACTGGCTCCTGGGACAACAACGCGTACTCATGGGATGTTGCTACCATTCTTAGAGAAGTTGGCCTCGACGAACTTCTATTAGATCCAAAGGTGAGTCGACAGGCATTCATTACATTCTCATCACTGAACGCGCTCTGTCAGGCCAACAAGTCGGCACTCCGTGTACGTGACACCGTCTAAATAAACAAATTTCATTGCGCTCAAACATATGCACTCTAGGAAAATGCTACACGACATTCTGCCCAACGACGTCAACCTACCCATCGGGTACCCCAGGGCTTTTTTGATGTCCCACCAGATCATTCTCGTGTACGTTCTTAGTATGACTTCGAGTTTTATCCTGACCTCCGTGGTCTCAGTTCTCTCCACGAGGCCGCCTCCACTCGTCCTCAACACCGCAAGGAAGCACGCTTCTTAGCCGCTTATTCCACCGCAGCCGCTCCGATGCTCATGATACCTCGCCATCCTCTCCTCTCGATTGGGCTCAAAACCTTTTGAAACGGCGCGGACAGAGTGGTGAAGGCATAGAGTTGCATGGGCGCAACCCAGCCGTTGTTGAGGTCCCATATGCACAGGGAAAACGCGTAAGTTTTCTCTCCTTCCAAGACGTTTGACTCGACCTGATATTGTGCAGAGGAATGCTTCAGCGAGAGCGAAACGGAAAACGGGCTCACGGCCTCCCAAGCCCAATGTCACCCAGCAATCCAATGGTGCGACTCAGACCCGGCCATCTTCGCAACTACAGGCACCTGTCTCCAGTTCATCTACCACACATGCTGTCGATGATACAACTGCAGCTTCAACGTCGACAGCCTTGCGCCCTCATGCAATGATAAGACACGCTGGACTGTGGACTCGTTTCTGGCTCTTCATTGGTTGTCTGTCTCCTGAATACACGGATGGCCGTCATTAATCTACGATTTCCTCGTCCCCTGTGATGATTTCTTGCGTGTTTCAACCAGATCATATGCCTTTCTGCTATGTGTAGAACTGTCCCTTTTCATACCACGCGCCTCCTCATCTCCGTCTGTGATGTATAAGATACTGAAGCCATGGGGTCCAACTTATATCTCCACAGAATGTATCGCGGTCGGTACGTCTCGGCTCTCGAATCGAATCTGGCTGATAGTACTCACATGAAGGATTCTTTCTTTTGTGTGTGTTATATTTCAACATCGCTGCATTTTCTCAAGGAAGTGTGGGTGCCATCATTCTCTCTTAACTTATGCGCGGACCTTTGCTTCGTGTCGCCAAGCACCAGAGAAGAAAACCAGGGAACAATGTCAGCTTGACTCTCGGTCACGGTCAGGTAGGGTGCTTGGAAAGAGCTGCGACAATTTTACTGGAGGTTGACGCTGGTGCTGCTCGTCCTTCACAGCTGCATTAGCCAGCCCCGTAGACGCCCAGGACAGATGAGGCTGTTAGCACTCACGCCCCATGAAGTTTTCCCCGACAGTATACCTTTGGACTTTCCCTTGCGCAGTGCTGAGTGCGCACGCCTCTCTAAATGGGTCTAACTAAGTTCACAGAGAAGCAGCATCATATGCATCACAAAGAGCACAAAGGACCTTAGGGTGTGGCTGAAGTTTGGCTGAGGTGGTGAGTACCGTGATGTCAAGAACAAAAATTGTAGTTTTAAAATTACACGTAGTATGCACATTAAGTATGAGATGATAGAAACACAATATTTACAAATCACAGAGAGCATAAAAGCATACGCATATAAAAACGGCAGGAAATGCATAGTATCATAAAGGCATATACGCATAGATCAGCACCAAAAAAAACATCCACAAACGCTCACCACCCAAACGCAAGCTCCCTCCCAATCTGAGAATATCGACCCAGCGCACCAGAGAAAAATAACCACAAAAGTGCTGCAAGGAACACAAGTTGTCGTTGCTGTTGATATAGGGTTGCGCTGGTTTTGGTTTTGGTGCCGTCGGCCTCCTTCACGTTCTCCTTCTCCGAGTCCTCCTGCTGGGGCACGTCGAGAGTGCCTGGGTTAGCACCGGAGTATTGGGGGTAATGATGAGACACGCTTTCCCCCACTACTCCGTTATCGAGTAGCTTAGATATGCGACCTAGCGTCGCATCCAAGATGCGCTCAACAGCAGCATCGTACTGCCGCACAATACGCAGGCGGTCTGCACGTGTCGATATTGTGTCTTCAGAGGGTGTCGGTTCTGCATCGGAAGAGAACGAATGAGTAATGCACATGAAGTATGGAACTCCGTCCAAGACACGTCCCGGACGGACACATAAAACCAAAAGTCTCTCCACGAAACAAACACACGAAACACATAAACTCACCATACATCCAAACAACCCCGTCCGAATCACCCAACACATTCAAAGCAAGCCCCGACAACCTCCCCTTACACCTCTCCTCAAACGGCTGCATCCTCTCCAAATCAATCGCCTATCAAGTCAACATCACGCCAATCAGATCATGACATCCAACGTCCGAGAAAACAGAGCGTTATAGGAAATACGCACCAAACACCGCTCCAACCCCCACTTCACCCTCACCTCCCTAAAATCCAGCTCCCCCGTACCCGTAAGCGCAAAATCATGCTTAAGCGCAGCCCATGGGTCGTTCATCGGGGATTTTCCACGCGTCCATTCTGGGAGGAGATAAACGCGGACGTGTCTGTTGGCCCCATCAATATCTCATGGTCACGAATCAAGCGAGGACGAAGAATATAGATATAGCCATAGACAGAGGGAGCTCACATACCCAGGCGGACAAGTATACGGGAGCCGACTCCCGTGTTTCCACATATGCTCTAGGTGCTCTTGCGGTGTGCGCACAAATACTGAAGGGCGGTTACCCATCGTTGTGTGGTGTATGGCGCTGGGAATGGTTCAGAAACCGGCTGCCAGAGTCCTGTGGGTGGGCTATACTTGAAATACCATCAGGTTACAGGTATTTGTTCCGCGTTGCGATTTTCAGGGTTCTTCTTGACGGGGGTATGATGAGGTGCGTGAACAAGGCCGCCATGCATGCTGAGATGCGTGAACAAAGCCATGACGAGATGGCATGAAAACAACAGAGCCAAGGAAACCGGATGTAAAGTTTACAAGGTCTAGGCGCCGCGTGCGATATCTTGCTTTCAAGGAATTCAAGAACATGCATGCATATTATCAACGAACAAGCGTCGATCATATAACAAGGTCACAAGAGTACAACAACATGCAAATTCCAATTTCGTAATACGATACAATTACGTCACACACACAAGCGCTCATTTGGACAAATCAAAACGTGATTCTGCAAAGGACGTAGGTATGAATATCAATCAGAGTATGGTACATATCGACCAACGAATGGCAAGTACAACCCAACCACAATACCAACGAATGAAAAAGTACAACCAAAGGTTCAGATAGGAATACAAGACTCAGAGTCAGGCCTCAGGCGGAGAAAAAAAAACCAGCGCGGCAACGATACACGTCCCTTCAACTTGCGGCACACCTTCACCTCACCAAGGCTGCTCGTCAACAGTACCCCATCCACTAGTAGAGCTCTTTGGAGCAGGAACCTTCGCACCCCCACGTCCGCGCCCGCGCCCACCTCCACCTCCACCTCCACGCTTGCTAGCGACACTGGAAAAATTGTCTTCAGAGGGGTATCCAGCAGCGCTATGGGCGTCCACCTCGTCTGCCCACGAATTAGGTGTCTTCTTATTGGACCAGGCGTTATTGGTATTGGTATTGGTATTGGTGCCCGTGTTGGTGTTGGTGCTCGTGTTAGGTTGGGGCTGCGGTTTCTGCTGCTGCGGGGCCCTCCATTGGGATTGAGACTGCGGCTGGGGCTTCTGCTGCGGCTGGGGTTTCTGCTGGGGTTGGGACCTCCACTGGGACTGCGGCTGGGGCTTCTGCTGGAACGGAGGTTTCTGTTGGGATTGGGTCCTCCACTGGGATTGAGGCTGAGGCTGTTGCTTCCACTGGGACTGCGGCCTCTGCTGAACCCAAGGCTCAGGCTCAGGCGCAGGCTCAGGCTTCCAAGGATCAAAGCTAGCCTCAGATTTCCCCCAGCCATCATCATCGTCCGCAGGCTGCGCCTCCACTCCCTCCTCAGGCTCCTCTCCACCAGCACCCCACCCCGAATCCGTCGTATTCCCCCACGCATTCGGCGTCTCATCAGCAACAGATTCCGCGTCGTTGATGCTCTCCCGGCGCTCGATAGCAGCAGCAGACACGATCGCCCGCGGGGTGCCCCGCCAATTCGACTTCACAGCCGCACCGCGTCCTCGGAAAGCATCAGGAGCGCCACCGCCACCGCGCTCAGAACCTCCCCCACGTTCCCCACCACCCCTCCCAAATCCCCTCCCCCTCCCCCTCCCTTTCCCCTTCTTAGCACCCCCACCCGCATGACTCTGCGCCTTCTCCGCATCCCTCACCTGCTTCGCATACTCCCTGCAAATCCCCTTCTTGCAAATAATCCCATGCGCATTGCATATAATCGGCTTCTCCTGCTCCTTATCCTCCCCCAGCTCCCTCCACTGCGTCTCAGCATCCACAGGCGCATCGTCCCACGTAACACCCTCCCCACTCGGATAATCAGACCACACCTGCGTACTCGTCGGCTCGTCCCACTTCCCAGGCGCGATCGAGTCCCACTCGGCGAGATTAGGATCGAGGTCATGGTGGATAGACATCCCGTCTAGTGCACGTTCCATGCTTTCGGAGATTTGCACTTGGACTTTGTATGGATCGGGATCGGGATCGTCGGGCGCGGTTTCGGGCGTGAGCACGATTTCGGTGCCTGTGCTGGAGGACCCGCCGCTGGAGCTCCAGCTTGTGACGCTTGTGTTGTCGCGGTCGAGGCTGGGTGCTGTCTCGATGCGGGGTGCGTTGGGTGGTGTTGGGATTCCGGGGGGATGGGTTGGGTAGGACGTTCCTGCGCCCCAGGCTTTTGGACCGCTCAGACCGGGAGGGGCGGTGGGAGATTGATTGGATAAGGTTCTGGGTAGGGGAGAGGGGGCTCCGCTGAGGGGAGTGTTCCTTCCTGATGCAGCGGGGGAGTCTGACCACCCGTTTGGCCCCAGGCCTGAGGGCGCAGGAAGACCGACCCCTTACGAAGCCTTTAGACTGGATGGTACTTGAGAACGAAGAAAGTAGACGACGTACAAACATCGGATGCTTTTACTGCGACGGGCCCGCCACCAATTGCGGGCTGCTTCTTGAGCCCTGCGATGGGCGGAGCGGAAGTAGCGATGGCAGCCTTCCATGCATTGCCGATTGGTGCTGTCGATTTTGGGGCGCCTTTAGACCACGCACCTCCCGCTGCCTTTGCGATGGGAGCGGGGAGCTGTTTGTTGGTTGTCCATGCTTTGGAACCGACGACTATCACGGATGGTGATGAATTGTGAGTGCAGTGACAAAAGAACCTCAGGCTTACCTGGTGCAGGAGCCGTCAGCGTCTCAGGGGGAGGCGGCTTTACAGCGCCGGGAAGGGGCCTGCACATGGGATGATTGGTCTGATCCTCAATCGGCACCTCACAAAAATGGGTTTCAGGGTAAGGAAAAGCGATTAAACTGTAATAAAGGTATGGTACGTCAGTTTATGTAACGTAGAAAGTTAAAGGATGGGGACTTGCTGATTGTTCGGCGACCAGGTCTTAAACCAAGCGTCTTCGACGAAAATACGCTTCCAGCCTATGAAGGAAATCGGATACGGTATTAGCCACTTGATCCGTTCATAGAAGGTAATCAAGATTCCTTGATTATCACAGAACCGATCAAGGTTATAAAGTAGCAATCGGCCGGGCGGCAGAATTGAAATTAAGCGCTGGACTGACCATTTTTCTGTACTTGTCTTCCTGTGCTATAAGTGCAATAGAAGACCTTTGTTACTTGATCCTGCTCGTGGTTTGTGGCGTTATTGAGGAACTCTCTCCAGCGATGCTCGCCGAGTAAGCGATCGAGCCGGGGGCACTCGCGAGCGATTTCGATGATAACCATGTCGCGTGCCTGATGGGGTGGAAGGTCAACGATGTGTGCTGGAGAGGATCCGCGGTGGCACTCACACTGGGCTTATGGAAGAACGCGTAAAAATACTTGGCGTCGATGCAACACGCCACCCAGCGGGCAAAATCTTGTCTGTCCTTTGGTAGTTCCATATTACAGTGTCCATCAAGGACATAAGGGTGAACTACGGTGAGGTAGCGAGGTTCATCGTCACCGGGAGGAGGGGTAGGGATACGTTTTGGCATGGTAGAAAGAATGTACTGAGCGAATTGGAGGAGATGGAGTTATTTAAGTGAAAAAGGATGGGCATGCGGCTGACGTGCTGGATCTGCGTGGTGAGTGGCAACTGTCAAGGATCCCCCTGAAGGAGTTTAGTTGAAAGGGTGGGGATATATATGTTGCTATGGGTGCTGTATAAAGAGAGATAAAAAGTCGGGGTTGGTTTGACCGACCCTGATGATAATAACAAAGATCGCGTTCCTGTGTAGACATTAGTTGTCAGATCTGGTTTGATCCCTGCATATATTGAACATTCGAACCAGAGAAAGGTTTTAGCCAGGATTCAGCTTTATATAAATCACTTTCAAGGTCGGCGTGAAATATTGAAAGGGTGGTTTATGGAAGACTATAGACAGGAGTGGGTCCAAGAGGGTCCATCCGATTTCAATTAATTATCCTTGGTCGACTGTGAGAAAACACCGCCGCAGATTACCGTAAGGACAGCCATCGTAGAACATATGACGTAAGTATTAACTTGTTGACAAAACATCACAAAGGCGTCGGGTGAAGTTATCACTCTCTCGCGGCAGTGATATGAAACAGGTAATCAACCCGTTACACTCATTGCATCGACCCCGAAACTGACCGATCCACATCACCAGGAACCCGGTCAACCTTGCCAAGCCGAAGGTATGTTATTCCTCGTGCGCTCCTTCTACAACATTTTAAAGTTTGTTTCGTACATAAGCTTGTGCACTCCAATCCTGCATTTCAGCCAACACGTACTCTCCAGATAAATGCGAAGCCCATCTCAAACGCCTCTACCAATGTTGCTCCAAATTATATCAAGACCACACGGAGAAAAATGATTCAAAACGTGCCAGTGACGCCAACTTATCGACAGCGTGTCCAATGCCGAGTGTAGTTGAACGCTGGCTCAAGAACCATCCATCATGATCGCTCCAATTGCATAACGTTCCTCCAACCTGAGTACGTGCCACCAACATTCACTTCACACCATCTTTCAACCTTGGCAGGGCTCAAGTTCACCATCCTTCAGCTTTGCCTGCCTCCAGATGCAAAGCGTGCACTCACCCTTGCTCAATTCAATTACTTTAGAAGCGTAAAGGTCGCGTCACGTCTCCTAGATGTTACGAAGAACCGGCTATTGGTTTTACATGCACAGCCATACCGTTTTTTAAGCGCGCCAAAGGCACGCATCACACTAAATATACCTCCACCGACCGCGAGGCTGTGGCGCAGCACAGCTACAAAGCGTCACTCACAGTGAGCGCCCGCAACTTAAGCCCGTCATATAAGCTCGTGTCGGTGTAATTTCACCGTCGGCTCGTCTATCGGTTAATAAAGGCCCTGCTGGCACCCATCGCAACGACTGAATCGCTTTCCTAACAAACCACTAACTCTGACTCCACCATGACATCCACAAATTCAGATACAAGCTCCACATTATCCGCACAAACAATCGCAGGAATCGTCATTGGAGTCGTCGCAGGCGTAGCCATGGTCGCAGCTGCATGCATCTATTTGCAGCGCTGGAGGAGAAGCAGAGGAAGGTTCACGAGGCTTCGCAAGGGGATGAGGGTGGCAGATCCTGAAGAAGAATTCATGTCGCGCGGATCGAGCATCAGCTTTCCGAGTCGGCGTACAGGGTACGGGCACGGGCAACAACCATCCGTATCTCTCGAGCCCCTCCTACTTTCCCCGCCCCACACATCCCAAGACATCCCAGTCGTCCCAATCCCACCCGACTGGTCTTATCTCCCTCCCGCCCTCCCCAACACCCCAACAGATCCCAGCTATCTCACCCTCTACGACACAGAAGACCCATTCGCCCGCATCCAAAGAGCAATACTCCCAACACATCATATACCGGTTGCAGTGTCTTCCGCGTCACGCAGGGTATCGCACGAGGTACCGGCTAATCAGTTCTCCAATGCCAAGACTCCTGGGGCAAATTCCCCGCTTTTCATCAATCGCACACTCACTCGTCCCTCGGGTCCGGACTTTTTCTCACCTCGGACACCCACTTCCTCGTTTTCGTCGGCAGATCCTTCCCATATCCAATCCATACCGTCTCCATCTCGAGTCGGAGATGACGCCGTTCATACATTCGCAAACACAGATGCAGACGCAAACAGAGGGTCGCCCAAACCACAAATACCTGCCCTCAGTCCCCTGACCGAGAAAACCAAAACCATCCTGAGCGAAATCGACGCCAACAGCCCCGAATCCATCTATTCACAAGAATCCGCACAACACCCCTCCCACCCCCCAGAACCCCAGCTCCCCACACAACCCCAACCCCCACCACAATCACCAAGGAGGGGCAGAACGTCCCAGAGATATTCAAAGAAGCTGAAATCACCAGAACTAAGCCCCGTGCTTGAAGCTTCCTCATCAGCGAGTGGGCATGGGCATGGGAATAACGTCTCAGAACTCGATAAACAGCCGTCCCGCACGTTCTCGGAACTCGATAGATCGTCGTCTCTCTCTGTCGCGCTCTCGCATGGCGCATCCTCCACCACCCCCGAAGGCACCTCCACCTCCTTACCCCTACCCCTACCCCTCCTTTCCTCCACCAACGCATTCGGAAAAACCGGTTCTGGTTCTGGTTCTTCAGCATCGACAGCGACGCTATCCCCCGCGAGCAGCCGAGCGACGAGGTATCCCTCATTAGCGAATTCCACCTCAACACCGTCCTCGTCCAACTCAAATCCCCATCCCCATCCCCATCCTCACTCTGATCCAGCTGCAGAGTGGCACCGTCCACCAGCAGGCCTCGGCGCGCTCAAACATCTCCAGTTGGACCTTCCAAGTCCAAATCTGCAATTCGACCTTCCAAACCCACACTCGGACCTCCTCCCAAACCCACACTCGCACCCAACACCAACATCAACACCGAAGACGCCAACACTACCCCAACCACTACTCATAGCCGACAAGAAATGGAAACGTGAAGAACCGCTCCACACACAAGCTCGCCTACGTGCGCACTCACCAGGATGTGTCCCGGAGGTCGAGCAAAGATCGATGCCGATAGTACAATGTGGGATTGCGAGTATTGATGTGACATTGTGAGTGTGACTTGTAACTGCACGTCGTGATGTATGTATGTATACATGCATGGATAGGTGGATGGATAGGTGGATGGATACATTATGAAGGATACAACGGACCTCTAGTAGTAGGAGTAGTAGTATATAAATTATTCATACATGTGTGCTTGCATGGATACACTTGGGGATTACAAATGCGTGTGGGATTCCGCGGACAACTCATACTCATAAACGTCATCTACACAACAGTGAGTACGAGCACAACACAGATAAAATTATCATGGACCACTGACCTTTGGGTGTCGGTGTTATTGGAAAAACCCTTTGCTTCCCCAATACTCCACCCACGCCTGCGCATGGCTCGGTCCAAGCCATTCAGACTCCCGCGCAGCAAGAAGATGCATCGTGCTGCTCAGCGAACATGCCTTGTCCGTCACAAACTGCAGGCCTTTACCAGCTTCCGCCTCTGCCTCCACCTCCGCATCACCAGAACCAGTACTACTTTCGTTCTGGGGCCGCAATAAACCTCGAAGGAAAGGAAGAATTTTGAGCGCCGGCTATACAAATAAGACCAGTCACGATCAATACTCATTTCATCCCCCGTCCATGAATGAAAAATGAAGAATAAAAACTCACGACTTCATTAAAATCTCGTTCCTTCGCGGCCTGCGCGCGTCGTTCCAATTTCTGCATCCACCCTGAATAAGGCTCTAGCGGCAGCAGATGCGGATGCGGATGCGGATGTGAATCATGGTTTTCTATTTGGCCAGAACCTACAAGCGCATCTCTCACGCCCTCGAAGATGGTCCGCCATTGCACAGGCCTCGGATGCGTGATATTGACAACTGGGACATGCGTCTCGGACAGCGCAACGTCAAGAACTGCAGCAGCAACGCGGTCCGCGGGTGTCCACGACACGACCTTTATCAAGATTCAAAAATTAGAATTCATACATAAAACCAGACTAGCCCAGTCTATCGCGCAAAACAGAAGCAGCAACTTCACTCACCCCTGGAAGGTCAAGAAGCGAACCGAGCGCCAAGCTCGACTTGACAAGGATAGGAACCCAATCAGTCGTAGCCCAAGCCCCTGTAGGCCCACCGGCAATCTGTCCTACTCGGAGAGAAGTAGTTTGCAGACCGGATCGGGCGATGATCTGAGGTGAGGAGCGCTGAGTCAGTCACTTGATTTCGCTCAGATAAGGGTGAAGACTTTTACCTGTTCGGCAACGTACTTCGATTCTCCGTACCCAGAACCTATTGCCATAGCAGGATCACTGAGAAGGTCCTCTGGGACCGGACCCTGACTTGGATCCCAACCCAATGCGGATGCGATGGACGAAACGAATATGAACCGCAAAGAAGCAGCGTGCGGAGAAGCGAGCGCTAGGTCGAGAAGCATCCGCGTACCCCGAATATTAGGTTCAAAGGAGGAAAGCGCCAAATTGAAGTCGACACGCCATGCATTGTGGATGATCATGGTCACCGAACATTTGAGCTTCAGGAGTCACATCAGCGAGAAGCCCAGCCAAGTAAAAGAGGGACAAACCCGTTCGTAAGTGGGAGCTGCCAAACCTAATCTGTCCTGAGAGATGTCTCCCTCAAGATAAAAAATCTTCCTCGACGAGGTTAGGAGTCGGGTATTCAGCCCTCTCTCCTCGAACGCTTTGAGCTGACGCAGACTGCTGTATGTTCCTGGAGCCGCAGAAAATCGATTGAGAAGATAGATTGTCGAGACCTCCGGTCGTCCAAGTAGATCAGCAAGCATATAGGATCCTAGCGTCCCGGTGGAACCAGTTAGGAGCACGACACGCCCGCCATCAAGCCTGGCTCGCTTCGCAGGTCTCTCCGTCGAGCCAGACTCAAGTTTCAGAAAATCAGCAGAGTATTTTTCAATCATGGAACCGATTGCGCTGATATGTGAGTCTCGTACGGACTCCGAATTTCCATCCGCACATTTAATGAGGGCAGAAACCTTCCGTGCCAGTGAATTGATTGTAGGGTTCTCGAAGATGATGTTTTGCGTGATAAGGGAGGAAATACGCTGCATCCCTGGTTCGGATGACCTCCGTAGGCCGCTGATGAGCCGATTCCTAAGGTAAGTGGCGCTTAAGCTGTGGAGCGATTTAGTGACAACGTTCATCAATCAAAACAAGCTCATACCTATCAAAGCCCTGCGTGAATAAATCTATATTTGGATTGAGATCCGTCCTAACATTCGCGGCCTGTGATAACAACCAGAAGGCTAACTCGTTCTCCGTCCATTGTGATGGTAAAGTATTGTCGCCAACTTCATGACTGAGTCCGACGACGTCATATCTGATTACAGACGCTTGAGCGAGTGCCAGGGAGCATGATAAGAATTTGCAGACACTAACAGTGCATTAATTTCTTGTTCATATGCCTGGAGTGTCGCCTTTCTTTGGATAGTGCCTTTCATAGTCCGGGACACAGGCTTGGCGCGACGAGCGACTAGAATCATTTCTTTGAAAATACGACTGTAAGTTGGCACAGATGCATTAGCGTCTTCTACATATGGCCTGAAAAACCCGTGAGTCCAAGATCTTGTCTCACAAGGAGAAATGCACTTACCATACTCGGTTTCGAAACTGGGCGACCTGTTCCTCATTATCCACATCAATGAAATGATCCACGGTAGGTTCGATCAGAACTCCAACTTGGTTTCGCTCACGCCCGAACATGACGGCGCCGTTTACATAGGGACAACAGCTGATGATCGTCTCCATCTGCGATGGGACAGTCTTCTCCCCAGAGGATAGGACGATAACATCGTCCGCTCGACTAACACTGTGCCGTATCACGCCAAGTCGCCTTACACAGTCAACAAGAAAGAACTTACATTTTCCACAAGTGCTTCTGGGTTGGGTGTTTCACAAAAAGGTCGTTGGTGGCATAACCCTGCACATCGGGAAGGTTTTCGATGCTCGGCTGAAGTTTGTCTGATCGCTGTAAAGGCGCAGATGCAGCGCATGGCTTTGATTGTGCCTTGACACTTACCAAGACTTGGCATTCGTATAGATCAAGATCATGAGGAGCCCAACGAATATTGACTGTATCGGAGAACTCGACCCACTGCCAGTATGGGTTGCCATTGACGACTGAGTCTCGAGGAGGAAGGATAGAGACCGGACCACACTCTGTCGCACCGTAAAGCTGTGCAAGCGGTATTCCAGCGGTGGTAAGAAAGTCTCCTTTCTTTTCCGAGAGAGGGCCGCCCCCATACACCTGTGAGTCACGTGGTCAAATGCATGGGATTCCAGATGGAAGAAACACTAAAATATAACGTACAACGTATCCAATCTTTCGTAGCGCCTGTAGTGCTTCTTCCGAATCGGCCCACTGTTCGAGGTGATATGGAACGCAAAGAACGATATTGGTCCCGGTCTGGCTGATGCATTCAATCATGTTGTCCGATGTCGGAATGGTAGGTAGAGTCCGCCGATCTCCCACGGACGTAGGCGCGTATAATGTTGCTGTAACACCGATAAGCATTGCATACAGCTGTGCGGCCACGCCAAATATATGAAATGGAGGAAGGGCCATCACGCCGAGACGGACCGATGGGTAGTTCCTGTATTGCCATAACAGAGCTGGGCAACATATCAGTTTCAACTTATCAAAGATGAAACAAAAGCAGCCGCACGGGCGTTCATCCAGCTAAGTTGACCCCTGTGATTTTGAGCGATAGGCTTAGGGAAGCCGGTGCTTCCAGAAGAATGCATATATAAAACGGTCTCGGTTATGCGCGTGATGGTGGAGCGTTTAGGGTATGGCACAAATGGGTGGACAAGTGATTCGTTACCCAAATGAGGGTAAACTTCTGATATGGGTGGTATCTCGATGATTGTCAGGCCGGCACCACTATTCCCCATAAGGCGCCGGACATCATCAAGGAGAGCGGCGTGGTTTGGGGTAATGGATGCTATACGACGGCAACTGGTTCGCAGAAGTAAATCGACTATGGCTTGTGGAGGGTTGCGAGGAGACATAGGAAACGGCTGCGTAATGTGAAATCAAGCACAGATAAAGTAAAAAGGATGGGAGCTCACCACAGTGCCTGCGATCATGAGACCGGCTATCAAAGTTGTATACAGGAGGGTGTCTGTGTGAACAACTATTGCTGTTACCTCCCCTTCAACTCCAGTGCGGCTGGGACGTAGTGCATGGGCCATTCGATGAGCAGCTCTGCCGAATTCGTGGTAGGAAATGGAAGTTAATGTGCCAGTTTGTGTGTCTGGAAAGATGTATATTGGGAGAGCGGCATTCCTCTGCATGTGAAAGTCAATGATATCTGGAAATAGGAGTGAGCCATCGAGAGGAGGACACTCCGGCTTTGCAGATACAGCAGACATGACTCTGGCCACGGAGGTGGACTGGAGGATGTCAGGGGGGGTATTCGAAGTATATATAGCACGGAAGACTTATAAAAAATAAGTTGGCCAGGGTATCTGATCAGGTGCTGGCATAGAGCGTGACATCGCAGTTACGAAGACAGTCCGACCATTTGTATCAGGTGGGATGAACTTGTGTAGGCACGTAATGATGACCTACAACGTGTTCAGAGCGCAAAGTCTTCAAAATCGGTTATCGTCCCGCAATTTTACCCCGACTCGGACCGCACAATCAAGTCCAATTAACACGCCGACCACGACAGTTTGTATCCAATAGGACTAGCAGCTGGCAGGAGGACCACGACTGGAAAGCGTGCAGCCAGGCTGGTTTCTGGCTCAGGACTCAGGAAAGTTAAACGATTCGTCCGTTTCGGAGATGAAAATAAATAAATAATATCAATTCACGTGGTCCAGCCAGCTGCCAGGCCCCGGCAGGGTCCACGTTGACGGTTGACCACCACCATCTCTGCAAAAGCCCGAGTTTGAGGACACGTTCAGCGACGTTGGCCGATACCCGATTTTTATTGACGGATCCCGTAGAACATTTACATTGAACAAGTCTATCAACTCCAATTATCCCCTTCCACGTGCTCCCAGAATTCTTCGCGGATCTGTGACATCGAGAAAGCTGGCAAGTCTAAATCTTTAATTCCTCGATTCCCCACTTCAAGATGCATTATGCATGCTGTGCAGCCTCAGGGAGGACAGGCGCCCGGATCCCGGACCTGCACGTCCGATTCAACACCAAATCAGCGCCCATCATGGCTCAAGAGTGTTCATTCTGAGCACCCAGAGAGGCATTGTCTGTGCCTGTTGATCTCTTCCATCTCACTCAGAGCAGTATTCAGCTATGGTTGATTGATTATCGCCGTTAACGAGCGAAATGAAGAGTAACTTGTGGACTAACCATACAAAGACAAGTACAAGTCGCAAATCATCAAGATTTCTGATTCTCGACTGACAATAACGCATGGTCGTAGTTCTTGGCTAGGCCGTCACCAATCCCTCTCTCCCACCAAAGACCGCCGCAGCTGTGCGTTGTAGAACACATCAAGCTGTCATCGCAAGGGAATCCTAGCCATGTCAACAAGAAAAGTTTTTCTACCTTCTGCTAACTCAGTACTTAACGCAAGCAGACCAATCGCCGCCTCAGCCTTCACATCATTCAACTGCAGGTGTACATGAATTCCTTACAGTCATTCGAAACCCCGGCATAAAGCTCATTTCGCTCTCTAATCAAGTCACACAAACCTGTCTTTAAATGGAGTCCTTATCCCCATTTCCGCCTTCACAACACAACAACAACCAAGCTCTTTAAATGACGACCGAAATACCAGGTGAGGATGTACTCAACGGGGGAGGCAGAACCTCGATATGAACAAGAATGGTAGCGGCCATACCATCAGCAGCCTGGCACCCCCTAGGAGATTAGGACACATCCCGATTCCCGATACACGAAGAAAAAGCTCATGTACTCCTGCTGCATTCGGTAGCGCATGGCTCAACAGGAGCCGTTCGGTTAACGGAAATCTTGAACCGAAGCCACGTTGAATCCGCTCTTAACGATCTGAGCAGTCGTAGTCAAAAGGGGCGTATTCAAATCCTTCTTCGCCGCTGATAAACCACGACCCGGTCATGCTACACGTCGCGTGTGATACCGCTTGTGTATTGATATGGGTATGTGAGAGGAATGTTGTTTGGTGTTGGAAAGACAGGTACCCGTTTCGTTTGTGGTTCTCACCAGGGGCAGCGGAAATGGGTGCGGGTGCGCACAACCCTGAACACGAGCTCGCGCACAGTGCGAGCGATGTGAGGATGGAGAAGTTGGTTGTTCTGAGGCTCGGGAGGAGACCTTTAAGCATTGTTTTTTTTCTAGGCGTGAGGGAGCTTGAGTCGTCTTTTGAGCTTCCTATCATTTCATACTAGAGAAACAACAGCTGATGGTTGTAGTGGAACGAAAATAAATTAGCTTGAACGCTTTCCTTCGCTCGTGAGGCTTTCCTGCTTTCCTGCTTGTCAGAGACTCGCCAAATGCTGCGCTTTTTTGTGCAAAAAAAATCGTCCTGTTGAGATTACGCTCCCAGCGCCCTGAACGCCTTGGTGTGGGACGTGCCCTACTGGTCCGGATGCTACACGTAAGTGCCAGTAGCGGTCGACGGTACTGCGTAGAATCCGGGGCTGACTGATATGACATGACAGGGCTACTAATACTTGAACGTCATTTCCAGCTTTGCGTGTAGGGTACCATCAGAGTCCGCATATACGGTGTTGCTATAGCATAACACAATCAGTTCAAGGAGAAGAAGAGTCACGAAAAAACAGCGCTACAAGCACATTCTTGCAACATTGATTGAACCAAAGATGTGAGTAAAAGACTTACTTGTCCATCGGCCAATCACCCAAAAGTCCTCTGGCCTTGTCGGGTTCGGTGTTTTCAAGTCGGTAACGACTATGGTCGCATCTCAGGCTTGGCCAACATAAACAAGGGAGCAAGGGATAGTCCCATATAAATAAAAACCTTCAGTAAGCGTTGGCTCCGAATGAGTCAGAACGATAAACCTACTCAGCAGGTACGTGCGCGCATGTTATGCGAAGAGGAGCCGGGGCCGCATAGTTAGAAGGCCCTCTTCTGCCAGCGTGGGCCTCTATCAGAAGTACAACGTCCGAATCCGAGTCTGAATGCACTGGCAAGCTATCCCAAGTAAGACTATACTCAACGCGCCACTTTCTCCGTCCGATAAAAAAGCGCAACTCCCATATACGTCCTGCAGAGAGTTTCATATTCGTATCATCGGGAAGAAAAGGCCGAACGACATGGACCACATACCCCGGGCAACAAATTCTACGTTCAATTTCCGTGCAATGCGCAGGCGTTTCTGGAACATCCCGAAGCAGAAAGAAGCAGTGAAGCGGTTATTGTCTAGTCCATCCCCTTCATGGACCTGAATCATATCTTGTGGACAACCCAAAACGTGTCTCAAAGACGCATCCTTCGAGTCGGCTAATAGTATACGATGGATTAATTGATGCTAACTCGGGACATTAAGTACCATACACTTACGATTAGCGTTGCTTCCCAAATCCAAATGCATAAATAATGCGTTATCGCTGATTGTCATACATGCACGACGCAAGTCATAAATGCCGACATGGGAGTATTGGGGAATGAATTCAGCAAATGCCTCAAAGGCTTCTCGCCGGTTGTTTACGATCGCCCAATACAGCGCTGTGTGATCTTCAATGTTGGGTTGTTGCAAGAGGTCGGAGAACTCTGCTGCTGAAAGAGCAGCAGCGCAGGAATTGAGGATTGGAGTGATATTGGTAGAAGAAGGGGCGAAATCGAGAGAGGTAGCAATTTCGCGGATGTGAGATAGAACGGTGGCACGACGTTTTTTCTTGGATCGGCGGTGTAAGAAGGAAAATACTGATCGTTTTGAATCAACTGATACTGGCGTAGAAATTGCATCATACGAGGGTGGGGAGTTGGTGACGGTTGCGCTGTCATTGAAGACTTCGGACTTGGTATCCATTGTGAAGGAGCAAAGGAGACAGACCTCCGGAGGTACTTACAACTTACTAAAAACATAGGGGGCTGCCAAGCATTAATAATGACCTCCTGACACGCTCCACTAAGTACTGCTGACCGACCTGCCCTCCTGCCATGCCCGATGATCTGTACACACGTAACACGGCAACCTTGGTCAGACACCTCCTCCAGCGCAGGAAAACAAAGAAGGCAATTCTTACCTGTCTCAGCCTTCGTCCAAGTGGCAGCCGCATATCCATTTTCGAAATATCGCAAAACAGAATTACAGCGGCTTGATTGCAGGCCCCAAAAATATGTCAGTTTCGTGGTAGTTTACACGTGTATTGCTTACATTGACATTCGAGACATGAGGCTCCTTTCCTGCTCTGCTCAAGTCCTGCAAACCAGTCTTCAAAGGAGTCCTTATCCCCATTTGCTTCGCCATGCCGGTCAAGCTCTATAACCGACAACCGATTATATTCGATGTTCAACGGGGGAGGCGGAACCTCCGTAGCAACAAGCAACATCACAAATGGTAGCAGCCGTACCAGATATCAGCAGCCTGAGGCACCCCCTACGAGATAGATATGTAGAGGGTTGTTTTGCACTTGTATTTAAGCCACCTGTCGACTCTGTTGGCTGTGCGGAGATCCTCCGGTTTTGAGAGATACTTGCAAGGCGCGTTGAATAAGCCAGGCACGGTCGACGGGGGTCAGGTCAGTCAGACCACATCCTCTACATCCTCGATGACAAGAAGACATTAATATTGTTGGGTGTTTTTATGAGTGAACCGGCTAAAAGGGATTAGACCATCGATATGTCTTGGAGCATATAAGGCTTGCGATTCCCGTGTGAACACAGGCGGGCCAGGTCAACGTGTAAGCTGACATCAAATTGAAGGCAAACAAGTGCACAGTAATCAATTCACTTGTATGACATACATCCAAACCAAGTATTTGAAATATTCCAGAGTTTATTCAATAGTCCGCATTGCTTGGGCTGCGATGAAATTGATCTGCAACAACTACGTATTGTGCCGCATCAACCACAGTACCAACGCGAGAGCAGAAACATCACTCACTGTCGCGACACGCCTTTCGAGTCTCAGGCTGCCAACTCAGTTGTTATCATCGCAGAAGTTTTCGGGTTCCTATGAATAAGAGCGCGCACAAAGAGTGAGTCATGGTTGAATCTGGGTGCAGAGCAAACCAATGATACTCACAGCTACGACACAAACAAGGTTCTTGCAGCAATCCTTGGTTGTCCTGCAAGAATAGCCGCGGCTAGTGCATACATCGGCACTGGCAGACACAGACGCTGTTAAAGCAACGATAGCGAGGAAGAAGGAGAAACGCATTGTTTGTGATATGGGTTGTATTGACAAGGATCTCGAATGATAACTCTGAGGGGAAGACGGCTCGCTTTTATGGCCTGAACATTGTTTTTTTTGTGTTCATGTTTGTTTTCCGTTGGTGGAATATTGCATCGTGAGCAGGAACGCGGCATTTCTGCCAATCGTTTTGGCAGAATAATTGCGCCTGGCGGATGGCAGAACTTCACGATGAAAATGAGACTGTGATCAGAACTGAATGACGAGAGTGTAGTCATGCCCCTTTGCGGCGAGCGTTATTACCTGGCAGAGTTCAAGTGTCGGTGGATAAACAATTCAGCACAGATTCAGGGTGTGTAAACCATAGAGACTTACATAAAAGACAGCTCTCGTGACGGAGATGGGTGAGCACCATCAGACCTAATGCATGGCGTGCACTCAGGCTGCGTGATTCTGCCGAAGGCACATGATCTCTAGTGGCTCACCTCTGCGAAGACCTATACGTATAGAGGTCACCACTAGTGAGGCCATACGGGACGGGCGACTAAGAACCATTTGTAGGCGGAAGATGGAAAGCACGTGGGCCCGGGGTTGGGGACCTAGAGGTTGCCTGACCTTGGAAGTGAATTTCAAGTGTATGACAAAAACAAATTTCTTACCAAGGATAACCTCGAACGAGCGCATTAAAGGGAGCTGTTGCCCGGTTCAAAACCTTTGGGGTGTCATGCATGTCATGGTAGTGATGTGCGGTGATGGTTCTGAAAAGCCGAAGCCGCTGGCTCAGCGGAGTCAGCGTTTAGGCCGCGGCTTACAGTCTGTTCGAAAAGCGTGGTTCAAAAATAGTGGAACAGCTGAAAATTCAAGTAAATCGAAAATTCAGGAAACTTGCACTGCAGCTCTCTTTCTTAAAGTTGAGCAGAAAAGCATGACAGCTCAAACGGCACTTGGGGGAAGATTTACTTATAATTTGGAGGTAGTATGTGCGGAAGACCCATGGTGCGTAGTATTGGAATTTGTAAGTCGTATTTTGCAGATCTGGGAGTTCGTTCCAGACGCTCAGGGGACGCAATTGTGGGATGTGGATGAGATGGCCATCTCGTTTGATGAGTTTGTTTTATATTTGGGGTAGAGTTCCAGGATGAAGAGACGTTACTGGAATGGGTGGCTGTGCTTCTTTTGCTTCTCCATTGCCACTGAAGTGGACGAAGTTCGAACCAAGAAATACACTGGGCGACACTTTTGCTCGTAGTTGAGCCTCCCGCTGCTCAGGAAAACACGACGACTCGATCAACGGTAGACATGCTGCACAGGTATCGTAAAGACTAATGTACTACTAATTGTCCTTGTTCGAGGTCGCATTCACTCTCTTCATCACTCATTGTAACGTCTGCCCGACTCTGCCGCGTTCAGCTATATCATCTGAATTCCGACTCATACACTCGCAAACTATTCCTGGTCTTTCCGTAACACTTTCAATCGTGCCGAACGGCCCTCAACAACATGTAAATACACGTGCAGTCATCACCTAAACCCTCAACCTCTTCTCTCGCTCTCACAGCCAAACTCCATCTACAGTGCACATATCCCTACCCCCGTCTTCTCCTACCACTCATTCCACCCACCACTAAGCACAGCCTCCATCCTCATCGTTTTGCTTCATCGTTCCATCATGCCCGGTAACGCAGAAAGTCAATCTATTAGACTTGAAAGTAGGTTACTCCGTATCACCTTGGGATCTCTTTTGTGATATTCTCGCTCTATCTACAGTCATCGGCGCAAAAAATCTTCAAGTCCCTTCTGAGCGCATACCCGCAGGCATTTACGTGTCCATCAATGTCGACTCAAGGAGACGCTGGAAATCAGCCATCAGCGTCTTATCATCCGACGAATCCGTAGCGTGGGGAGATACCATGACCCTGTAAAGTCCATAGAAACTTTCGGACGCGATTCAACACTAATCTTCGGTTTATAGATCATCTCACGAGTCACCTGCATTATCAATGGAGATTAGAGCGTCCTTTGAGCTCGATCGAACGCTGGGCAATGGTGAAATCATCGGAAAACTTCAAACATCGTGGGATGAGTTGCTCCATCATGGAGATGAACCATTCGGTGAGTAACCTACTTCTCATTCCTGCACATCTACTCACATCCCGTAGAACTGTCCTTCCCTGTTCGTGGTGTCAATCCTTCGCTCATGCTGAAGGCCACTGTTGCACATGCTAGCGATAATCAGGACGGCGCACTACTTGACGTGAGTGACCCCAGACTTTGTCCTGTTAGTTGTGCTGACAGAACACCAACTGTAGTCCCTCGTAGAATGCGAGATTGCTCGAGAAACAGATGCGGGTCATGTACGATTCTCCAGATACATGAGACACCAGAGGGTCTCTCACCTGAACGGTGCTGTAGAGCGTTTTCAATTGGTTCTGGACCGCTGTCCGGTCGATCATCCTGACCACGCAGCGGCTCTCACCAACCTCGCGTATGCCCGCCTTCAAGGTTACATTCAAAATGATCTGCAAGACATTGATACCACCACTTCCCTCTTCCGCGAAGCCCTTGCATTGCGTCCGCAGGGCCACCCAGATCACGCATTATCTCTCTATCATCTCACTGATGCATTGACATGGCGCTACGTCAAGGAGCCCACTGCCGTCTATATTCATGAATCCCTGCAGCTGTGCTACAAGCTACTGCCCGTCTGTCCAGAGGGCACCTACCTCCGTAGCATCGGCGTAGATAGAGAGGTCGATTATGTGATTGACGAATGCAACGATCTTCCGATTGATGCATCTGACGAAGGCATCCACCTTCGACGAGTCGTGCTCGAGCTCTGCCCCCTGGGCCACAAATACCGTTCCGGGGCCCTCGACAACCTTGCACAGGCAGTTGAGGCATGCTTTGACCAGCATGGCAGCATTGACGATCTAGAAGAGAGCATACAACTTGGTCGTGAAGCCGTTTCTCTGTGCCCCGAGGGACATTCTGACCGTGATACCTACCTAAACAACTTGGCCTTCTCACTCCTATCCCGCTTTGATCACCAAGGCAAATCTCATGACCTCGACGAGGCCATTTCCATGCACGAAGGAGCGTTGCGCCTGTACCCTGTTGGGCATGAATTTCGTGATTGCTCATTGGACAATCTAGGGGGCGCCCTCCGCATCCGTTTCAATGAACACGGTGACGTTGATGATATCAACCGAGCTGTCAGCCTCCATCGCGAGGCACTGACGTTGTGCCCACCCGGGCATCCGCGTCGTGACACCACGCTTCACAACTTTGCCACTGCGCTCGACACCAGACATGACGAATTGCATGTCATCGAGGATCTTCACGAGGCCATTGATCTGTATCGCGAATATCTTTGGTTAAAGCAGCTTGGTGATCCAATGTGCCATAGAACTCTTTGCAATTTGAGTTCGGCGCTCTGCTCTCGTTACACGCAAACTCTGCAGCATGAAGATGTTGAAGAGGCTATTAAACTATGCCAAGAGTCATTAGCGGTATTGCCACAACTCCACCCTGACAGGTACTACTCATACTTCAGTATACGTGTGGCATATATATCTCGTTACCAGGTTCAGCACAAGCCTGCTGATTTGTCACTCGCAATGGAGAACTTCCGGCTGGCATCACGACACCCTGCTCAAGGATTTCCGAACCGTCTCCTTAATGCATATTATTGGACTGTCAAAGCGGAGCAGCATGTTGATGGATCCGCACTTGAGGCTTACTCAACATTTTTTGAGCTTCTGGATGCTCATTTGGGGTCACGATCATCAACTACCTCGCGGCGCGAAGCTGCCTCTGCCTTCCAGTATGCCAGATCACTACCTGTAGATGCAGCATCATGTGCCATTCGCAGTGACAATCTCCGACGCGCAGTCGAGCTTGCGGAGCAGGGCCGTGGTCAACAGTGGTCACTGGCCTCTCGCCTGAGGAGTCCACTCGAAGACCTTCAGTCCACGAATCCCAAGCTAGCTCACAAATTCTCGGAGCTCAGCAAACATCTTTCTGAAGCCCAGGGTTCCGCAGGCAGCACAGACAGAGCTACTGCTGATCGGGCCGAAACGGAGTATCGGAGACTTACAAGGCAATGGGAAGCTGTGGTAGCTGAGATACGTAATATTCAAGCTTTCTCGCGGTTCCTACTTCCACCTTTGTACGAAGACTTGCAAGTGGCAGCTCGCAATGGCCCGGTCATCATCCTCATTGCCAGCAAATACTCGTGCAGCGCCATCATTGTCCCGACGTCAGGACAACCCCATCATGTTGCCTTGCCATCTATTGCTCTCGCAGATCTCGAGGATCTCAAGGATCGGTTCGCCAGGGCAATACCACAAGCATCGAAGATGGGCTTAAACCAGCCGCGCAATGATCTGATTGTCCTCTTGCGGGCAGTATGGGACGATATCATGCTACCTGTCGTCAACGTACTCGAGCATGTCCTCGAATTAAAGCGCCAGTCTCGAATCTGGCTGTGTCCAACTGCGGCCTTCACATCCATTCCTCTCCACGCAGCTCACCCATTTCGAACAAAGCCAGATCGCTCTGGGAAGGAGCCATGCCTGGAGGATCTCTACATCTGTTCTTACACGCCGACCCTTTCGGCGCTGATCAGGTCTAGACAGATGATGAAGCTTAAGAAGGATGCTCCTCCGTCCTTTGTGGCGGTTGGGCAAGGTCAACCGGGCGGAGGGAATGGCAAGGAGCTCTTAGCTGTCGATAGCGAGCTCGAGCTTGTCCATAAGCTCGTCCCCGCGACGGCCAATCATTGCACTGTTTCTGGCGATGCAGCCACACGAGCAGGTGCACTCGAAGCCCTGGAACAGAACACCTGGGTGCATCTCGCATGTCACGGCAAGCAGGACCACAACCAGCCTTACGATTCTCATTTCGTCATGAAGGACGCACCTCTCACGCTGCTCGACATCATGGAGAAAGATATTCCACACGCGGAGTTCGCGTTCTTGTCGGCGTGTCATACCGCCGTTGGTGATGAGGAGACGCCCGACGAAGTCATCCATCTCGCAGCTGGACTCCAATTTTCAGGGTTCAAAAGCGTTATTGGCACGCTATGGGAGGTCGATGACGCTGTCGCAAAGCATGTCGTTGAAGCTTTCTATGAGAATATGGTCAAGAAGTTGGGGGATGGCGAGTTCATGGACTGCACGAAGGCGGCTTGGGCACTGAACCGTGCTACACACGCCGTGAAGACGAAGGTGCCGCTCGAGCAGAGGATGGTTTTCATACATATTGGTGTGTAGTTCTACTGTATCGTATTGCCTCGTCTCGCAAATTCCCTACTTGAGCCACAGCTCAGGCCAGAGCCGTCTGAAGTTAGGCCAAAGCCGCTGCTTTTGGGCCAAGCCGGGACGAAAATTGATTCAAATTGATTCAATTGAAGGCAAACGAGTGTACACAGTAATCAATTCATTCTATGACATACATCCAAATCGAGTATTTGAAATACTCCAGAGTTTATTCAATGGTCGCGTTGCACAAACTGCGATTTTGAAAATGATCTGCAACAACTACATATTGTGCCATCAACCACAGTACCAATGCGAGAGCATGAACTTATCACTCACAGTCGCGACGCGCCTTTCAGGTTTCAGGCTGCCAGCTCAGTTACTATCGCAGAAGTTGTGGGTTCCGGGATCCTATGAATATGAAAACGTACAAAGGGTGAGTCATGTGGTTGAATCCTGGGTACAGAGCAAACCGATGGTACTCACAGCTTCGACACAAACAAGGTTCGTGCAGCAATCCTGGGTTGTTTTGCAAGAATAGCCTAGGCTGGCGCATGCACTGACAGACACAGACGCTGTTAAAGCAACGATAGCGAGGAAGAAGGAGAAATGCATTGTTTGTGATATGGGTTGTATTGACAAGGATCTCGAATGATAATTTTGAGGGGAAGACGGCTCGCTTTTATGGCCTGAACATTGTGTTGTGAGCGGGGACACGGCGTTTCTGTCAATCGTTTTGGCAGAATGGTTGTGCCTAGTGGATGACAGAGCCTCACGATGACGATGAGACCGATCAGAACTGAATGGCGAGAGTGTAGTCAGCTTTGCGATGAGCGTGGTCACCTGGCAGACTTCAAGTGTAGTGGATAAACAATTCAGGATATGTAAACCATGGAGACTTACATTAAAGACAGCTCGTGTGTGTAAGCACACCGGCTTACTTGAGTTTCCATGCTCAATACATATACTGTCGCTGGTACTGAAAGCTGAGCTTTCAGTATTGTTCCTTTTGGTGTAACGGTCATGAAGCGCAGCGGCTGAGTACCCTACAGCGTGACGGAGATGACATAGTGTAGGTGAGTACCATCAGACCTAGTCGCGCATCAGTCACGGTTGGGGCGTTATTCTGCCGAAGGCACGTGTTCTTTAATGACTCACCTCTGCGAAGACCTGGACGTATAAAGGCCACTGATGCGAAGAGCGCCTTAGGTAGCCCTTCATGGATGGCGCCAGCGAGGCCAGACGGGACGGGCGACTAAAAACCATTTGTAAGTGGAAGACTCGTAATTGAATGAAGGGTGTGGCGGAAAGGTTGCCTGACCGTGAATTTCAAGTGTATGACGAAAACAAATTTCTTACTAAGGATAATCGTTGAGCGCATCTGTTGCCCAGTTCAAAACCTTTGGCGGTGTCATGGATCACAGCTTCATTTGAACTGTAGCCAGTAGATGCCCTTGTTATTAGTAGCCGACTTACGGCCAGACTTTAGTGCTGCGTGCGTGATTCACTGGCAGATGGTCGTCTGAGCTCGGGCAGCGACACACCAACCCGATCCGAAACCAGTCCGGCCCGACGGCCCGCTCTGCTGCTGCCAAGCTCGTGACTTGAACTGTCCCATTGAATGTTCTCTCGTTCAAGTTCTCTCGCAAAATATTCTTCATATTCAGTGTGTCATGGTCAGACATGGCCGCGATACACAACGGTTTTACCCCGACCATCCCCGTCAAACTTTACGTGGCTCATTTGAACTTTGCTTAAATCCGTGACTGGTGCCACCTCACTGAGGCACACATTGTTTCAACTTTGAGCAATAACGAGGTTCCGGAATCTGGAAGGGCGAAACCCCTCTCATTAGTGCATAAGATATGACTTTATCACGGGAAGCAGACCCGATTCTTCAGAGGTCAGAGGACTACGCATTCTATGATTAGCCTCTCATCTTTCCCAACCTTGTACCCCTCCGAGGGAGGCCCGGGCCGTCATTCGATTCGGAAATGCATATGCACGGTATAAGAAGACAATCGGGTTGCAATGACGCAGGCTATCATTTATCTTTATCTCTCCATCTCTCTTATAGACAATGTCCTTTGGAAAACTTGTTGAGCTGAACACAGGTGCAACCATCCCCGAGATCGGTCTCGGCACCTGGCTCTCTAAACCAAACGAAGTCGAGAGTGCTGTGAGTCACGAGTCATCCAAACGTACTGTCCTACCTTATTCACCTCTCCATCGGATTGCTACATAGGTCGAGATTGCTGTCCGCAATGGTTACCGTCACCTTGATCTTGCTAGGATCTACCGGAATCAGGATGAGGTCGGACGTGCATTGAAGAAAGTCATACCATCCGTCGTTACTCGCGAGCAGCTTTTCATCACCTCAAAACTCTGGAACTGCTCGCACCAGCAAGGACCAGCAGAAGCAGAGCTTGACGAGACACTGGAGCAGCTTGGACTCACCTACCTCGATCTCTATCGTGTGTTATCATCGAGTGTTCCTTCGTGTTCCTGAACTCATATATTCGTGACAGTTGTACACTGGCCTGTCGCATTCGAGCCTGGAAATGGTCTTGCTCCCGCACATCCGACCAAGGAAGGAGAGGTACACTTAGACCTTAAGACCTCCCTTGTCGACACCTGGAAAACGATGATCAAGCTGAAGGAAACTGGCAAGGTAAGCCCTTACGCATCAACCCTGGCGCAGTCATGTGTATCTAATTTCCGATAGGTCAAAGCTATTGGTGTTTCCAACTTCACGATTGAGCACATTAAAGGCTTAATTGACGCTACCGGCATCGTTCCTGTAAATGTGACATTTGAGCCATGATCGTCTACGCAACTAAATATCTCTAGGCTGTTAACCAAATTGAGGCTCACCCTCTACTTCCTCAGGATGACCTCGTTGCATACTGCAAGCAGGTAGGCGTCCACATCACCGCTTACAGCCCGCTCGGCAACAACTGTGCGTGTTCCGCTCACCTTCATGTCGCGCGAAGATACTGATGTACATATGCTTGAACTACAGTCGTTGGCAAGCCCATGCTTACCGAAAATGCTGCAGTGAAAGAAGTCGCCGAGAAACTTGGCGCAACCCCTGCCCAGGTTCTCGTTGCTTGGGGCACTTACCGGGGCTACTCTGTTATCCCCAAGTCTGTGCAAGAGGGTCAGTGCAATCCATGTTGCAGATATCAAAATCGCAAAGATCTGACGAACTCTTGTAGGCCGAATCATCTCGAACTTCAAGCAGGTTACACTCAGCAAGGGGGACTACGAAAAAGTTACAGCGATTGGAGTGGGCAACTTCGAGCGGTATGCTGCCTCTTTCAGTGTCTGTTATCTTGCTCACTTCAACTCACCCTAGCTTCAACATTCCTATTCGCTTTCAACCCAAGTGGGACATCGGACTCTTTAATGAGGAACTTGAGAAGATCGCTACCAACCAGGTCAAAATTGCATAGAGGAAGAAGGAAAGAAACCAGTATATTTGTTGCCAAGCATGTCAGCCTATGTCAGCTCAAGCAATTTCATGAACGTGATACACACGGGAACAGTAAATTCGTGATCCACGGGGTCGATACATACGGAAGAGTCCTGAGTCGGGTGCGGTTTCAAACCTGCAGCCTCAGTCAACTAGAATTTATAGCAGAGAACTGGAATTACTCCGGCGACCATTTGCCACCCCGTGCTAACAAAATTGCGATGCTGCAGCAAACGAATTAGTCTGACTGAGTACCTTGCGTGTATATATAAATTCTTTACGGACCGCTATCCTTTTGTAAACCAAAATGGCAGTATCATTGTTATGAGTCGTGACTGGCGGACATGAATGCGCAGCAGCAGTTGAAAATTTTAGAAACGTGAAATCGCAACGCTAGCGCACATTCAGATTAAAGCAACGATGCCTGTTTAATTTTAACTCACGTTGGAAACATGCAAGGGGGATCAGCGACCGAGATCCGAGACTCGTAGTGCTTACTCTTGGTGCCTGCTCGAGCTGACTGGGAACAAGGGAGCAAACGGAGTCAGAGGGCGTCCCGCGCCGATACTTGTGTGGTCGGCATTCAAATAAGCTCCAGCTAATGGAAGCGACAACCTGTAACGTATTGGAGTCAGGTTGCTCATCTGCCTACATATAATACAATGCAGCTATCGCCTAGATCCGGGTCAATTGAATTGAAGTAGAGGGTCGTGTTACTGTGGATAAGAGTCGGAGTGGTCCAGGCTGCTCGGGTGGCGGTGCCTGAGCTCTGCGGGGAAGTTTCCAAATGATGAAATCAATTCATTCCATATATACATACTCAAGTCGCAGGCCCACTTCCCAGCCTTTTAGGTTCAAATCAAATCCGACTCGCTCCTTGAAACTGCACTAGTACTTTTCCATCATCAAGTCCTCGCTTCCTTGGTCCATTTCCTTCAGCCATGAGCAGCGGTTCCCCGACCGCATATCTTGTATGGTCCATACTATCATGCTTGGTGAGCGCATGGTGCATTTCTCCAAATAGAGCACGCTTCTCATGCGACCATGGTCATGCGTAGTTCTTCTGCTTCCTCATATTTCATCTTTGGAAATACGACAGATTCCAATGTCTCAAGTGGAGCGAGTCTGGGAGACAGCCTGGCGCATTCAAGCGGTTTATGTCGGTGCGTACTACGTGTCAACTCATGACAAGCCCGTCGGACATTTCTGATTTCGTTCGAATGCTGGCAGTACACCTACATAGCAACCTTGACTCTTCTCGTGATCTTCAGCGTGGCATACACATACATAAAGTTCAAAGAAGGTCATTTGCATTCTGCTTGCACATCGAATATTCCTCATTTTTGTTGTCTAGGCTATATTATCACCCCAGATGGGACTAGTGAGTCCGCAACAGTTACATATGTCATTATTTTACCCCAGCTCATTCCACAGTCTATCCAAAACCTATCGAGTTCTACACACCAACTCACAGAAAGTGGATATTGCCTCTTCTGTTTTTGTTCAGCGCAGCATGGGCTTGTGAGCTGTGAGTACTTTTCTTCCTCAAGCTATCGCGCTTACTCATGTGAATGTGGCACACAGCGTCACACACTGGGAAGGTAGGTTGTTGGTCGATTTTTGTAACCCGAGATTTCATGTTCATTGCTCCTTAGAATTAACATTCTGGCTCTTCCTCCTCCATCAAGGCCCTAAGATGCGTCTTTGGTTTGATAGCTGGGAGTTCCGGGTTTGGCTACTTGGTATTGTCTAGCTGCATTTGCATTGGACTTCTTTTCCTGACGAGTCGCCTTTTCTCCACAGGCACAGTTGTAGCGGGTCTAGGCATGCCCTTGACTACTCTTATTGCCCGTCGACAGCTTGATACGGTAGATATCTCTCACCGCTGGCCTGGAGTGATCCTGATAGGCCCTCCTTTTAGTGTCAGGCTTGGATATTTCTAGTCGGGTCTTCCGCATCGACGGCAACTACCCTTTTGTTCTTGTATGTTCTTGCACGGTTTCCAGAGTTCATTTGTCGAGTGAAAGCGGATGGAGGGGAGCCGAACATTGTCTTACGCCTCGTCATGTTTTACCAGTTGAATGTGAGTTCTCAAATTGTGCCTCGCCACAGTGACCCATCATAACGTTTGCTATGTCAAGTTCGGACGAGTCTTGTTCAGGTTCTTGTTTACTATTCCGCTCTTCGTTTTGGCAGTGGACGGGGTGCAAGGAAGTCACCCGATCAACCAGGATCCGTGAGTGGAGGTTTTGTCTGTCTTCTTACGTTGAATCTCACTATCTTCGAAGTTTTTGGTCAGGTGTGTAAAATCACATACACAAGTCGATATACTCAATAACCGCTGTTAGATTTCTTGATAGTGTTGGGTGGGATCGGCTGCTTTGTCTCTTCGTTCATGACCCTTTTGGTGAGCTTCGTCTGGATAATATATCTTCCTTACTCACATCAGCTAGATATTCTTCCCCCGGTCACTCACCCAAGAGCTGGGTTATACCACTGCCCTTATACCATCATTCATAGTCGACAAACCGCAGATGACTGCATCAATTGATATCAATTATGGCCCTGATAACCAACAGATCTCTTCGCCCATGCATGCCCCCAAGGCAATTGTCCGCTCCCCTTCCACACACTCGTCTGAGCCTTCTCAAAGCGAAGAAACCACGCCCGAGTATGAACTTGAAGACTCCGCCCACAACACCCATGCTCATTCCCATGACGGACACATGCGAATAAGACAAACATGGGAGCAAACACAGGATGTGGAGGCGCCGCCTGCAGACGGACACTTTATGTTCGATCGACACTCCAGGCGCCTGGTGAGGCCACATTCCGATGGTATCGCAATTGGACTGCACCCTTATGTACGTGAATGTTTGATTGTTCTTCTGCCGAAGTTTCTTACGCTGTCATAGGTTCGAACATTCCGATCTCCGATTGGTGAGCCACCCTGACTTGTCATTCGTCGTGCCTCGCTCATCTCCCACACTAGATATTTGTGACCTCGATGATGATGACCACTCGCCAGCACGATAAGGCGCGAAAACCCCCGACTTTGATAACGCACTGTGTTCTGGGCTCGGCGTCCTATGACCAACTTACGGTATATGCCGTTTCTTATTTCTGTTCAGATCAAGCCGTTGACCGTCTTCCACAGCTTTCATCTATTGCCAGTTCCCACATCTACCGCCACTTACCACATGCCATTGACCGACTTAATGATACCTTACCCACCGCTCCTCTATCTATACTTCATCTATACCCCTGACGTGTTCGACCACCAGTTATTCTTTGAAGTGTAATACGGCCATCATGTAGTTATATCTTGTTGTACTATGTGTAGAATTGGGCCGCTCAACGCGAATCGCTTTATTTTGATGGTGTTGTATTACACTGCCAACCTGAGATGCTGAAGTAGCTTCAAGCTCCATTCTGACGTACTCATTTCTGGCTTGGAAACCCGCTGCAATGGTTCAACAAGCTGTTCTTTCGCCTTCTCTTGCATCCTTGTAGCCCAAGAATCCACTGGCGTTGGCTCGTCAGGCTTCTTCCAGATGTCCTCGATAGCCTGCCGCAACTCAGACTGCAGGTGATCAAACTCGACTTGTAGAGCAGCGCCTTCTTCACGGTGAACCTGAGACAGCTGGAGGAGATGCGGCAACAGTTTTTTGATTTCTCCTGTATTGCAAGGGTCGTCAGCCACGGAAAAACATAACATATGACCCCCTGAACCTTGAGTAGTGGCACATCTTTCTACCAGTTTCGTGACCGACTTGAGTATATACTCTTCCTCGTCGACAGTTCCTTTTCTCCCAGAACCTAGCTTACGCTCCATTTTGCGCTTCGTCTTAGAACTTCGCCTAGGAGTGATCATGGTCATTCAATCCTACAATCTTGGTGGAAGGACCGGAATGGAGGGAAACTCACTTTGAGGCTTTCGAAGTGGCTGAGGGCGCTACTGTGTACCGCGTGAACGTAGTAGGCGCCATAGATACATCAGTCATGACGTCGACATTATGAAGGGTCGGATCGTCCAGGTTATAGAACGCATCTGCTCTCATTGTCATTTCAAAAGACGAGGACGTGTCGCGGATTTGGAACGCACCTGGTTCTTCCACCTTCTTGATCCGCAGCTCTGTCAATCGAGAAACCTGTTTACGGAGTTGTCCCCGCATCTCGTTGATATCATCGCCAATCTGTGCGCGACAGTCCAAAGCACACGGAAGAAGCAGTTGATCGATGAGTTCAGGCTTGGCGTGCAACGTGACCTTTGCATGAATGTATTAGCCAACATATCTGTTGCGAGTATTGGAAACTGCACGCACTATCCTCCGTGCTTCGGCGAATTCGTTGCCCTGAGCAAGTGAATTCACTGCTTGTCGGACGTCTTTGGCATAATCGAGGAGTACCCGCGCGGATTCATTGAAGCGCTTCTTTGAGAAGAGCTCATCTACTCTTTCAGTCAGCTAGGAGATTACCGGAGCTTCGGCCAGCGTACCAGCGATGCGGTATGCAATTTCCGTGATTTCATCACCGTCTAGCTGTTCATTCAGACAGAGCGCAAACAGCTCCTGCCATTCTAGTGCCCTTTCATAAGATACCATAGCGCGTCTTGCATCTGATGCTTCCACGAACACTATAACAAGAAATCAATGACAGATTCTGTCGTTTTTTAAAACCACGGCACCTGTAGCTGCTTGATGATATTCGTGCCGATCAAAGAGCCACGCGCCGTATACGCCCAAAACATCCTAGTGCGATCAATGTAAGTTTAGGTCGGTCAAGAAATGGAAATTTCAGCTACCAAATACTTGTCTGTGCCTTGCCAAATTGCTAGAGCCTCGTCGTGTAGTTGATACGTGTCTAGGTAATCCAGAGCTTCCTGGAAGTACTCAGGACCTGGATCGATGTGTAAGTGTTCAAGTCAAGTCCAGAGCCGCCAATACACCATACCAGCGAGACTCAAGTTGCGGAGAGCTTTCGTGCGCCTCTTGAGGTGATCATCGATCTTAAAGCGCTGGTAATACTGGGGCAATGCCCTGAGCTCGCGAAGGAACGGGAGATACTCTCTCGGATCCTGAAAAGAGATGAACCACTTGATAAAAGTCATCAGACCGAGAAGTACCTTTTGCGCATGTTGCGCGACCATAAGGACAAGCGAGAAGTCATACATCCCTAGAGCCGTATCAAATAGTCGATCTGCATCGACAAGGAAAATGATATATTTGACGGCTTCTTCGACCAAGCTTGGGCTAACGCCTGGATGAAAGTTGTTTTATTTGTTGTCTCTGTAATATGATCGACCATTCATACCTCGCAAGCGGAGCAACAACGCCAGGCCAGCTTCATGGTCTGGTGGTGACTTGACAACGTACGCAGTAAGGATGGAGTTGACGTATTTCGTCAAATTCCTGTCCTCTAAATCTTGGCGCACGGAGTCGCAAACATTGGCCACGACCTCTGCAGGGAGTTGACTTCGCCTGAAAAAAACTAGTTAGACAAATGTTGGAGCGGTTCCCGTGTTGCATTACCCTACACTTGTCAAAAACAAATTTATGTAGTCAACATCTTCAATCTGCTCCACAAACGCTGGTATACCAGCCATGAAGACTTGTTGGTTATGCTCGACGATGATGCTGAAGTCAATGCGATGTTTACGGCAAGCCATGAAAGCCTTTCGCCACAGTCCACTAGAGTAAGCCATAGGTGATCAATGTGTGACAGTCATTGACGAGATACGCACGCGTCTAGATCGCTTCTAACGACCTCCATTACCATAGGTCGCGGGTTGATCGTCTCGAGATTCCCTCGTGGCATTTGTAGCACCAAGCTCATTGTGCTTGGCACCGCTGTGACGATTCTCGAGCCTCTTTCCACCCGTCGTTTTTCCCAAGCTTGCGACGCGAGATCGCTAGTTTTATTTTCATCGCCGATCGACGAGAGCATACCATATACTTGACCTGAAGTCAAGGCTGCAAGTACACCCTCTAGAGGCGCGAATTGCACGTCGTGTGACGTAGTTGTGAAAATCACGAATCCGGAGGCAACAGTGAAAGAGTTTACATTGCTGGCTAGTGGTGTTGAATCTGCATTCGGGGTTGCAGCATAGACCTTGCCCCCCGCGGACAGACCCACAAAGAGTTGGGCATCCACGCGTTGGGCAGAGAGGCAGTGCTCTGTAAAAGAGCAAATCTGCGAATATGACTCTTCTTCCCTATGGACTAGAAGGCCGTAATCAGCCATATAGTCTATTCAGCATCTTAGGCCAAGGTCATTGCACACCTTGGAATATGGAGCCATCAGGAGCCTGCCAAGCAAGATGCTCAGGAACTGCATGTGGGACGAGACGACCATTCTTCTGCTGGAGCGATATATTGCTTATTCTTGGCGCCAAAATTGACGTCAACGACAGAGTGACATGCTCAAAGTCATGAACAACAATTCGGTCGTTCCCACTGACGTCAGACCCGAGTATCGCAACTGAGATAGTCCTATGTTCATCATCATCATTCTCGGCGGAGACAAGCACTTGGCGACAATGACAGAGCCCCCGCGGCAAACTGGCTGACCAAATAAGGATTGGGTTCATGGTCGCGCCCCCGCCCGGCGTGATTCGCGTTTGCAATGCCCACATCTTTACGTATCCTTCTTGCCATACCGCAGCAAGAAGATCATGTGATTGCGAAAGCGAAATGTGAGGTGGTACCTGGGACAGGAACAAGCAATCGGATGTTGCATCAGCGGGAGTATCCGCTAGCAGCTGATGCGATGACATAGGTGGAGGTATATTTTGCGTGCGGAATGGTGTGATTAAAATTTTCTCTGTCAGCAATTTTGATGAATGAGGCACAATGAACTAAATCAAAACTTACGGCCATCAATGACTCCGACACAGCCAGTGCTGTTAGCTCCAGCGCATGTCTCCCATGCATAATCATGTTGTATGATTTGCACTGCCGGTTGTTGTCAGCATGGTACGATATGAAAATATATGAAAAACGCGTACGCGGCAATGTCAAAAGAAGCCGCATGTTCACTTCAGGGTGCCAAGTTATGGACGTAAAGTGGCTCGAGAGTGGTGCCGATATCTCTTGTTTGAGATACCTGTGGATAATATGGTAAGCAAATGTATCATGAAGGAAAAAGATAACCTCACCAATGATAGTTCCCAGTAGTCCATAATTGCACAACATCACCCTGTGCCCGTTCAATGTGAACGGCGAGTACATTTGAGTCCGATGACCATGCAAGATGTTTGATCCGGTAGTCCCGATCGTCCCCTCGCAAATTAAATCCACCATGCGGTAAACCATTACGCTCAAAGAAAATGACACCATGTTTTCCGGTCCGCTGCGTATCTGACGGTCCTGCACGATTTTCTCTTTGCGTAGATGCAATCAGATTGCCACTTGGTCTCCAGGATAGGCTCGGTTCCAAGCCTGTAACTATCTCTGCGGTAGATTGAAGTCGAGCTTCGTTTGAATAAACTCGTAAAACTCGTCCTTTTACATCACCGGACTGCCTGGCGAGGGAGGACACCACAAAATAAGCTCCGTCGCCGCGCCAACTAACCCGAGGGAGGCCATTGTCGTGGGGGTCTTCTTGTATTTGATTTGAAGACTGTGCCGAGGGTTTGAGATGTGCTCTTCCAATGGAGCCATGGAATTGCGTTTCCTTTGCACCCCAACCAACGTTTATCGGAGCATCTGCAGATGCATATATAGTCAGAAATATCACAAGCCGCAAGGTACAGCGTACCTTCGCCAAAATCTTCAGTGTGCAAGGGTACCTCGGATAGGACGTCGAATGTGGAGGTCATAAGAATGAGATTTTCTTCACCTAAACCATAACATCAGTAACGGTAAGTTCAAGTAGCCGTTAGAACTAGAAAGCCCACCAGTAATCATCACAAGAAGCGTGTCATCGGGACTCCATTCAACAGCCAATATACCCGAATCAACACTTCCTACAATATCTGGACCGCTCTGCATCGATCAATACAGTTAATGGAGATAATGCATGTGCGCCTCACAATGAGTTCCCCCAATTCATCCAACTCCCAGGACACCGTATCACCACTTCTTGTCACCAAGATGAGCTGTGCAGATTCGGCTATGACTCGGAGAGACAGAACTTTCGGATTGGTGGCAGAGCTAAAGGAGCCACATAAAATCGGCGCATTCCATTCGCAGGGATCGACGGGAGTCCGCCATATCCGCACGCCGAACTGTGCGTCCTCCGATGCGGCAAAAATTAATCCTCTGTCAACGTCAAAGGCAGCGGCGACGATGGATTCCTGAATGCCGTTACTGGAGGCAGAGTCGGAGGTTTGCTCATCGTAAGGCGTTTCTAATGTAGAAATTTTGATGGCAGACGGGACTAGATTTCGCATCGTGGATGATCGATGATCAGTTGAGAGATAATTCGAAGCTTCATGACCCCGGGAATAGGACGAAGGAAACCCTAACCCTAAACTCGTTCTTCTGATCACCGACCACCACCGTGATGGCACCTTCGCGAGCTGCTCGGGATGAAAGCAAGCTCACAGCCAGTTCTTCTCCCCACTCGGGTCCAAGACGGACCAAGCAAAAGCGCCATCATCCTCACAATACACAAGAGTCCCTGCCCGGTGTTCAAAAAATCAAATCTTCACTGCGCCAAACGCGACGACTATTGGCAAAAGAAAATCTAGCAGCTGATGTCCGCGTGGAGACTGAGCGAAGGCTGAAAGCGCTCGAGGCCGATCTCGCTCGTGCTGAAACGTCAAAGAAGGAGCGAACGTATGCTATGAAGTATCACAAAGTCAAGTTCTTTGGTGAGTTCGCATGATATGCTATTTTGTCAGTAGCTATATCGGCGAAGAGCGCCAGAAACTGGTCCGTAGGATCAAGCAAGTCAAACGCGACCTTACATCTGGACAAGAAACAAAGAAGGAAAAGCTGGAAGGCGAACTCGAAGGTCTGAGAGTGGACCTCAATTATGTTTTGGTACGGGTCTCGAATCTCACATAATTGTGTTTTTTTAAACGACGATGCAGCACTACCCGAGGACTAAAAAGTACATATCACTTTTTCCTCCAGAAAAGCGACAAGGCGATGCTGTCTCGACAACTCCTGACGACAGTGACCAACGCATCACGGTCCGTGCTCTCATTCGAGACCAGATGCAGCGTGGCGAGATTAGCAAACAACCTGAAAATGAGCTCGAGGGTGGTAATCGACCAGTTATTTACACAGATCATTCTCGCAGAAACGAAGGTGAAGGATCACGTAGAAAAGACGATCATACTCGCTCAGAAGCACATCGCATTACTGAAGGAGATGATTTCTTTGGCGAGGATGGTGACAGTGATCCAGAAGCTTCCGATGCATCAGAAATAGAAGTCGAGTAGCGGAGTTTTGTTTCACAACTCAACCTTAACATTTTTGACCAGTGATCCGAGAATGGAATGATTCAGTAAGTGCCTCTATACTATTACAATGCAGATGATCTATGTGAGACTTCCAACAAGCACAACAATGACATTACAACATATATCAGACAATAACGTCGTGTTTTATACATCGACGGAAAGCTTGTCCAAAATCGCAGATAACATTGGGTTTCCACCCAGTCTCTCAATTTCTGCCCGACCTTGGCGTTCCAACTTTTTGAGGACAGCCAGCGTGTAATCAAATGACTTGGTAGTGTCCCTGAGGTAGTTGATGGTGTGGTGCTTAAGAGTAGGCGTCTTGGGACGCTTTTGCAGGACATCTGATAATTAAATTGAATGACATGGATCCAGAGGAAAGAAGTTGAGAACCCACTCATGATCTGCCGGTTGTCTGGCTGTTCCAGAATGCCGTGAACAATGGGGAAGGAGAATTTGCCTTCAGACAAATCTTCTGCGAAGCCCTTGTTGTCCGTGTACTAAAAACGGCAGATTCAGTTCGTCTCATCTTGTCTCAGAGCTCATGAGACTAACCTGACTGCTCTGAAGATTCATGTAGTCGTCGCGTATTTGGAAATGAACCCCGATTAGGTCCGTCAAAGGGATGTAGTCACTAGGGGTCTCAGTCAGTTCAGGAAATACCAATAGGCTCCATGTAAGACTTACACATTAGTGTTAGTTGTCGCACATGCCATCATGAGTTTGACAGCAATCCTGAGGAGACCACCCGTTTCTGGCAACAAGTTATATCCACAAGAGGTATCTGAGACAACAACGATAACGCACTAGCTTTCACCATGTCCACGTATTCATCTTCCGTGGGACAGCGCAGGGTGTCACGCCAGAGAATGTCCATGCCCTGCCCACGGTGGAGCGACATGAGCTCACCTATACGTATTGTTATGTCAAAGATTGATCGCATCAATGACAAATGACATACCAGTCACTACGAGATCCAGGTCATAATCGGGGATGATGCGGTCAGGGAAATCAGCCTTGTCGCCAGCTGGACTGTCGTCGCCCAGCCCACTGTCCGAACTTGAGCTCGAGATGGGAGCGCGACGGCGAACAGTCGGCCTCAGAGCAGACAACTCTTGGTATGCCAGGAAGTAGACGTAATTGGCAGTGTTGATAGTCTGAGGGACACCGTATATTTTGTGGGCAACTAGCAGATATCGCATCAATGATGAATTTCAGGGGTACCAACGATAGATTACCGACCTGGGATCCCACGTCTCAGCTGAGAGTCATCTTCGATATCATCGATCCTGTAAACATTAGTCGGCGTTGAACAGGGTCCGACAAAGTGGAGTGACATACAAGAGACTGCCGTTGTGGAGAAGACCAACCACGCGGTTGATGACCGCAAGCTTGTCCTTGGGGACGTTAAGCCAACGGTTGAAGCTTTCGACAAGCTTTCCCCGGATTTCTTTGCCCGGGTTAGCAGTGATGTAGGTGTATGGCTCAAGCAACGACTAGCATGGTGAGGTAGTCAGCATGTGACCCCAAGGCCATAGGCGCCACTCACGGATTCCTGAGCATCAGTCCATGCGCTGGCCGATGCTCCGTGGAGGGTTGAAAGGAAGTTATCGTATTTATCGACGTTAGCCATAAGTATTGAGATGGGTTTCAGTTGGGGTGATGAGATTCAGAACCTGGACTCATTTTATATTCAGAAGATCTGAACATGGCACTATACAGGATATTCGGAGGCGACAAATCCAGCGAAAGAAGCCGAAAGACCTCATCCCAAAATGGTAAAAGTATATAATTTTGTCCTCCGAATAGGACCAGCCCTGACCGACATGGACGGTTAATGTACGTACCGCGTATCGCCTTGAAGTCAAGCGGAGATGAAGCGATTATAAGGAAGTACTACAGCGTGAGATTAGGAACGTTGTCATGTTTATTCCGCACAAAGATTAAAGATAAGCTACCCAAGCCTGTGTCTCCCGATCTAAAGCGCGCGCTGCCCACTCGCAACCATCATGCCGCCCGCAGCCTAATTGCGATGCAAGACCACCACTAGTTACGCTGCGCATCGTTGAGCAAATGCTTGACGACGCAGTCGTGCCGGTCACAGTGCTCTCACTGTTATGGTGAATCCCATATATCAGATTCAGTGAACGGATTTGTAAACAGATTTGTCCTCAACTCGAACGATTTGTCTCTTGCGAACAATCGAGGCGAGCTGAGGAAGCGAGCAGCGATAAGCTGGTTTGGTGACGTTGGAAAGGGAAGTATAGTATTACAAACGAGCTCGGAGGAGACGAGGACGCGAATTGTGAACAAAGGCACGCGAAAAAATGATGGCAGTGTAACGCAGTATAAATATGATATGATGAGAACGAAACGGACCCCTAAAGTCACCCCACCTCGGCATTCCTGCTAAGCTCCCAAAATGCTCTTAATCCCCAAGCCCTATAGGCACATCGGGTCTAGGCCTGTGAATGTGGGTATCAGGGACCACCGATCGCCAACACAGCTCCTCGTAGCTCTGGACTGGTGAAAGGACCAGGTCTGGGTCAACATCTTCTAACCAAGCAGAGTTATAATCGTGAGCACTCGGAATAATCCGACGCAACTCTTCGTGGAAAACGTCAAGTAACAGCTCTTGTTGCGCCATGGCTTGCCGAACGTCTGGCGAACATGCGCAAGAGTAGGAATCGTGGAGAGGCGAAGAAACTGGACTGGTAGACCCAGGTAAGCGGTACCAAGGACTGTCCCAAGCAATGTCGATGTATTGCGCCGCTGCTTCGCTGTCAGGGACAGCAGAGCTGGCAGCAGTGTCATCACTACTGTCCGAAGGAGATTTCATATGGTGGGCTAGCCAGGGACTTATGTCAAAAGTCATGAGGCCATCAAGGCCATCACAGGATTCGTACTCATCATCCTGCGTGTCATAAGGACCACGATGACCGGAGGAATTGAATGGATGCGCAAAGAAGCCATCAGGCGATGAGGGCACTTTGGGATATATATCAGGCTTTCCGTCCTGATAAGTTTGGTTTGCGATAAGTCGGATAACAACTTCATGTCATTCGAGCACTGACCAAATTGACCGCCGTGATCCAATATTGGATGTTCTTTATATCCCCATACATCGGCGTGGACCGCGATTCCTCAATTTCGAAAGCTTTGTCTCGAAGTGACATGTGCGAAATCAAATGAGGGTGCGAGGACTCAAATTGACCAGCAACTTCAGGTCGAAAACAGGCTGAGGAATGATATGGCATGTGAAAAAGTACAGTGTGGATGTAGAAAATGTGCGTTAGGCGGAGCACAGCTGCGCGGGCATGGGTAGTAGATTGTGACTCTTTAAGAGCTTTTTATGCCATCGTGGCCACCGCTGATTGTAAGCATACCTGACGTCCACAATAACGCGCACCCGTTATGGGAGTACGTCTTCAAAGCACCCACATTGCACACGTGACATTTGACAGATGGGCCTATAACTTTGAACAATAGGTGTGGGGCCGGAAGTCCGTGAATAGAATAGCCCAAAGCTAAACAGAGTTCACTGGACGAATGCCAGGTGCCATAATTTATTGTCTTGCAGTGATAGGGAATGGATATTTGTCTGCAAGATTGTATCCGTGCATAAACAAGTATCGGTCAAGGATGAGAGTAGGTGAATAACTTACTACAACAAAAGAAATTGACCGACTTTCGTCAATCAAATGATCCAATGCGTGATTACGTGCCCACAGTCATGACGACCATTCTTGCTGCCATCGTTTAAGGCGAAGTCTTCCCAGAATGACGTTGTGCCTTCCTTCAGCCATCTTTACGACCTCACCAATCGCATTCGAACATTGCTCGTCAAACAACCTCATTTTCCTATTTTTCCCGAGTACGTGGCCGGGTTTGCTACCGGGTGTTGGGATAGAATAACGCTGGTACTGCGCAGACGTGGGTGGGAGTTGCGGTTTCCAAAAAGACTTGTGGGAATAATACAACTTCTCGACCCACACAACATGGTTTTGTCGTAGCCATCTCAAATTGCGAGTGATGTTATGTGCAATTCCTCGTGATATCGCCGCGGTTGCGAGTAGCGAAAGCGTATGATCTACTGAAATTTTCAAAAAAAGGATTCAGAACTCAAGATGAGTGGGTGACACGTAAGAATGAGATGGCCTACCCCGTTTGTGCCATGTATATAGCCACTGGACAATATGTGTCCGCTCAGGTGGATGAACGTCCTGATGCTGAAGCCTGTGGATTTTGAGCGCAGCCTCGTCGAAGACAGGTCTCCATAACCGACGGACTTGTATTTTCGACGGCGAATGGTGAAGGACTACCGCGGAATTGGCTCGAAGAAAGAGCCGGTACAAGCTTCTGAATTCGGCTGAAAGGCTGGCGTTGGTATGTATGACAGTCCTGGTTGGCATATTACTTCTCAGCCGTTGAGATTTAGCTGAAACGGTACTTACATGAAACTTACTGGGGATGGTTTGTTGAAAGAATAGTGTTTATCGATAAGGCAAAAAATTATGTAATATTTAGAGCGAATATTACTCCTAATTGGATGATGCTTCTTCTTCTCCGGGACTCCGAACATGGGAAGTGCTCCTAGGGTCCATCCAGCGCGCGTCACGCAAAGAGCTAGTGACGAGACCAACTTCGGTGACTCAGAGCACAACTCATTCGGCGACCCAGTGATGCAGATTGGACGGAGACATTGCCTGCAGAAAATCCTACAGCACATATTTTGCAAATCTTCACCTTTCTCCCAGTGCGCTGCATTGTTCGTGTTCGGAGGGTATGGTCCGCTAATGAATATGTGTACTAATCAATGGTAGCACAAGCATTACATTATTGAAGGATTGTGAAATAATCCAATGGCGGATCCTCTCTCTTTGCGTTTGTCACGATCAACGGTCCTCGTTGTTTCGTGGGTGCATCGAAGGCAATTGCGCTGATCTGATTCTATTCAGCGCCGTCTACGGTCATACCTGCCATCCTTTCACGAGAGCATGCGTCCTGTTCGGTAAGTCGAAGAATGGCCGTCGACACACACCAACTAACGTTGAACCTGATCCTTAGTCACAACGAATGTTTCCCTGCCAAAGGACCCAGCTGACACCGCTCGTATAGCCTCAGTTACGCCCTGGCGGTTTCATGGCGTTCCGGATGCCCTTCATTCCGGAGTCTTCTCAGACTCCCCGCATTTATAGATGGGTAACTGACCTGATTCTGTAGACGGGATGTGACTGGAGGAACATTATTAACCGTACTGATCGGCATCACAAATCTAGCGCTGTGCCACTCAACAATTGCTGTGGTCGGCCTTCAAGTTGAGCTTACCACTGATCGGCGGCAATATCTCGTGCCGAAATGTCGGACGCTAATTAGCGCCAGTTCGTGACATTTCTGTTGCTTTCAAGATCCACCTACGCCAGCCTAGCTACGCTGCTTGCGAGATTGTAGTAGAAGTGTTTTTGAATACTTCCACGGAGAAATCATCATTCCGATCGATTATGCTGATCAGGGTCAGCCGGTTACTTTGTCAAATATCGGGTATGGTGGGATCTGTTCAAAGATCAAGGAAAGGTGCATTGAGGTACAATGATGTGCAACAATGTTCGGGTAGTAAGGTTCGTTTAGTACAATTGTAGTACTGCCTTGCTCGGGCGAAAGTTTTATATGTTCATATAACATGATGATGATATCTTACAAACTTATCCATATGTAAGATGCATGATCACCCACCGTTTTGACGTCTGTAAGATGGATTGGTCCGTGAGGATTATTATGTGGCTTGAAGGTCTCGGTTTCTGCGATGGTAGGTTGATGCATACCTAGCCAGTGATATTTTCACCATTACTTCGCTTCGCAGGGCTGCGAATATGTACCAGACTTGCGGTTAGGAACGCCGGTGTTTGCTGTCCGTGACAGCAAAAATAACCAGTTTCTATTATCCATGTATGCATGAGCCTTGCCAGTGAGTGATATAAAAGTAGCTAACGCTGATTGGTCTGGCCCACACGTGAACCCCAAATCCTGGAGCAAATTTCAGTCTAGGCCGAACCCAACGATAGCCTCATAATTGGATCTGACCGTGGAGATGTTCAAAAACTCCGACAAAAGTCAAAGCCTTTGGAGTCATTCATGAACCAATGCTGATTAGATTCGAGTGCAGACACGTGAATATCAGATTAATCCGGGGCGAGTCCTTGAGCGCGTGTCCAATTGCACAAAGCGAAGGAACATGCGGCGAAATTGCATAGCTACAAAGCACTTGGCAAGTTGGAGTCCTGTCCCTGGTCTTCGGATCTGGAGCTCCATGGGGCTGATTGTACTGTCATTACCACGACCTTGACTTCTTGAGCCCCAGAGGTTCATAGTACTTATGTTGGCGATAAAGAGCATGGAGCCCGATCTGGTCCCGCTGGGCACCCAATCGGGGATTCTAAGAGTGGCTTCCATGATAAGTCAACGAGCATCGACTCATCATAATATGGAGCCTGGGGTAGATACATGGTGACGTCAATGATAATAGAATTGATCTGATCAAACACAGTAGTTAGCGAGCGAGCGGTCATGTACAATCGCCAAGTGTTGAAGTTGAAACTTGACCGCAACCAAGTTACCAACCAAGATCCGTCGCACTTGTGCACCTCTGCGATTACAATATTCATATGACTATCATCACCATATGCACATTTATCTGATGTGGATCTTGTTGGACGCCGTTAATGAACCTCCAGTCAATGTCAAAGCCCATTCCAAGGACCACATGCGATCAAGAGTTCAGATAACATACAGACGCCACATGAGGTACAGGGGTTTTCCCTGGTAAACGGCGTATGGCTCCTGTGTCGCACAATGCGCTTCGTCTGTGGGACTTGAAGACAGGTATTAGATTGCAGAATTTATGGGTCGTTGATATAAGGGGTGGAGATTGGCGGTATTACGACTCGGAGATGGGCAAATGTCAGCAAGGAGTGACAGGAATAAAGAGCTCATCACCTGACATGGAAAAACTGGCGAAACTCTCACTCATTGTCAACTCCACCCGTACTAACCCACGGTGTAGTGGTGGCCGGGTCCAATTCTGAACCGCGGTTCAAATCGATTGTTGAACCATGAGGGACGCACCGGTACGAAGATTTCAGTCTCTCGCGCAGTAAGAAGTACTAAGAACGATGTTGTCCTTGGACAGATCAGATGGGTCACACGCAAGGTTTGCCCTTTTGTGAGCCAATCAACGATATCAGCGCCTTGGATAGTGTTTGTTGGTTGGGGGTGCGTCAAAGCTTTTGATTGATTGTGACAACACTCGTTGAACGAGTGGCCATGGATGGTTGGGGACTGTTTCACAGTGTAATAAAAATTCACGTGAGTTACTATGTGAGGTAAGCGGCGCACGGTAAGCTCATGACATTCTCTTTCCTGTTTTGCTTAAGCCTCTGCACATGTTAATTTCGTTGCAGTTTCTTGTTTCTGCACCGGTTTATTTTCTCCCAACACTCAATGGTATGCCAATCTGTCGCTGACCTTTATATGCAGCCATGATTCATTCTTTCTATAGGACATGTGAACCCCGCGTGAACGCGTCTTGTCGTCTTCGGTCTTGCGCCGATTCAATACGCGCTCAAGGACTGACGGCAGGTTATAAAGTGTCGTTCACGCGTGCGCGTTTAATTACCACTGGCCTGTAAAAGACCTTGGACTAGACTATGTAATGTATTCTTGCTTCAGCGTGGAAGCGAACAGCCTCTTATCGCGTAAAGCGAATGCGTCGGGGGAGCCCCTGGATCTAGAACCATGCAGAGCACCGAGCAAGGTCCGAGTAATAACAGGTGCTATGAACTCTGTAAGTAGAGTCTTCAAACACTCTCGGTCCTCACCATCCCTTCTATCCCGCATACAGTCATGACCCATATTGATGCATTTGCGAAGCTGGCCAACCTTTTGGATTTCACCCACACAAGATTCTATCTTGGTGCAGCAGCTAGCGCCATAGCCTTAACGATCATCCTCAGGCAGCTCATTGTGAAACAACCGAAGCTCATAACGGACTACGCGAAAGTAGCGAGGAAACTCAATGATAACGGACTTGAATTTGATGAATGGGACTTCGTCATTGTTGGAGGAGGTATGATGCATTTGTTCTACAGCTAGAGTATCATATAGACCTGACCTCGTCCAGGCACAGCAGGATGTGTTCTGGCATCGCGTCTTTCTGAAGACCCGAACTTGCGGGTTCTACTTATTGAGGCTGGTGGAAGGTCAGTATCTGGGATATTTTTGTGGTTTCGAAAATCTTATACTTCTTCATAGCTCCAAAAATGTCATGGAAAGTAGGATTCCCTCTGGATTCGTGCAACTATTCCGCACCCCACGAGACTATCATCTTTATACCGAGCCCCAACGGCATGCAGGAAACAAGAAAAAATATTGGCCTCGCGGTAGGTCATACTGATCGACTCCCGAGTTGCCACGCTGATTCCCCTTCGTCAGCTAAACTCCTCGGAGGATGTAAGTGGTCGTTCTACTATTAAAGAGTCGTCTGATATTTCTGCAGGTACTGCTATGAATGCTATGATGTGGGCTGCAATGTATTCCCGTGGGTTGATCATAGTCTGACCTACTATCCCAGCGCGCAATACGGTGCACCGTCCGATTTTGATGAGTGGGCAGAAATCGCTGGTGATAAATCCTGGTCGTGGGCCAACTTCAGCAAGCACGCAGTTTATCCTTCATGTGTCCTTCCATTCCGTTGATCTCCGTTGTTTCAGGTATATTCGCAAATTCGAGAAATACAACCCAGACCCGCGCTTCCCACACGTCGACCCCCTCCTTCACGGAGCCAATGGGCCCATTGAGATTGGATACAGCACACACATCTGGCCGGGCAGTGCAGGTTTTGTCCAAGCGAGCATGAATGCCGGGATCCCTTTCTCGCCCGATTTTTGCGCGACCAAAGGGACGAAGGGGACCAATAAGGTGGGTCTTCATTGAGTGGTTCCACTGGATCAACGTGTAATGTTTCACTGACACCAGTTGCTAATTTGCATAGATCAGTGAGTCAACTGGCGACTATGAATATCAACAATTGCTGAATGACTGATACATAGTGACATACATTGATAGCAAAAGCACTCGTGTGACTACTGAGTCTGCGTACCTCACTGATGACATCCTTGCCCGTCCAAATTTGACAGTCGTCACCTACGCCCGTGTCACTAAGGTCCTCTTTGATACCTCCAGTGGCATCCCACGTGCAACAGGTGTTGAGTTTGCCAGCAAATCTGATGCGGGCAGAGTCGGACCCAAATTCCATGCACGGGCGACCAAGGAGGTCATCGTCTCGTAAGCAACTGTGATATGTCTCAAGCAATTCCTTACCTCCGGCTTAGCGGCGGTGCCATACACTCTCCGCATATCTTGATGCTTTCTGGCATCGGTCCAGCCGACCAGCTTTCACGTCACAACATCCCAGTCGTGCTCAACGCTCCCGGTGTTGGT